GAGCCTTATTCGCGAGTGGCTGGGATTGAGTTGTCACGGTGATACCAGGAGGCGAATGTTGAGCTTTTGAGGTTGTGGTGGCACAGGTAAGTACTGCCAATTTCGTGGATGGAGCATCTATTGCTAAGCCTCCATCAAGCTTTTCTTTGAGCTTGCGCGGAAGGTGCTCGCAGGTCGCTGCATGTACGAGGATCCGTCTCTTGACCCAGCTCTTGGACTTCCACGCAGTGGTGCAGCCAGTATTTGTTCCCGCGCAGCGAAACATGTGTGCCTTGGATGGGTCATCCTTCTTGTAACATCGGATTGTAAGTGCGAGGAGCTTCGGATCAATTGGACGGCCACCTGGGCCTTGCGCAACTGGCTCAGGCAAGTCTTCATAGTCGCCAGCATCAATATCGAGTGCCTCGGAGTTTGCTGTACTAGCGGCTGTTGCATTTTCGGTGTTGGTAGGACTTGGAACCTCATATGATGTGTCAGTGAATGTTATTTTGCATACATGCATTTACTCACTGATTGCTTTGCACAATTATAGTGATAAACTGTGGTCCGCCACAGATCACGAAGCCATTTTTGAAGCAGCGCAGAATTGGGACACTGGTTGAGGGCAGCCATTAGAACGTCGACAACTGCAACAAGACCGGCCCGTGCTCCTCAAACTCAAATGGGCACAGTGCAGACTCATCCTTCCGGCCTCTGGGTGCAAACGTGACCTCGAGCACATTATTCAGCGCAGCTTCGGTACTGCCATAGAGCTCGACCCTATCCGGATCTGGTACATAGTGTTCAAAATTATATTTGGAATTTCCGAGGGGGATGCTATGTGGAAGTTGTGTGAGTGCCGTTCGGAGGTGGTTTAACCGTGCGTCGTTACGCACAACGTCGTGGAAGAAGCTCATCAAGATTGTGATCATCGAGATACTTAGTTTGTCGGTCATATCTTATCGATCGTTCGGTGATTTCGGGTGTTCGAGAGAGTTGACAGGCTATGTTCCTGGAATCATATACATATATATTTGAGTTTTCGACGAGTTTTTGACATCCCAACATCAGGCCCGAGTTATCGATGGGATAAAAACACGTTAAAAACCGGTCAAAAACTCCGAAGTTTTTAACGGAGCCCTAGTCCACAACTATGTAAGTAGCGAAACTCGCTTGCATCCTATAAGCAATCACGTGATGGCGGACATAAGGTCGCAATGCTTACTAATCATCTATTTGACATTCCATACCGAACGTAACTCTTTAGGTACCCTTCTGACTTCATGTTCGACGCTGCCAGGAAATACGTATACGACCGGCGTCGTGGGCTATTTGAGACATCGGTTGTGTTCTGTGGAGCGTATGCTGTGAGCCGCTATGTCAACGAGAGATTGGAGGAAGTTAAGGAGAAGGTTGTCAGAGAAAGAGCTGCTCGAGAGGCGTATGTTCGCTGACTTTGTCAAATACTCATTGATTTACCCGCTCATTCATTGTTATCAGACTCCGAAGACGCTTTCAGAGTACCCACGATGATGCATGCTTCACTATCATGGCACTTGTTCCTACACTAGCTGAGCAAATCCTCGAGGAGATGGATGTTGAGTCCCTTACCAACGAGCTTCAATCTCTGTCACGCACATCTCGTCCTCGATCCCGCTTTCAACAACCAGAGTCTCATTCTGAGTCCGAAGTAAGCTCCGCCTCAGATGTGCATTCAGATGCCGGGTCTGCGTCATTGTCGTCCTATTCAGGCATTGATGGAGAAACGTCATCGAATATGGCAGCTTCGACAGGCAGCTGGGTCGATCGCTTTTCTAGCTCCTCATCGCACAGGAGCGAACAATTACAGCAACCCCACGATTTCCTCGCCTCTGCTGGTAATCAACTTTCGGACTCCATTACCACCGCTAGTTCATCGCTGAGCTACAATCCTGGCGCTCCTTTTCATGTGAGCTTCTCGTATCCGGAATGTCCGAATTCAAATTTATGCGCAAACAGGAAGCACGGGCTTCTACGTCTACCTCCATGAGCGAGAGTAGCACCCGAACAAAAGCACAATTGTGGAAGGAAGTAAAAATATTAAGTACGTTGTTATATCCAGTATCACTTGCAATTTTCTCAGGCAATATATGTCAGCACTGACCCGTACACTGACGACACTCTACACGACTACTTTGCTGTCCCTCCTCACAAGCATACAGCTAGCCCTTCTAGCTCGCGAACGTTACATAACCTCGATCCTTTCTACCGAACGCGCCGAACGCATCCGCGAGGCGGCGCCAACGCTTTCTGGTCTTATCTTCCGGGAGGCTGTATCTCGTGTTGTTGACGTGGAGGCGATATGGCCGGCATGGTCTGGCCAAGAGGACTGGGATGAAGAGATCGAAGGCGTGTCGGAGGAGACTGAGATGCGCTTCTTGACACTTAGCTGGTGGATACTACACGTAGGGTGGAAGGATGTAGCCGCAAGAGTGCGAGGTAGTGTCGAAGCCGTCTTCGAGGAGTATGTGCTTTCTTTAGCTAGGTGCTCGCACATTTTACTGATGATGTTTTATTGTCAGAGTATCTCTCAAGACGAAATTGTCACCTTCTGAGCTCCACGTTCTGATCCTTGATGTTCGACGACGTGTTGAAGGGGATGGTACTAGTGATAATAAAGCGAGCATTTCTGGCCGGTGAGTAGAGGCCCCGTCACTGCTCCACTGCCGGATTCATCGACTCACTCTATTACTTAGCTTTCTCAGCTCCCTCCTTCCACCAACTCTCGAAACGACAGCCCACGTACTTGCACAAGGGGGTGCTATCCCTCAAACTCCTTCTGAATCCTCACTCCAGCCTAGTTCTTCCATTTCGTCACTACGCGAGAACGACGACTCTCCACCAATCGCTGGTCCCACGCCTCGTGTAGGTATCTTTCCAACCCCGCCCTCATCCATTCCCGCCTCTTCTCCATCGCCAACCTCCAGCCAACACGCCCAAAACTCAACGTCTACACCCCCAACATTGCAACCCCGCGCCGAGCTCAACGACCCAATATTCTCCTCTCTCCTCACGCAAACCAGAGCATATTTGGCTGGTCCAAATTTTGCTTACGCACTCAGCGCTGCGCTTGACCGCGCCACGGTGGTGCTGGTCGACGGACTCCGGGCCAAGGTATTCGTAGACTCGAGCACGACGAACTTCCCGGAGGGTTTGTCTGCGACCGACCCGATTGATTTGACTGTGGAAGAAGAAGTGAAGGAGGAGATTAAGATACGGCTGGCAGGCCTTTTGCCTGGACTGGCGCGGTGGAGCCAGTTGGCGCTGAATGCTGTGCCGAATGAATTGGTAGATGTGAGTTTTCGCAATTTTTGGGGGTCCTTTTGGTTCTGTTGTGTTTGTGGCTCCTTTTTATTCGAAACATTGGATACCACGCTCATCTCATTTGATTCGCGTTACACTATCAATGCTTCTACTGACTGACTGAATTTTTTTATCCTTAGAATGTCATGGCAGTGCGCGAACTCGGTGCGCTAGAGGCAATCGTCATGTCAGATTATGAGGATCGATACTCTAATTGATGAAAAGGAATGAAATTCATATGCTACCTTTTTGTACTGACGAATAATGACATGTATGCCTCGCGGATATCTATAAGCTCCTTCGAGTTGTTCGTTAACGTTAGCGATCCAGGTATAGGGAAACGCCTGTGAAATCCGCGAGGGAAGGAAATAGCAGATAAAAATATAAAACAGACTTGCACCACATTGACTGGCTCGTCCTCAATTGTCGTCGTCCACGCAATCGCAACCAAGAAGCTTTGCGTCATATGTACAGTAGAACGGCATCTATGATGTATCGTCCGCCGACACGAGCGTTGCATAAGAGACGGAAGTCCGAATTGTGTTGGGTAGTAGGCGCCAGGCCGTCGTCTTTGACGATCCTTGCAATGTATCGCCTACTACCACTGGCACTACGTCCAATGCTCGGTCAAATGGCCTTCAATTCATTGCTATCTCAGCGCAGCAATCCAATCTAATAGAGCCATGCCATGGCGCTGTGTGTCACAGTGATGCAGGCCGTGCTATGCACTTTGGTCAAACTCAAAGAATCAAAATTGATTTCAAATAAAATCAAAACGACCCGTCTTTATATTTAGGTCTGCTAGGGGCAACTAGTAAGACAGAGCAGTGCTTTGAAAATTATACTCGCGAATTTAGGCATTAACTCTGTCTGTTGCTGGAAGTGCGCTTGAATCCTTCCACACGGAGCTAAATCAAAAACCATGTTCCTATTTCCAACCCTGGATGTACATTAAATGGCTGGATCCAATCGTGAATATATCCAGTATTAGCGGAATTGCATTATAATGTAGACGGCACTTGGACGACGTCTCTTGAAGCTCTTTCATCTAGGAGGCGTCTATATTAGTGTCGATTACCAAAGTATGGTAGGTCAAGTCACCATGTCCACAACAAATGTAGCCTATTTACCGGCACGAAGGAGTCGAAGGGCTTGTTCAAACACCCCTAGCGGAAGTTCGCTCCTGAACCCAGCTTCATAAAGATGCTGGACCGCTTCAAGAAGCTGGACACATTCATTGGAGTCATCGACCAATGTGTCTGGGGCAGGGCGTCGGATCAACCCGACATAACGAGCTCCACATTGTTCTACGCAGGTTTTCATCGCTGGATGAGCAGCAATCTCCAGGATAACAATATTTTCACCCTCGTCATGAACGAGCTTCTGCACGATGTTACCGAATTTCGTCGGGCGGAGAACATTGTCCCAGAAGTAGTCGCAATCAAGTGGCCTATTGAGCCAAGTACCGTCAATGGTTGACATTACTCGCACATCAGGTGTCCCCGTATTCGATATCTGGCCTAGGTCTAGATTCCCCAGTGCTGCCCTGAGCGGCGCTTCGATTGGTTCCATCAATGGCGTGTGGAATGCACACCCGAGCTGAGGGAGCCGCACTGCAAATGTATTAGAGAATGCCTTAGAGTTGCTCAGGAATGCAAATAATGCGTTTATGAGGGGATGAGTACCGGCGATGGCAACGGCGTGTGGAGAATGAAAGGATGAAATCCAGAGGCCAGATGTTACTCCCGCTTGAAGGAGCACGTCATCAATGATGAGCCGTGCTTGTCGTGGACTGACCGCGACAAAGATGGTGGCACCGTTTCCCTCGACTTCAGACATAGCAGTAGCGAAGGCGGCAGCAATCCCGATTGTGGTTGTTCTATCATAATGGCCTGCCGCGTAGCCCATCGCTATTTCCCCTATGCTGAACGCCCGTCAGCATTTTCAACTTCTGATCGTTGCGATTGAATACCTTGTGCCAATAGCGAAATCTGCGCTAAATCCCAAACTCCGAATGAGATCCCACAGGGAGATTTGTACGTATGCAAAAGATAAAATGACATCATTTAACGGCCAGGTACCACTGGGGTTCAGGGAGCATTCACCGCCCGGAACGAAGAGGCCCGTGCGGTCCAATAACGAAGGTTGGCCATATACCTCCGTCAAGATCCTGTCATTTTCCTTGATGGAAGCGAGGAATGAGGGGTATCTTTCCGCGAGCTGACGACCCATGGTTGGATGTTGCGATCCCATTCCGACGAACGCCACACAGAGCTTGGGACCAGATCCCCTATCAGATGGTGGAGATGAGGGGGAGAGATCCCACCATGGGGATAATTACTCACTGACAATGATCTTCGTGTTCATCCAGCACTCCGACTGGTGGATCAATCTTTGAAGGTACACGCCCTGAGTCATTGTGCCGCTCCACGTGCTCTGACATCGTGGCGGCCTGAGAGTCTAGTGGGGCAAGCAGAATGGACAGAAGTTGCTGTTCCTGCGCTTTATAGAAGTATATAGCATTCGAGATAGAACACTTACCTCGGGGTGCACGAGCTCTCCCATGATAGTTGAGTGTTGAGATGCAAATTTTCACTTCCAAACTTGAACGTTAAATGTCGAGGAGCAACCGACGAGCTCGGAAATGAAAAGACAGCTCAAACGCCGTCAAAACTGTGGGCGCTGTGTAGCAAGATGCTTGATAGGCTTGGCGCCGCTTTCCGTGCGAGGGTATGGCGGCGAATCTCCACAGTAAGCCCAACGCTTGTTTCTAATCCCTTACCGATTTATATATCAGCACTCTGAAACGGACCTCATGAACTGCCTGCGAATCGCGTTTTGCCACATCAAAATATCGGACGGTGATTGGCTTGTCTGTCAGTAGTGAAAGTAGGCTTCAGTGTGCTCAACAAGAAAAAGGCGGCCGAAAAACCTGTAAATAACTACACCGTCTCAAGCATGTACGTGCAACGTTTCACCAGGTAACCACGATATTTTTACATACCCCCACTCGGTTCAATCCCATGAACCTTGATGGCTCTCTGTAAGGCCAGCTCAGTTTGCGAAGATGTAAACGAAGCACTTGGCTCACCTTCACACCCCACCCAACACCCCTTATGCGGCTACATCCCCAGACCTTAATCTCGCTCAACTTCGTGCACGCTGTGACAACATCTTTCATCACAAAATCATCTAGCTCTCGGCACCACCCGGCATCTAGATAACGCAGTTCCTTCGCTCTCTTGAGTTGTGCAAGTGCTTCAGATGAAGCGCTGCGCAGTCCATTCACACTCAACCACGTGAGCGAGTGAGCAGAGTGTACAATGGCAGTTGTGAGTGTCGCACTTGAAAGCTCTTGGTTTCGGGCAAGGGACAGTACATGCAACGGCGGATTCGGCGTGAACGGTTCGAGAGAAGCGAGACCGACATCCACGGGGTCAGAGTCCACATCCATATCGTAGTCTTCGTCTTTCAGGGTGGATATTGGATATGCCCAGTTGCCAAAGAATTGCGCCACGCCCTCATCAGTGAGATTAAGGCACTCGTCCAGTTTTAATTCGAGCAAGACACGGGTGTATTTCCTGACGCTCTCCTGAAGGACATAGTCAGTGAATCCTTCATGCTTTGAGGCATCAAGTCTTTCAAGGGTGATTCCGTGTTTTTCTATGATCTTCATCCAACCGTCTTCGTCTATGCCTATTCCTGGAAACGCCAGATCTAGCACTCTCAACGACGACAGAGAGCATAAAGGATCGGCAAACTCGTTGTCCATCAAACCAATTTCCCTCAATGAGAGTTCTTCCATATTTTTGCAGCTATCTGTCAGCGTCTGCATGCATGCTAAGTTGAATCTTGGACTCTGGGTAATCTTGAACACTCGTAAGCCTGGCATAGCCTTGAGGAATTCGATCCAAGCTTCCGCGCGTACGAGGAACGGGCCAAGGAGTGTCAAGGAAGTCAGCTGCCGCATCGAAGTGGAAAAAGCCAAAAGGACGGGCGATGTGAGACGCCCGCAATAATCGAGGTGTAAGTGAGTCAAATTGGGGTTGAGGGATGCGAGGGTCGTCAGTGCATCCGGAGTCAGATCTGGTCAAAAAGAAGCTTGAGTCAGTCCGTAAGAGCTGAAAGACGCTCAACATACTAGTTGCATCGTAGAACCTGAGCTTCTTGTTGAGCACATCATAGAACAAATGTGCATTCTGAGGGGTACTGTCGTTCCGCTGTGAAAACGCCGTATAAAGATCCCCAACACGTCACTCACAGACCACGGTTCTTGGAGAGTGCCTTCGCGATTTCATCCATGTTCACGGAGCCGATATCACCCAAAGCTTCCACGTCGTCAATGTAGCGCGTTATGAGCTGCGCCATGAAGCTCGATCGCCGTGATATTCAATGGTTTATAAGTACTCACCTCAATGCACATCGCCGCAAGAGATGGGAAACGACGTTCCTGGTAACTGATAACATCCCGTTTTTCCGCCACATTAGCACGTTTACGAGGGACTGCCGGCTTCTTGAAAGGGTCAGTACCAGACGCCTTGGCACAATTGTGGCAGAGATAGCCAGGAGGTGGATTGGCTGCCATGGTATACTTTGTCTATACACAATGTTACGCCATGCATTTTCTGAGTCAAATAAAATCATACCACAGTGAACTGCTTTTCGCATCTCGCGCAGGTTTTGAAGCTTCCAGCTGGAGGTTTGGGACTACCGTCGCCACCCATTGACCAGAGATTCTTCGACATGGCCCTGTACTCGTCCTCAGAGGAACCTTCATATTCTCCATCATCTTTTGCTTTCTTCTTGGCCTTGGATTTAGCAGCGACAGTCGCTCGACCCTTTGTGCTCTTCCGCTTCTTTACAGGAGATTCTTCCGCAGGCTCATCGAGCTCGTCTGAGGCGTACCCAGTGTTCTTATTCAATAAAAGAGTCAACCTGATGATGATAAACTTTCATATGCACGACTTACTCTGCCTCGTCCACGTCGGCCATTCGATGCGCGAGGAGCGCTTTCCTCTTGTTGCACTTCCTCTGGAACATCCTCCACATTATCCCCAGAGTTACTCGGACCAGCCACAGATTGATGGGTGGGCTGGTTTCTAGGCTGATTCTGGGTAGCCACTCGTCGAGCAATTGTAGTAGGATTGATGCCTGACTCCTGTTAACAAAGTTTCATTCAAACGACGCAAATGTTTCAGGGGAATGGAAACATACCCTAAGAAATTCAGTTAATGCAGATGTAGGTCCCCTAACATTATTTCCACGTCTACTCATTGTTGGAAGCACTGAAAAGAAGTGATTAAAGGTTGTCGACGACGTCGGGTGTAACTTAAACGCGCCTTGTTACAAATTTAAATGAGACACGCCAGGTCACGTGCCACGCTAAGACAGCGGCTAAGTATAACATCCATGTCCAATCCTTCGCTCCCGCCAACGCTATCGGCCACTCGCCCTCTCGCAGCTCAAGTAGGTGGTCATGCGGGCGTTGAAACGACAGAAGATGGATCCCTTTTGCTCAAACCTGCTCTCCCTCGGGAAATCGAGTTTTATCAACAGATCGCCGCTGCAGGCGATCACGACGAACTATCGAAGCTAAGAAAGTGGATTCCAAAGTTCCTTGGAGTGCTGAAGCTCGAAGGGCAACTCAAAGATTCAAATGGGGCTGGGAATGGAGGCGATGAAAAAGTGGAAGTAGTCCCTGTCCATGGGGAAATTGCGCCGGAGGATAAAGATATGTCAATCCGATCTGCTGTCTGCGCGTTTGGTTAGTCTTATCTAATCCAGCACAGCGCATCGTCCTTGAAAATCTTGTGTATGGCTTTGTGAAGCCTTGCATTTTAGATGTGAAACTTGGGACTGTCCTTTATGACGAGGACGCGCCGCCCTACAAGCAAGCACGCATGATCGAGTCAGCTCATAATACTACTAGTGAGGAAACAGGCGTTCGCCTCACAGGATTTCAGGTACCTTGCTCACAGATTCTATAATTCAATTCATTGTTAAAAACAGTGCAGGTGTACAGCAACGACTCTCCCAAACCTATCTTGACAAACAAATGGTACGGGAAATCGATCAAGAAGGAACAACTTCCCGAGGGTATTGAGATGTTCTTTCCTGTCTCATCTGCGCCTTATCCCACACTGCCGAACTCTCTTGAGACGTCAGAGTCAGACGTGTCAAACCCACATCCTGGTCTTCCCCCTATCATTCTCCACCGCGTTCTCACTACACTGCAAGCCCACCTAGAAGAATTGAAAACCACGATATCGAACATTGAGATGCGCATGGTAGCCGGGAGTATTCTCATAGTGTACGAGGGAGACTGGGAGCGTGCCTCGAAAGCACTTTCCACGCCTTCTGCGATTGCCACGACGGAAGAAGACGAGGATGATGAAGTGGAGGTCGAGATAGATGAAAATGGACAGATTGTTCTAGAGTCCATACCCGACGAAGCGATAGAGGAAGAGGAGGAACACCAAGCTCCTTTGTGTTCCCTTTCTCTCATAGACTTCGCGCATACTCGACTTATCGATGGCGCAGGTGCTGATGAGGGCGTGTTGAAGGGCATGCAGACCATGGTCGATCTTGTTAGACAGCGGAAGGATAAGATCGCAACGATGCTGCCTAGCGATGGGTAACTGGATCTCGATTGGTTGCGGTTCAGGGGAATATGGTACACAGCAGAACTTGGAAGTCGGATCAAATGTCTATAACGGTACAGTCACAATTGCTCGGAGGCTATACCGAATGGGGGACGAGATGTAAACACGGTGACACAGAATGCAGAGTAAAGTCGCGGAACGACCTAGTAGTATGAACAAGCTTTTGAACATCGTACTGCTCAATGCGCTCAGGAAAACTCTCGACAGAGGACGTGGTCAAGCTGTTGATTCTAAATGACGCCATCAGACTCGTAAAAGAGAAGAGAGTGGCCTCGTATCAGGGAATACAGCATTACTTACTGGCGCTTTTGCTGATCCCGCCTGCCTTTAGGCTATAAGTTCAGCGCATTTGATCTAGTAAGCGATGACGGATTCGAGTGCTATCGCTGGGCTACACACCAACGGGTCACACCTGGGCAAGTTTCTGTCCTTCGGATAAGATCACGAGGCAAGACCGCAGACCCTTCAAACACCACTCCATTTGAAGCCAGGAGAGGAGATGACGATTCCAGAGAACCTGGAATATGCGCTTGAGCATGTCATCCTACGGGTTGGGAGCAGGCGTGCTTAAGAGCGTCGGAAGCTGATCGACTTCGTTCGTGCGCTTCGCTTGCGAAAATCATAAAGGAATTCATAGCGTGGATGAACCCCCCTTCTGGTGGAGAAAGACCTTGTAATGCAGAGGTGGAATGATCCTGGTGCCTTAATAGTCGAAAACATCAAGAAATCCGGCAAATTCTTGAACTGCTGGACTACATGGAAAGCTGGCAGTAAAGGCAACTCTGGAGCGAGTTTGACGTGCTAGCGCGAGGGATAAAAGACACGAGCCCAAGAAAGAAGTGATATGCAGTCAGGCAATAGGGCCTTCGTTCGATTGTGGTGGGCAAAGACTCAAAGAGACGTTAAGCGCGTGCGGAATCGCAAGAACACGGAGATCAGTCACCAGATAGATTCCTCATCCTGAGTGATTCGTTGGTGGCACACCAATGGGCATCTGCAGGTGGAATTGCGAGACATGTCATTTTTGGGGGGAACCGCAGGGAGACAAACGCACTGACGCATTGACCGGACGGAAAGACTATTGCATCCGGATGCAATGAGTTCATGCCATAATTTGCCATTAATGTTGAACGTTGAACGCCTAAGTATAGCCTAGTATATATAGCCCAGCTCGAGTCTAATAATAGACTGACTCTCTTGACACTTGACCAAACCTGCAAAGCCATCGACCACGCCATTTTCATCAACTGCAGAAACGCTCGTACGGTATACACTTGATATCGCAACCTAAACCAGACGCACCTTGGTCCACCAGACAGACATCTCAATCCTCGACAATAGTGATGAAAGGTAAGTATTTTGACGAGATATTCCTGCAGGCAGGGGATCTCACCGTATTCATGACCTTGTCGTGTACATGAATTCAAATCATTTAATTCATCCTTGACTCGGAGCTTCAAGCTGTGCCGCACCGCCGTACAGTCGTCGTGCGTAAGCTAGGATATGTGCGCCTGGAACGACTTCATACATTGTCGCGAGCCACCTTGTGCCTCATTGGATATCCCTCCTCAGTCGGACAGTCGAGGTCTTTTTGTTGATTGTGATGCGGCAATCATGATGATCTAGTTAGTCAAAACTCCGTGACACATTTATCATTCATCACGACTCACGAGCGTTTCCGTCTCTCCAGGGTTCGGGGCATAAGGATGGTGTAGTTTCATAAACTGTAACACGATTGCAATGGCTTTCGAACGAGTTGTGCCGATGTTATGCCATTATATCAGTCGGTATGTAATATGTACTTGTATATATATTAACTGTTGTCTACCATTAGTTTCCGATTACTACTGCCAGCAGAATTAATAATTTGTGAGTAGTCGTAGTTCATTCTATCGCGCCTAAATTTGTCTAGGGTCATCACCGCGCATATCGACTGCCGTTCCGTACCTGCTCCCCATAATACCACAATATCCAGGGTCTGCAGCATAATTATAAGGCTGACAATCGAACGAACAAAAACAAAAAACAAAGACGTACGCAGGACAGCCTATAACGATTGCCACGACTGCCAAAATAGTATCGCCCTTCCCGAACCCGAGTGCATTGTACATCGTGGGAGCAAACAAAGGAAATCCAAAGCCTGCTAGTGACCGCAGAAAGGAGACAGCGGCCAGGGCTGGATATGAAAGATTTGAGATGAGTAACGCGGGAACCGAATCGTACGTACCAGAAGCGGCATGAAGCGTAAAGCAATCGACAATGTAGGTCTGAATACACTGGAAACTCAGAATGATGCCTGCTCCCACAAGCGCGATTCCCTAATGAAGCCGTCAGTAGCGAAACCGTACTAGAAGAATTAAATTACAATATCTGGAACTATCCAATGAGTTTGGGCTTCAGTAGTCCACCCTACGATCAAGCACCCTATTGGAAGTAGTAGTGATCCAGGAACCATAGCAGCTGATGGTACATTAATGAGTACTCGAGAAAGGAGGCATTAGAACAATATGACGAACGTAATCTGAACTCTGGTTTTGCAACCCTACCGTTCTTCGTCTTGAAATAAACGTAGATTTTGTCCATAGTGCTCGCATTTATTTGGCATGCTGCCGTCAACCCTACGCCAAGTGCAATGTAATGAAGGCCGGCGATTCCGACCGACTGCTGGTATACGCCTTCAAAGATCGATGGTATCGTCGCCAAGAAGACTGAGAGACTACGTGAGATCACGTCCGTGGAAGAATAAATGACTTACGATATAGTAAACCGTATAAATACGCCATGTAGACGCCGAGGAGCTGCACGATCGGCTCATGGGCGAAAAGTGCAAAGGGGCGACCAAGTGATTGGGCCATGAAGGTCCGCCAACTATATAGATCATTGTCTTTAGATGTCATCTTACAGGGATTATAAGACGACTTACGAGCGATCTTGACCTTCGAAAACGGTACGGATTTCTCTGTGCGGCGCTTTTTCGGCATCCATCGACCTGCGCATCTGCTCTGCCTTCCTTTCTAATAAGACGGGCGCATAAGCTGAACAGGATTGATCAGGATGGGCATGTCGCGATCAATCAATCACTCACTCTCTTGAAGTGAAAACACCCCAACGATGTGAATAGCTGCATCCACAATGGACGTCGACCAAAACTATCACAGAAATGAGGATAGTCCCAGATTGGTGGAAGCATCACACACCACCCATCTCCAGGTCGAGTATTGAGCGATCCTGGAGAAGATTTAGATAATGTCATTCAGGTTAAAATAGCCACAAACCAGGCGCCTGTGATAGGTCCTATAACCGGTCCCAACAATGGAGCTAACGAGAAGATAGCAACGGCTTTTCCTCTTTCTTCTGGTACCCAACAGTCCCCAACAAATCCGCCGCCAATCTAACGAGGGAAGCCATTCAGAATAAATACTTTCTATTCAATGGTTGGAGCTTTACCGACAAAGGCGAACTGCCTCCGACGCCGGCGAGAAATCGGAAGGCGAGAAGCTGGGATTCTGACTGTGCAAATCCACATCCAATTGTCCAAGCTGCCAATTCATTTCAAAATGGGTGAAATTTATGGGTCAGGTTGTAAATATCACATACCGAGATACCATAAATTTGCCAATTGCATGACACGCGACCGTCCGTAAATCTCACTCAATGGACCCAGAACCAATGGCCCGATCGCTGGAATGCAGTTTGGTTGATCAGTGGCGAATCTAGAATTTACGATATTGGCATACCATATGCAAGTACAAATATTGATGCTGTAAGTGCAAGTACAACATCGTTGTTGATTCCGAAGGCAGAACCCACTTGGCCAGCAGCGGGCGAGATCATAGAGGATGAAACTGAGCTGATGAAAGTAAACAATGACATAATTATTATCGCGGCCCATTTGCGTCTATCGGACCAGCTGTGCAATAACTATCAGCCCAATAACCATACTGCTCTGCTCACGCAACGCACTTTTTAGGATTGTGAGGGTCATCTGGGCCGTCCCAGTCGACAATCAAAACATCTGTACCACTCGTTGTCGCGCTATTGCCAGTGCTATACGACTTCTGGGAATGACTCTGTTCTGGAACATGGTAGATTATATTTGGCGCGCGATCGTCTTGTAAAGTTAGTGTTGGAGACACCGAGTCTAGTAGGCCTTGTCCCCCGTCAGTTAAGGACGCAGGGATTGTGTTTGTGGCGGACATGTGCGAATGATATCCACATGGTTCCTTCCTGTCCGCCTACTTATACTCAGGAGGAGCCGGTTAGTCGACCGTTACGAAGTCACTAGAATGCAGAGTTGAGTAAACAGGTCCTGCCATTACCATGCTAATTGCCATACCTTGCCAAATCGATTGAGATGAAACCCTGCATTTGTTTGACACATACCAGTTTACTGTAACTTCGCTATTGGGACCGCATCGGGGTACGCCGTCGGCCAATAGTCATACTAAAATGCAAACTCGGAAACAGGAGTGACAGAAAGCGATGAAAGCAATGGACCAAGTACTTACTAAAAGCCTCCGTTTGGAGAACATTTAGTGCCTTCCTTGGCGTCGAGTTGCTGATTCCGCGTAATAGTAGGGAAGTACTAACTGGGTAGATCCCGGAAACATCATAGTCGTGATATTCTCATTAGCATATCTGGCGCAATTGAGAAAATTTTGTTTTATGTCCTTAGCTACGCTAGATCAATGTCGCAATTTTAGCGTGAATTCCCGTTTGGTTAACACCGCGCGACGACGCAATCTCGAGCGTGTTGTCAATGAAGCCTAGTACCGATCGAAAGTATCGTCCAGACGAGACATAGAGTCGAGCAGTATCTGTCAAATTGGCAGTTAGTACTGGTAGAAGGTTCTTCAAAGTCAAGGAGGAGCAACATCGACAAGAACTTTGTCAGAGGTGGCCGCACCACCGCGGTCATGGGTAACAGATCAACATCGCACCGCCTTTAATAGCATTCAGCAAGGCATTAAAATCACCAGTTGAAGCTGAGGCAGCGAAATTGACTGCAGGTGGCGGGAGTGCAGCAGTTGAAGGTGGTGGCAGAGGCGCAAGGAGGGCGAATGTCTCCCATCCATGTCGTCGAACGGCCAAATTCCTCATTCCTCCCATCACGCTCTCTGGCGAACTCGTGTTTCTCCTTCTCTGTACTAGCCTGGCAGTCCTCGATCTTGCGTTCGAGTTCAGGTGCACGCTCGTGCATGAGTTGCAAAAGCTCTCTTTCTCCAGCATCCTACGCTCTTATTCCTTGCTCGCGCTCCTTGGTACGTGGGAGATATACTCCAGGTTCTCTTGCAGTCGCTTAATACGGTACCGCGGTCTGCGGTACCGTATTGATCGCCCATCTCATGATTGAGAATCTTTTGGGTGTTGGCAAGCTGGCAGATATATCTGCGACAGGTCTGTTGTCTTTGTTTCGCGGGCGTACATAGTGCTGCGGTCGGTGTGCCTGCTGCGGGGCTGGTAAAACCAGGAAGCTCTGAATCGGTGTGATTTAAGTATAGACTGTAACGTCTTGCTCAAAGATGACTAGTACGAGCAAACTTGATTATGTCAGCAGATTATTTACGTTCAAACGAAACTTTGCGTTTGCAAATTCATTGCAAATGGACAACGGCATCGCGGCACACCTGCCTATATTCTAATCAGCATTTTTGCCGAACATAAAACAACATGAAACACATGCACAGCATATGCATGATCTGGATCCCTCAACCGCTTTTCTCAGGCCTCTCACCTGAGCTTCATCCACAGTCCCCATATCCCTTTCTTCCGAGGCCCCTGCACATCCCCTCATTTTCAATCGCGCCACCATACCCAGTACTGTAGAAGGCCAATTTATCAGACTCGAAGGTCAGTCACTCCATATCACCTTCGCATCCATTTTAACTTTCGTTATCCTCTCGCCCTATCTACAGTCACCAGCAGAAAGAATCTTCAAGTCCCTTCCGAACGCATTCCCACAGGATTTTACGGATCCATCGATATTTATCGACTCGAGGAGACGCTGGAAATCAACCATCAGAGTCTTATCATCCGATGTCCATGAAGATCCCATGTTCACATTTTTTCCCAAAGGTATTGGCGGACAGGCGAATCGTGAGTCTTCCTCCCGCCCTATAACTAGTACTGACTCGGGTCATCTTTATACAAGGTATATGTAGCAAGAATCGCCAGCTGTTCACATTGAGCAGGGGATCTCCACAGCTGTACAGTCCGTCCGTCCGTACAGCTATGTAGATCCCATGTTCACATTTACAAGTTGCTGGTGTTCTTTCTTTTCATGGTGCTGGAAACGTAACCCTGTAAAGGCTCTCGCGTTCCTCTGTGTGTCGGTGAGCATTTCTTCCGTTACAATTACTCTGATCCTCTACTTAGCAGTATAAAATTTAACGAGTTTTGTTCTATACCTGTCCTCCAAGATCGCCAATTCCAAGCCGATGGGTCCAGAGGTGCTGGTGAGCATGTGGGGATTCTGCCGTTATCTACTATGAACTTGTGTTGAACTGACTCTGGTTGGCAAGCGGTGATCAACGTTGAATGCATCCGCCAAGTGTTTATTAAATCGACAAGCATTCGGTTGATGACATTGCACGCTGTAAGCGAGATGGCCTAGATAGCCTGGAATTTCTAGGGGACACTTATTTGCTGCCCTGGATTTACTGCGAGCTTGTACAAATCGACGCGTGATCGTGATCCTCGGGTATGCACGCGTGTTAACGATTAATGTTCCCATCCACGAGTGCTTCAGGCAGTGGATTCTACCTTTGCGTAGTAGTCATTTACAAGCGGGCCCGAAGTACACATAGATTTAAACTCTTTGTCATGCAGCTCGTTCCGACTAGTACCCTGTATATCCTATCATCATGCTTCAAATTGCGCAGCACGACGTAGATCGCAACGGATGAGCTGTCCTTCCTGCAGGGCTGACACTTTGTCACTTTAGGCCACACGTTCGGCGGGAAATGGTTAACTTGAACTTCAATGTAGGGGCCATGGAGACAGCGATGCAAGCAACAGCTTTGGGAGGTAGTTCAAATGACTCGGCATGCAGGTAAGAGCATAGTACTACGGTCCGCGGGATGTAGTGGTATCACTGGTATGCAGGCAATGACGAGCATCCGTTAGCTTTCCGTAGATCAAGCGATTCGAGGAGATTCTGTCAAGGGGGTAGATATAGATACAAGATATTATACAGACAAGCGTGAAAACCAAGAATTGTTAGTCAGATGGGAGGGGAAAAACACAACCAGAGTCCGTACCGACGCGACATGCACGAACGATCAAAATTTGAAACAAAACGTGGCAACTGCAGGATATTCCCCCGAACATCATGATGAAGAAAAGTATCCCAAACTCAGGTAGGCGAGGCGGCTCCTGTGACATGTAGCGCAGCATCTTTCAAAGATGTGAGATGATCGTTGACTTCCTCCCAAATCCAATCCGCCCAACATGAATCCATGGACGCTTTAACTTCGTCGATGCAAGGGAACCGGGTGAAAATGATCAGAGCGAGGGCTTCAGCACCCACTATGGGATCCTGCAAGGTGTCCAAGTTCAATATTTGTAAAGAGGTATGTTGTATTGACTCCGCAGTAGGATCGATGTCGATATCAGCAGTATCAATTAATACTCGCAGCGAATACAGGTGTGGACATTGGCGGAGGGCAGTGAACAATCCGCTGACTGTAACGGTAGATGGATGGTGACCTGAGTTATATATTTGCAGATCGCGCATGTGTGGCCAACATGACATGGCTTCTAAGAGAAGATCATTGTCAAGGTAGATGCGGAAACCATAAAGCATGAGCTGTAGCGTTTGGAGCTGTGCGAAGCAAAGGAAGTGTGTAATCGCTGTGGAAGAGTTCTCTGGGGTCTCCTGAGATATGCGACCAGTGTGAAATAAATTTAAAATGACGATTTTTTCCAGGGTCCGGCATGCGTTGCAGTTGGACAGCGCACGAAAGAGTTGCTCAGCCTCTGGTGTAGATATAGCATCAACTTCCATCTTGAACTCTTTCAGCGTGGGGAATTGCGAGTGTTGCATGATTGTGATTATGTATGCAGCATCTGGTCTCCGGAAAGAAAGAGTCGTGATGTTAAGGAATACGAATGGTGAGAAATTGACGACACCCTGTTTGAACAGCCAAGGACGGTCACTGTACGCTTGATTTATTCGCACTCTGAGAAGGGTAGGTTGGTTGGACAGGTGCTTCCATGCTGCCCAATCGAGCGGTGGACAATACAAGGTTACAAGCTGCCCGCACAAACGGACACTGTCAGACAGAAGGGACAGCTGATCTGTCGTGACCTTGTCGCAAACTTCGATAAATAAGCTCTGCAAAGCAGCACAGCGGGTCCCAATAGAGTTCAAGTCTTCACTGATGACCGGTAAAGAACAGTGGAGCAGCGTATGGGCCAGGAACAGGTTCAAATATTTGTCAGAATGACCCCGAATCCACGTCCAAGTAAACGACTGCAGCCTCGGGAAGACGCATGCCTCCAGAGGGATGGCTGAGAGAAGATGAAAATGGCAATTGGACAGTATGGTCAACGAGCGAACGCGGGCGGAGTGCCGCAAAAATTGACGGCCCTCGTGAGCAGATAATGGTTCGATGCCTTTGTCCCAGTAGCCTGGCCGGCCGAGCATCTGATGAGTTGCGCCGAGAAGAAATGAACAGAGCGAGACTGACCCTTAGCACTAGAATATATCAGTGGATGTAGCCTCGTTACACAACCTAACAGTGGTTCCAACGAACACAAGTCAGCCCATAGCACATCCATGGCGGGTTCGTGGAAGGCTTTGCATGTCCTTGCAAGCCCTGAAAGGGATTTCCTGGTTAATGATTTTTCACCAAGACGCGTTATTGACCCCGAGTCCCCGGATCTTTCATTCGCGTACGTGAAAATGTTCAAGAGGATCTCAGAAATAAGTAGAACTTGATGCATATATATAGCAGTTCTACGCAGATGGAATAAGTGGGCAGAGCGGCCGTTGAACTTGACGAGCGTAAATGTGGTCAGGTTCTAGCGGAGTTTTAAACCTGACCTGCCATATCAACCACGAGTTCGGCCAAAATTAATGTAGTAGTTCGCCAATGTCCAAATCTCCATAGTCCGTGTTATGGAGTTATCTGACTCACTCGCCAGCAGCGTGCTGTCTGCAGAGATGTGTATGCAGCTCGCCCCTGGCAAGTGGCCTTGAAATGTCTTCAAAATCCCCATCTCAACGTTACAGGCTTGCAGCTCCGGACGATCACTAGCGGTGACAACCCATCAGCCATCTGTTGATTTTGCTAATTTTCTCGCCGTTCATTGTAGTTTCCCTGTTGACACGAGCAGATGAGTTTCCTCGTGAGATCGTGTGAACCGTCCTCGAGTACATACTCATTCAATCCCCCGCTTCACAGTCCAACCCACCCACCATTGCAGATGCGCGTGTGTGGGCACAAGTACAAAACCTCGCACTCCTTATCCTTATCAGCCCGCATCGTGGATGATGTCCGCATCGATGTCCACCCAAGTCTGTGTGCCCTCACCCAGGATTGCGTAGCATTAACCGAATTTTATCATATAGGCCAAACTTTCAAGAAGGTAGGAACCGAAACCACGGATCTCTCTCATTATCTTCCAGCGACAGTTATGAAATATCATTTTGATCCAGGCTGCGAAACGGGCGAAGCAATCGCAGATCGCCAAGATTTCAAACCCGTCATAGTTGTCTGGAGGGCCACTTGGAGCTCGGTCGCTCTTGGATGTCGTAGGAGGGTCTTGCCCTGTTTCGTGTCACGCGAGGCCACGCAAGTTCGGTACGCTGATCAAGCTGTCTGACAGTCGCGGGGTATGTAGTGAGTGGGGACATAGACGAACTGACCCCGGAATGTAATGGAATGTCAATGAAGATGGGGTCCCTAAATTTTTATGAGCGACTAAGGGATCTATGAAGTTGGTGGAAACAGATACATGATAGTCTACAAAAAATGCGTGAAAATCCACGTAACACAGTGATTTATCGGCCACAGGGGAGAAAACAATTGTAACCATAGTAAAAAGCAAGCATACCGACAACGACATGCACGAACGAACAAACGAACATGAATGAATGTAGCAACTCCAGGATGCTCCTGAACGTGAACGTATCTACTGAGCTCAGGTATTCGAAGCGGCTCCTGTGACACGCTGCGCAGCAGCTCTCAACGATGCGAGATGTGTGTTGACTGGTTCCCAAGGCTGCCAATCATCCACGTCCGTATTGACTTGGTCGACGCAAGGGAGCCAAGTGAAAATGATGTGAGCGACAACCTCAGCATTTTCTACGCGACCCCTGACTGATTCCAAGACCAATGTTCGTAGGGAGGTATGTTGTATTGGTTCAGCATTAGGATCGATATCGATATTCACGGTGTCAATTAACACTCGCAGGGTTTCCAAGTCTGGACATTGACAGAGCGCTGCGAATAATCCGTGGAATGTAATGGAAGGACGACGACCAGAGTCTTCCATCTTTAGAGTGTGGATGTGCGGCCAAGCTGACATGGCTTTCAAGAAAAGGTTATTGTCAAGGTAGAGGTAGGAACTAATACATTCGATCTGCAGAATTCGGAGCTGTGTGAAGCAAAGGAGATGTGGAACTATTGTCACAATGCCTTGGGGGTCGTCACTGTCGTATTCGAACAAGACAACCTCGAGTTCTTCCAGGGTCTGTTTGCAGTGGGATAGCTTGCGAAAGAGTCGCTCAGCCTCTGGTGAAGACATGAACCCGATATAAATGCAGAATTTTTTCAACGAGGGGAATTGTGAGTGTTCCATGAGTATGCTCATGTATTCGGCAGTTTCTACCTGGAAGGAAAGAGCCGTGAGGTATAGGAATGGCGAGAAATTGAGGAGATGCGGTTCCAACCGCCAAGCAGGGGCGTCAAGATCGTACACTTCATCAACTTTCAATTCCACCAGGGTAGGGAGGTTAGAAAGGTCCTTCCATGCTGCCCAGTCAATCGGTGGACAAGTCAGAGTTATAAGCTGATTGCACGAAGAGACACGGCTAGACAGCAGGAACAGCATACGTCCTGTGCTCTCGTAGGAAAATTTGATTCGCTCCAAAAATATAGAACAATGGCGCAGCGTGGGGGACATAAATAGGCCAAAATATGAGCCAGTGGAAATAGTTAACGAATGCAGCCTCGGGAAGACGCATGCCTCGATAGGGATGATTGAGATGAGCAGGCAAAGACGATTGGATGTTATGTTGAATGAGCGAATACGGTCTGAGTGACGCAAAAATTCCCAAGTCTCATCGGAAGATAATCGTTCGATGCCTTCTGCCCAGGAGTCGTCACCCTATTTGATTATTAGATGGTCGGTCAACCAATGAACAAACAAAAATGGGAACGTACTGGTGCACGGCTACCACAATATATCAGTGGATGTAGCCTGGTTACACAACCAAGCAGTGGTTGTAAATCGTCTACTGTAGCCCACAGAAAATCCATCGCGGGATCATGGAAGGCTTTGCATGTCGTTGCAAGAGCTGCAAGGGATTTCCGAGCTACAATGTTTTTTCCAATAGATGGTATTTGATCCACATGCATGAATATCTCCACGAGGATTTCGGAAACAAGTAGAGCCTGATGCATCAGTTCTGTGTCGATATACTGATACTGATGATAGTCCAGATATGCAGATCTGAGTGACAACCAGTTGGCAGTCACACACAGTCACATAACGGGTGACTACCACTTAGTCTACCAGTCAGACCCCAGGAGTGATAGTACCGAAGTATCCATCCATACTAGTAAATTCCCATGCGTACACCTTAAGTTGGTTCTCTTCAGCCACAACTATCAGTTCTAGTGACCTTGTAAAGGTAAACAAGGTAAAGACTGAGTACTGCAGTACTTAGTTGGCTAGTAGATCGTCAATTGACCCACTTCTCTTCTCCACCACGCTCTACTACATCCCAACCATCCTCCTCCACGATACGTTCGCTTTTCATTCTCCCGATGCCGGCTTCTTGTATTGATCACTTTCAGAGCTATCCCGGGCTGGTCACTCGTTTCATCAATCTAGCACATTCATAGATGTTGCGTGGACAGACGTCACGGTCATCCTAAGTATATACACAACGTTTCTTCCATACATTACGACTGTAAGCTAATCGATCATAAGCAAGCTTTCACTCGGGGACATCATCAAAGCGGTGGTGTGCCCTCCCCTTCCGACACAACCCCTGGCTGCAATACGAAACTCCACAAATCAGCCGGATCGGTCGAGTCATAATAAATTTTAACCCAGAGCTGGCAGTGATCGATGTCAGTCGTAAAGTCCAAAGCTCACTGATGAAACATAAACCTTGTCCCCTTCACTTGTGCCACTGGTATGCCACACTCTGTCAGAGTTTTTCAAGTTGATGCTGCAGATAAAAAGACGAATTAGTTCTCAATACAAGCCAAGACTAGCGCAGAATACCCTCACATAAAATTGGAGCCTTCTCCCGTTACATCATATAACTCGAACTCCCGTGGAATTGTGTCACCGACGACATAGTAGGTCTATCATTCCACGCTGTAAATTAGCAAGTTGCACCTCTTGCCACCACGTAGACCAACCAGGTCATCGACCGTAGCATAATTCCCGGTCGCTAGATTCTTGATCGTCGCAATTCCAGTTTCTGCGTCATAAGAGACCTGCCACTACCACATTCATGAGTATATGTAGTATGCATTGTAATTCATTAATGACGAATACATACAATTTGACTCTCAGACCCCATGTCGTGAGACTGAGTGATGAATTGGTGAGGTGTGTTATCTACCAAGGTGGCGTACATGGAACTTTTATCATTTCTGATTTTGTATAGCGCAACGCCATCGGTGGGTGGTGACATCGTATAAAAGTATGCTAATACAGAGATTGTGCCGAGTATATGAGTGAGGGTGGGTTGTTGACAGGATAGCAAGATAGGATACGACCTTTATACCCGCCTGAACGTCATTTACGCCAGATTCAGCAGTGACTTTATGATATTGTCGCCCTTCGTTTAAGCCCCAGGCCCCGAGTCAAGACTCGGCTTCGGGGATACCATAATCTGGATTCGCCGAGGGCTGTTACGGTAAGTGACCATGAGCCAGCCTAAGAAGCATCACTTATGGTATGGGGTGAAGCCTCTGTACAAAGTTGTGACTCACAGACTTGAACACTCCTCGAGCCGAGCGATTCGCGTCCGATCGGTCCTCGTAGGTTCCAAGATCCAGAGACATTCCAGAGTGTCCATGAGTGTCCCCCAGTAATACAAATTGGCTTGAGTCACTTCTGTATGTACATAGAATGTCCTCACCCCACAATCTGAGAGTGCCGAATCACTTACATGATTCAGGGGCCCATGCGATGTTCGGAACACCGTGGGTTTGTGCCATTGACAAAAATTCATGGCAAGCGAAATTGGAAGTACCAGGGTGTGGTAGACTAGTCACTTCGAGAAACGAATCTTGTGCTACTGATTGACAAACATTCCTGGGGAGCGAAAACGAGGAATGATGATAGCTCCTTTTGCAATGGAGGTTGCAGCGTGGAGTACCAGCTTTCGTAAATTTGCTGATCACGAGACGGAGAATTTCAGTCACAGAAAGTTCATTCGTTCCCCAGGATTGGATTATACTTACACGATTCAGGGGCGTGTGTGATGCTCGGGACAGCAGAATGCTGGCCTACACGGGAACGACGTCGTTAATGTAACATATGACAGACCACGTAAATTCCACACCATGCCCCCTTTGTCGCAGGAGTTCTCCAGCTCCGATCGCTTTACTAATACACTCTGGAGATCGTCAAAGCTGAAGAACATGTCATGCGCTCTCCCGGGAGACCCTGAAACCCCTGAGGCACCTGGCACTCCTCTAGATTGAACAATCTCTGAGATACTCGAGGACAAGGAGGAACGTGAGGCCGTGACCCCGGCAAACACAATATGAGGGGTGCTCGCTGCTGCCCAAGAACAAAGAGATAAGTGCATGATTTCATTCAGGAGTGGAAGGGCGAAGACTGAGTAGCTGTCGTAGATCGTCCATTTACCCAAATCCCTCTTCACCACCAAGCTCTACCACATCCCAGCCATCCTCCTCCACGATACGTTCGCTTCTCATTCTTCCGATGCTGGCTTCTTGTGTTGAACGTCCCGGACGTATTCGTGCCTGCTCGAGCTGGACTAGCAGCAGTGGCTTGAAGGACCTGGGCAAAGTCGAGCGTGAACGAGGGAGGGATCGGAGGCAAAAGAATCAGGGTGGTATGGTGCGATCGACTGCGATGGGAGATCGTAATATTAATCAGAGAACGCCGACTTTGGATGACAGAACGAGTAAAGATGAAGCAGAAATACAGCGCCGATGACTCGTCTGTTCTGGGGCTTCTGAATCAGCTAATGTGACGGGTGTATGAGATGGTGTAGAGGATGGTTTGGAGGTTAGGTATGCATGCAAAGGGTGTTTGGCTGTCCATCTATGCGAGGGAGGAGGTGAAAAAGTCCGAGCAGGAAACACAGTTAAGGAGTAGAGCCGACGCACTTTGCTCATGATTCACTCCCTCGTCCTGCTCCGATCCAAGGCATGCCAACCCCGAATTTTCTGCGAGACCACGAAACTTCAAAAGGGAGTTTGATACCCAAGTAAAAAGTAAGAAGTGAATGGTATGTGTGATCACGGCGTTGATGTGGTGCGGTGGGTATCCTATAATACATCCTGTGAGGTCAAATTCTTCGCGTAGTAAGTACTTGCAACGTACGTACGTCTAACATCTCCAGGTACTGGAAGAACCAATCCACCAGGGCACGCGGTTCTCAGCTCACTTCAAAATATTGGTTGTAATGCAAAGCGGCGATATCTCAAAATACAACAACTGCAAATACGATTCCTCACGCTCTCGCAATCATTTCGTTCCCTGGATGGCGCAATTTATTTATACTATTCCTCTAGTGCCCTAGTAGGGCTTGCTCGAGATGCTTCTCATATACCTTTCGTTGGTTTCCCGAAGACCGCTTGAGAGTGACGTGGATCGGAGGGCTGTTCATGGTCCCGCTGTCTATTGGAGGCTTCGAGGCTGATCACGACGTATGTTGAGGGCCTGATCGGTCTTTCGTTGAATTAATTGCGCCTTTACATGAATGGAACGGGGGTAAGTCCTCCCAGCTAATTCCTCTCACCCTGTGCATGAATCAATTTTAACAGGTCGATTTCGTGTTGAATCCCATTGGTTCTTATGGTGTGGATGTACTGCACTCTCGAAGCACAGAGGCCACAGCCGCTAGCCACGGCAGTATCTATGATAAAGGCGCGGACATCAAACTTAAACCTTTTCATTTACCTGCAAGGGCGATTCGGCCACTTATCACATCCGCTACGACTGCTCTTGGCATTCCATCGATCGACCACATGGATGTTGCGTGGAGGGACATAATCGCAGCTGTCTTTGCGCTCATTGGACACGGACGAGGGTCGTTTTGACTGCAAGGTCAATGATACTGACATTGTGCTGCTTCTTTGTGTTTCTTTCCTAGGATCATTTTCTTGACGACTCGTTATGTCGACCACACGAGGGCCAGCGTAGATGTTGGTTTCTCTACCAATGAAAATGACTGACAGATCGATCTTCCTTTGTTTTTGGATGGAACACAAGATGTGTGGGGGAAATACTCAAGTCGAGAGCGTGAACGAGAGAGGCGTTGGAGGCAAGAGGAGCGGGGTCATGTATATTTTTTACCTTTATTCTGTTCTGGGACAATGATTATTGACTTCTGATTCACGGAGTGGCCTGGGTGGACGAAGGTGTGCATGGCTTCAGTCAGTCACTGCTGCCTTTCAGTTCATTGCAATGGCATTTGTATCATGAACGCAGGGACAATGATGAGTGGATCGATGGTGCGGTGGTGCCTATCCTTCGAGCACGAAGTCGCAAAGCACTTAGTTCGACTTGGATGACAAGTCTGGTGCTCAGTTTGAGCGTCAAGGAATTTAGTTGCGAGACCTTCTACAAATACATGGTCACTACGATGGTGTACCATACTATTTCTCTCTAAAATCTATGTTGGAACACCGAGTAATCATAAGTACCACGGCAAACTGGCAGCAAAAGAAGTTTTCCCGTTCCCTGCACAATATTAATATCGAATACTAATCACATCGTACTAGACACTATTGCTAGCTGACACATGCACGCGCTCCTGGAAAACAATCGAAGCCATGCTGGTCGACTTATTGGAGTTGTCCACGAGCTTGGCATGATATTCTCGGACGCCAAGGATCAGGCGGGGCCCCAGCACAAAAAACTGCATGATCATGAGCATTTGACTGAGACCAGCATGAGCGTCAACCGAGTATGAGTCCTATAAAAATGATGAACCGTGGTCGCATGCATAGGTCAGGAGACATGGGCATACCGTCGGAGCGAAATAATAACAGCTAATGGCAATGAAACTAACAAGAGCAGAACTTCAGCGGAAATAGAGAAACACATTGAATTTATGGGCTCACCTCGCAAAGTAAAACACGTGAGTTTTTATTAACGCCGTGAAACAGTCCCTGACAATCCCTCCTGCTGAATATCTTCGCAGTTCACGGAAGTGTTTGACTGCAATCCAAACTGCGAGACATAGTGTGATGGCCTCCCATACAGCGGCGAGTATCCAAGTAATGAAAAACAAAAATGAGACTTCTCCAGCAACGAAATTGCACTGATAGGTTCCGGAGAGAATGAGTTCCTCTGGTATTCGCCGGTGAGCCTTATGCACCAGCCTTTGATCAAAATTAAGCTTACCCCCTGAAGTATACCTGATTGCTACTCCGGCAAGAACCCCGTCGAAGATGTTGATAGCCAGGAAGATGACGACGAGAAGTATCAGCACCTTTTTAGATCTCTGATACATGGCGTGTAAGCGAGCAATCATGATGACTTGTGTAATGTTTCAGTTAGCCATGTTAACGTATTGCAGGCCGTCCAGCTGCATAGCTCACCGTTTAATATTATATTCACGACACAATTCGTGCAATTTTGTGCGAGCCACATAATCCAGCCTGACAGATCCGGTTGGTGATCAGTCACAGAAGATCATACAGTCCGAGAAAACTCACAGCTGTAGCACCGATTACGTCGATCCAACACATTGGTCAAATTTCACTTACCCCTACACGGGAATGGAATTGAGTCGACGGGAACACATGAATTGGTACAGAACAACTACTCACGGTATCTCCCACTGAGATTGTCGGAACACCATCTGTATCGCGCCGGTCAGGAGAAACAAACACGATGTATATGAAGAGACATACACAGTATGCTGACACTAATTGTAAGATGGTTTATTAGCACAATACGAACTGCTCAGCCAGCCTTCTGAACATACACAACATATATTATCCCAATATAGCGCAGCTAGGTGTTTCAAGTCAGCATAACTTGCCAACCACACTGACAACGCAAGCCACATACACTCAGATACAAAATGGTCATGAGGGACCAGTGTTGCCTCTGCCGCGAGTTAATTGTATTTTTATGTTCTTATGACATCGGACACTGCTTACCCAGATCAGTTCGACCTATCAAACTATTCTTTAGCGAGACGACTGGTCGGGTGATGGCATAAACCTACCTCTTGGCCGAATGTGAGTGCTGGAGATACAATAAATATATCAGCGGTTCTTTGATACTATCTTGCTCACCCCAATCATATGTCACCCCAGAAGAATAGACAACTGCAAAACAGCAGCCAAGGTTAGATCGAGACATCACTGTCATCACCCGACTCTTTCCACGAACCTACAAAATAACTGGAAATACGATATGAGTTGATAGATGGCCACCAATTCGGATCATTAGAGACCAGGGTCATACTGTTAGAGAATGGGAGTGAGCGACGAACTCGGTAGACGTATGACGATGACATTCGTACTAGATATACTACCATCCAATGTTGCAGCGTCAAACGAAGAACTAAAGAATGATAACCGTAAGTGTTTCAGCATGAATTTAAGTTGACATGGAACGCCCATCCGGAAGCCCTCCCTTGCAAATTGCATCCGAGGAAATCATCGATAATCGGTGAACCGGTGAACAGATGGGACATTGAGATACGCGACTGCCGCAGAATTAGTGATGGAAAAGTCCGGTTCGGTCCGGTTCTCTAGGAAATTCAGAGAACCAAGAACCGGACCTATGGTTCGGTCCTCTCAGTACACAGAACCGTGGACCGGACCATCAGTTCGGTCCAATAATGGTCCGGTTCCGGTTCAGCGAGGGTTCGAACCAAGAACCGAACCAAAACAAAAAATGTCAAAAAACTTGATTCTCGATAGTAGGAATAAGAGTCGAACAGACAGGTAAACTTGTACTACATTAGTTTACCATCTTCGTCATCTTCGTCATCTTCGTCACGCAGTGCAGCAATCAATGAATCTAGATGCTGTTCAGCATCACTAGCAGCTGAGATGTGACCATTGCGATATGCACTCTTTAGCAGCTGCAAGCTCTCAAACACATCCTTCTTGAGACGGTTGCGTCGTTTCGTTCCAGTTAGCCCACCACTCGAGAAAGCCCGTTCCGATGCTGTACTACTACCCTGGATAGCCAGATAATCCCTGGCCATGCGCGAAAGTGTTGGATATAATGACTGGTGATGCTGCAGTAATTAAGCTAGGTTAGATACAAATGGACTCGCAATGATAACAAAAACTTACACCCCACCAACCTACAACATCTTCAGTTTGCTCGAGGGGACTCTGGAAGTATGCTGTAAGTTCAGCACGAGGCTTAGCCTGCACGCGATCAGACACTTGACGGGCTTGCACAGCAGCAAGGACCCATGAACGGCCATATTGGCCATGTTCAACTGGTACTTGTTCCGTGTTCGGGTCTGCAGACACTGAGACAGTGGGGACATAGTACTTGTCGAACTATTGAAATGAGCCAGCAAAAATCAGAGACAAAGCTCCAACACTTACAATTTGTTCGAAACTTTTGAGCCCAATGTCGAATGATTCTTTGTCCCACTGATGTTCAGCATACGCGAGCTTCACGTTAGGATCGAGTGCTGTGAATATAAGACATTAGCACCGTAGTAACAGATCAATGGAAGTAAAAACAATACCGAGACAAATAAAATATGTGCTGGTGTCCTTTGTCTTGTCATACCATTTCGCAACGTTGGCCAATCCCTTTTGAAGAGCATCATGTACAGGAGAAAATCGAGGGAGGGCAGCCATGTTTTCCCATGATTTCTGTAAAAATTCAAGGACTGGAATGGTGCGCCAAACAGAAGGATCACGAGAGCTGGAAAATGTTTGTGTTGCACTTGCTGGTTCCTATAAGTACCATTAGCACACGACAATACAGTTAGTACAGCTAAACAAAACCTGAAGGACTTCGTGAGCCAATTTCATCTTCTCCCAGTCTTTTTTATCGAGCCGAAAGTCTGCATAACATTTGCCTTTGATGTTAGGGACTTCGTCACTGTCATCTGCAAGCTTGACGAAAACATTGACACCCTGTGAAGAACAGTGAACCAATGAATACACAACACAAGAGACACTATGTACCTTCTGCAGTAACAGCATTCGCGCAATGAAATTGTGCATGGAAGCCCATCGAGTTCGTACCCATTGCATGAGCTCGAGGACAGGGATATCGGCTTGCTTGCATGACTGGGCGAAGAAGGCACGAGCCTGAGGTGATGCACGGATCTATGAGAAATAGTTCATAGATTGTCAGATAAGCCTTTCATACAAATGATGAGATGAACGAACCTGTTTTACAAGCGCCAGAGCCTTCCCAATTGAATCACCAACTCCGAACTCCTCATCATCGTCATCATTATTCTCGCACTCTTCCCCTCCTTCGTCGTCGATCCCCTCCAAGCTTGTATCCAATGCATCGAAATCTATGCTACTGCCATCCAGCTCCGAGTTTCTCAATGCGGCTCTGATCTTCTTCAAAAGTTTTCGACTCGATGTTGGTGAGACGCCCATGAGGAAATGCCCAGCAGCAAGATTGATAGTATGCTCCATACATCTGTCATTGGCATGTGAGACAGTGCCAGCGCTGAAAATAATAAGGTAAAAATCATACCTAATATGTCCTTCTACCGGATCCCATTGTTTCGCACCTGACTCATTGTCATGGTTGATGGTGTTGGCAAATGCTGTAAGGCACGTATCATTGCTGGCTGCATTATCGCACGTAAACCATCCAATCTGAATGCTTATCAGTGTCATGTACAAGTAGAGCAAGGAGATGGACTTACTTTTTTACGAAGACTATAGCGGTCAACAGTGCGCACGAGGAGGTTGGCCATATTCGCACCTGAATGGCGTCCTTCGATTGGACTAAAGGCGAGTTGTTCAGTTTTAAGCTTCCAGTCATTGGGATTTTCTGGTGGCGAGTGTATATAATGGCCAGTCACAGAAAGAAATGGGTCGCCAGGGTCAGAGGTCCAAGCATCGAAAGTAAATGAGACTTTGCCAGGTATGTCCTGCACCGTTGATGTTAATGCTCGAACATTTGCATTAATTAATGTGCGTACCTTGAGAATTTCTTTGACCCGTACTTCAGTAGCCTTCGCTTTCTTGAGAATTTCCTCACGAAGGGTCTTGCAGTGCGGAATGTCCTTGTCAGACAAAGTTGGACGGACATATGTTAACAGGCGACGAAAGGGTCCCTTGTCCACTAGTTGGAATGCCTGAATTTTGGTTAATGGTGTATTATTATTTTAACAACAAACACTTACTTTGTCTTCACACACGACGAGCTCAACAATGTAGTCAAGAAGACCACTGGTAGTGAAAGTCGGTGCTCGTGGTTGATGGACTACAACACCATCAAGACTCCCTTGACTAAATTGTGCGATTAGTAACAAGATAAATCATACCAGCGTTAATGCAAAAACATACCGCTCGAGACTTCCATCAGACTTCGGACACGCTCGTGGATTCATAGAAATTTGTAAAGTCTTGCACCGTGTTTCATAAACACTAAAGTGGTCTGGATTTCTGATATATTTCTATCAGCGATAGTAGTCAGTAACAATGCGGAGCACTTACCTTGCAATATGAGTGCGAAGCGTAGACATACCACCCTTAAAGAAACAATGTCGAGCTGGAACACCCTTCTTTCTACAAAATGAAGGTTAAAATCGGCATCAAGTAAGTAGTAAAGGGACAACTCACTCACAAACCGTGCAGATATGTCCAGACTCGAGGGAACTAGTATGTGGGTCCAAGTAATCGTCCTTCTTGACAAAGATTGTGCGAACATCTGCAGTGCGATCACTTTTTGAGCGAGTCGTGCCAGCTTCACGGTCTGCATCCCCCATGGCCTTGGTTATTGCATATGAGGCCTCCGCATTGTCTTCGATTTCGGTGTCAGCAGCACCATCCGAATCATATCCTGCATCATCTGAGTCACCAGATGCACTGGACTCTGCAATGGTCTTGCGCACAACTCGTCGTTTGGTGGCTGGATCATCTGTTGCTTTTCGCTTGCCATGAGTCGAACTGGACGAGGCAACATTGTCAGGATCCATGATTTTTGTTGAAGGTCGAGGTGCGCGAGTGCTGCGCCGAGCACTAGTGAAGAGACTGTGTATTACTGGAGTAGATTTAGCAGGCTTAGGGACAGATAAAGGTTGCTCGTCGTCTGGGTCATTGTGCCATGTAATTTCGGAAGCGTCTTTTAGACGGCCATCAGGACCAACAGCACACTGGTCAGACGCCATAATTGTGGACGGGAATAAGAGATCAGCTCACCATACAATTCAAGCCGCCCAACTTTAAGCTATCAAAAAAACCTCAGGAAATATTCTTTTGTAAATTGTTTGATAAATTACCTGCGACTTCGTGATTGAAATTTGAGAATCTGAAGTGGCGTTGTCAAGGTGTTGGAGTTGCAGATGGTACTGAGATCAATAATATCTACAATCTGTCAAAATTAGTGTGGATCACTTGTAGTATTGTTGGCGCCTACCAGTGTGGTAAAATGGGTGGTGCCAGATCCTTGCAGACCGCCAGGGTATCCGAGATGACGGATGACGCGGACAAGGCAACTGTGACATTGAGGGCATCAGTGAGGATGACGGCTGACGAGGGAACATAGAGGTAGGTCGTTGTCAATGCTGTGTACCTACCGTGTTCTGCCGGTGCCCTAATAATAGTAGTGCTAATTCTGTCCTGGCTCGTGATTGGTGGGGGACCAATTAGCGCAACCAACTTGCGTCCCGAACCCTAAGTTAGGTGCATGCCATCAGCACAATGCGACGACATCAGGATTTTGCCCTGTTCACCCCATTTGCGTTACTGATTTGGTACTCTGTTCGTCCAAATAGCGAAGTGACTTGCCACCGGTTCGAACCTGTTCGAACCTGTTCAGAACCGGTTCCGCAATTCTGTAAGTCCTCGAACCGTGGACCGGACCAATGGTTCGGTCCTCCCTATTGCTCAAACCTTGAACCGAACCTCGGTCAGGTTCGAAACGGTCCAGGTTCGAACCGCAGTTCAGAACTGGACCTGGCCATCACTACGCAGAATTTAACTCTTTGAAATTCGACAACTTGTTTCTGTCACTGTCACAATGTGACATGACAAATGTTCGTTCGCGGAGTCGGGACTCGGTACACTGAAGGACCGGAGTCTCCGAGTCAGATTGACTTTATGCTAGCTCAATAGAGCTCAATTGATCCCCGGTCGACGGCTGAGATAGCTGCATATGTATCGCTAGTGACAGCATATTGGGGGTGGGGGCACATTCATATAATTTAGTAAGTTTATCAAGTTGTCTGGTCTAAACGTCGGATCCCCGTCTTGATCAGTCACTTATATTTCATCCAGGATAGTGCTACTGATCTTTCTGTTGGCTCACAACATCTGCTTGCATTTCCTCCGAGCTATGATTCATTTATTCCAGCTCCGCACCTCCCCATCTCTGCTCTTCCCGATTTCCCAATCCTACCACCATCTGAGATTCGCCTGGATGTCACCAAGGGAACCTTGCGGGACCGCTCTGTACATTGGTTCGTGAGTCTTACAAGGCTGTGAACAAGCTTGACCAAAAAGGTACGTCTCATTTTTTAAACTAGTGTTGTTATTCAGATAATAAATCCAAGGCTGTCCTTGCGCTCATTGTGCAAGGGTGACGGTCTTTGTCACCTACAAGATCGAGGATGCTCATATAGTATTGCGTCATTTTTTTTTTCTTAGGATCATGTTCTTGACGATTAGATATGGCGATCGCCAGCGTGGATGTTTGTTTATCGGCTACGGATACGTCAACTTGCCGATAGATTGATCTTTGATATCCGGCTGGGGTCGTCTTGAGTGAAGCTGCTGATGCACTATGCTATACTCCGGGGACGAAGTTCACTTGAGAGGCTCAATCATACGCTTCTACATCGAGTTGGTTGCGCAACAGGTGTATGTAGCAACTTGCGACAAAGGATGCTAAATCCTACGTACTATGCTAAAATAATAGATGTCCAAGCCGTACATGTTCAAATTCCAAAGTAATTACTTGTGACTGAACCCGAGACGCAACGATGTGAGGAAATAACGGTAGCCTGAATGAGGTTAATAAGTCAAAAGGTCAGACGGGAGAAAACTACAGTCACAATCAATAGCAAAGCAACGACGAACGAATGAACGCGAAGGAATGTAGCAACTCCGGAATATTCCCTGAACATGAGTACATCAATTATATGAGACGGCTTCTACGGCATCCAGCGCAGCAGCTCTCAAACGTTCCAGATAGAAGATGACATTCTCCATCCCCCCACCAGCTCCGTCGATACAAGGGAGCCAGGTGAAGATGATGCTAGCGACAGCTTCAGGGTTTCTAACCCAATAATGGTCTGTCTCCAACTCCAATGTTCGTAGGGAGGTATGTGGTGTTGGCTCAGCATTAGGATCGATATCGATATTCTCAGTATCGATCACAATTTCCAGGCTATCTAAGTGTGGACATTGACGCATCGCTGTGAACAATCCGCGGAATGTGACGGAAGGACGAAGGCTCGAGTCTGTTATTTTTAGAGTGTGGATGTGCGGCCAAGCTGACATGGCTACCAAAAGGATATCATTGTCAAGGCGGATGTAGGAACCTTGAAAATCGAGCTCCAGGATTCGGAGCTGTGTGAAGCAAAGAAGATGTGGAATCACTGTCAAAATGTTGCCTGGGGGTGGAGGGTCTTGATCGTTGTCTGGATCTGGATAGTCGTCTTCATAGTCGTCCAAGATAATGTCAATTTCTTCGAGGATTTGGGATGTTGTGCATTGCGATAGTGTATGAAAGAGTTGCTCAGCCACTGCTGGAGACGGAAGTTCGAGACGGACCGTGAATTTTATCAGCGAGGGGAATTGCGAGTGTTCCATAACTGCGATAATATATGCAGCACTGGAATGCATGATGGAAAGATCCCTGAGGTTAAGGAATGGTGATGAATTGAACATATCCCGTTCCAATGGCCAAAGAAAGGCACTGCGTTTTGCATCAATTTGCACTCCGAGAAGGGTAGGGAGGTTGGAGAGATGCTTCCATGCTGCCCAGTCGAGCGGTGGACAAGACAGACGTACAAGCCGTTTGCACAAACGGACACTGTCAGACAGCAAGGATAGCTCATCCGCTGCGCGCGGATCAAAATGGTCGATGCTTAAGTGCTCCAAGGCAGAGCGACGGGCCACAAGATATTTTAGAGTTTCGTTGACAGTCGATAGATGACACTTGCGCAGCGTGTGGGGCAAGAAGATGTCCATATATTTGGGAGTGGAAAGCCTCCAAGTTAACGACTGCAGCCCCGGGAAGACACATGTCTCGATGGGAATGGCTGAGAGAAAGTGAACAAGGCGATCATGATATGGTATGATCAATGATTGGACGCGGGCGGAGTGACGCAGAAATTGACAGGTCTCGTGAGCAGATAATGGTTCGAGATCTGGCAAGCCTGCCCAGGTGCTATGGTAGTCATGGGACGTCCACTATTTAGATGCTTGGTTAGCCAATCAACGACAAGAAATAAACGATTACTCAGTCTGCACTGACCCATTTATGCTGAGTGTATATTATTGAATGCAACCTGGTTATACATCCTAGCAGTGGTTCTAACTGATGTACTTCAGCCCACAGCAAATCCATGGCAGGCTCGTGGAAGGCTTTGCATGTTGTTGCAAGCGCAGCAAGGGATTTTCGACCCAATGGTATCTTGCGAGTGAGCTACGGGTCTAGTGTTGGATTGACATGCGCAAATATGTCTAGGAGGACTTCTGGAATAAGTAGAGCCTGATGCATGATGAGCGCTTGAGCCTGTATCAGTAGACTCAAACGGTTGACAGTCGTGCTGCTGAGTGATTGAAATTCATTGAATGTCACATGTGCGCAAACAGTGCCAAATTTCAAATATTTGGGTTGGCTGACAATTCTTGCGGGCCTTCGGAGCAACAGATTTTGCGGATGTTTGTGATGTCGGCCGTTTGTGTTTTGTCATGGCTCAGGGCAAGGTGATCTATAGGCAGTACACGAGGATCAAGTAGCGTGCTGCGTCGTACAGTAAACAAGACCGTCATGTGCAAGTCACGTTGTGTGTATTTCAGAGTCCAACTCACCTTGCCGAATGTTGCCGTTTGACCAGCTGAAATCCATCCGAAATCCACGTCCAAATCCACGTCCAAATCGGCTTCGAAATCCAGCTTTGAACTCCCCTAATCGCTCCTGCTAGAACGAGGTTGACCTCAGGCTTCTCAAAGGATAATCAATAAAGCGCCAGTGCATTCCTGGCCTGGCAAGTATTTCGAGCCAGTTTTTTTTTTCGTTCGCTGCCTGACAGTCTGACTATACAGAGAGTCTCCAGGCTACCATGAAATAGACGCCAATCCCGAAAGCACCATCAACTGAAGCAGGGAAAATGTGCCACGGCGTCACAACGACAGCCTGAAATTACTAATACCACCACTTGAAGGGAGCACAGGAGGGTAGAGAACCAATGATTCGTAAATTTGTACCAGATGAAAGTAATACAACAACGTTAAACTACACACCGATATGGATAAACACCATCCTCTGCTCGAGCGGCACTTTCGTCATCACGGCGTTTGCAGCACGATTGAGTGCCCAGGCCGCCTTCGTACAGTCTATGACGCCGTCCTCCAGATCCTCGAACATCTTCTCGTAGAAAGCTTCCACCACGTGTTTTGCGAGAGCGTCATTAACCCCCCACAGCGTGCCAACGACACTCTTGAACCCTGAAAACTGGAGTCCGGCTGCGAGGTGGATGGCTTCGTCAGGCGTCTCTTCATCGCCAACAGCGGTATGACATGCAGATAGAAATGCAAATTCAGCTTGCGGAGAATTGTTCTCCATGATATCAAGCAGCGTAACAGGTTTGTCTCTCATGGCGAAACATGAGTTATAAGGCTGCTCAAGGTCTTGCTTGCCGTGACAAGCGAGGTGCACCCAGGTGTTGCACCACAGAGCGTTGAGCGCACCTGCTTGTGTGGCTTCGTCTTTCGAAATATTGGTGAACTTGATGTTGGGAGGAATGAGTGTATGGACAAGTTCGAGCTCGCTGTCAACAGCCGGGAGCACGTCGCCTTGCCCTGCGCCCGGTTGACTTTGTCCAATTGCCGCGAAAGACGGAGTCGCACGCATCTTCATTGCCTGCCGAGCTCTAATAAGAGCTGAAAGTGTGGGTGTATAAGAGCAGATGTAGAGATCCTCCAGGCATGGCTCGCTCCCAGAGCGATCTGCATTCATTCGGAAGGAGTTAGCTGCATGGAGAGGAATGGACGTGAAGGCTGCCGTCGGACATAGCCATATTCGAGACCGATGCTGCAATTTCAGGCCATGCTGGAGGACGTTAACGATGGGTAGCATGATCTCGTCCCACAATATCCGCAAGCGTACTCGCAACTTCTTCCTTGGCTCCGCTGGGTGCATACGAGCCGCGTGCCGGATTGCCGTAGCGAAGTCGTCCTTGAGCTTCTCCAGATCTGCGACAGTGATGCGCGGGAAGCGAACGTGATGGGGTTGTCCTGATGTCGGGACAATAATGGCGCTGCATGAGTATTCACTCGCAATGAGGATGATGACTGGGCCATGGCGCGCTGCCGCTTGCAAGTCTTCGTAAGACAGTGGGAGCAGGAACCGCGAGAAACCTTGAAGATTGCGTATCTCAGTTACCGCAGCTTCCCATTGCGTCGTAATTCTCCTATACTGTGTTTCTGCTACTTCAGCTGCAGCTCTGTCAGTGATGGTTGAAGAATCCTGGGCAGCGTCGGAAACACGCTTGCTCAGCTCCAAAAATTTGTGGGCTAGATGTGGATGTTCCAATTCGAGGTCATCAACTGGAGTCTTGAGTCGAGAGGCCAACGACCACTGTTGGCCACGGCCCTGCTCCAACAGTTCGACTGCGTGTCGTAGGTTGTCACTGCGGATGGCACACGATGCTGCATCTCCAGGTAGTGATCTGGCATAATGGAAGACAGTGGAAGCTTCGCGCCGCGAAGTGGCTGATGATCGTGTTCCCAAATGAGCATCCAGAAGCTCGAAAAATGTTGAGTAAGCCTCCAGTGCGGATTCATCACCATGCTGCTCCGCTGCGAGAGTCCAATTATATGCCTGAATGATGCGGTCTGGGAATCCTCGAGTGGGGTGTCTAGATGCCAGTCTGAAGTTCTCCACTGCTAGTGACAAGTCAGCAGGGTTGTGTTGCACTTGGTAACGAGATAGATAGGCCTGCTGCAGCCATGCATGACTGATGCTTCTATCTGGGTGTAGAGAAGGCAAAGCCTCCAATGACTCTTGGCAGAGCCGAATGGCATCCTCGATATCTTCATTCTTCTCAGTTTGTGTGAAACAAGAGCAGAGCGCCGAGCTCAAACTGAAAAGAGTTCTATGGCGTTCTGGATCATCAAGCCGCGCCAACCGAAGAGATTCGCGATACAGCTCAATGGCCTCGTTAAGATCCTCGATGACATGAAATTCGTCATATCTGGTGTCGAGCGCGAGGGCAAGGTTATTAAGTGTGTAGTCGCGACGTGGATGCCCAGGTGGGCGCAACGTCAGTGCCTCACGATATAGGCTGACAGCTCGGTTGATGTCATCAACATCACCGCGTTTGTCGAAACGGGTGCGGAGGGCGCCCCCTAGGTTGTCCAATGAGCAATCACGAGTTTCTTGCCCAACAGGACACAGGCGCAGCGCTTCTTCGTACATGGAGATGGCCTCGTTGAGGTCATGAGATTTATCTTGGTGATTGAAGCGGGATTGGAGTGAGAAGGCCAAGTTGTTCAGGTAGGCACCACGGTCAGAATGTCCCTCAGGGCACAGAGAAGCGGCTTCACGACCAAGTTGTATGCTCTCGTCTATATCATCAATGCTGCCGCGTCGTAGAAAACATGCTTGGACTGCCTGTGCAAGCCTGGTGAGGGCAACGGGACGATGTTGATGGCCCAGAGGACGGCGTTCGAGCACGACTCGTAGAAGGAGGATGCCTTCGTCAGATGCATCGATCGAAAGATTATTACATTCGTTGATCACAAAATCAACCTCACTGTCTACACCGATGCTACGAAGGTAGGTGCCCTCTGGACAGAGGGGCAGTAGTTTGCAGCATAGCTGCCAAGATTCGCGAATATAGTCGGTGGTCCGCTCCTTGCTGTAGTACCAGTTTAATGCGAAAATGATATTATAGAGAGATATTGTGTAGTCGGGATAACCCTGTGGACGCAATGCAAGGGCTCCACGTAAGAGGGAAGTGGTGGTATCGATGTCTTCAAGATCGTTTCGAATATAACCTCGAAGGCGGGCCCACGCGAGGTTGGTGAGAGCCGCTGCGTGGTCAGGATGGTCGACCGGACAGCAGTCCAGAACCAACTGAAAATGATGTAAAGCATCGTTCAGGTGAGAGACCATCCTGCTGGACATGTATTCAGCAAATCGTGCGTGGCCCGCATCTGTCTCTTGAGCAATTTCGCAGTCTACGAGGGACTACGGTTGGTGTTCCGTCAGCAGGAGCTACTAGCAGAGGTCAGTATCACTCACATCAAATAGTGTGCCGTCCTGATTATTGTTAGCGTGTACAACAGTGGCCTTCAGCGTAAGCGAAGGATTGACACCATAAACGGGCGGGAAGGACAGTTCTACGGGACGTGAGTAGATATGCATGAATGATGCGTAGGTTACTCACCGAATGGCTCATCTGCATCATGATCGAGCAACTCATCCCACGATGTTTGAAGTTTTCCAATGACTTCACCATTGCCAAGCATTCGGTCGACCTCGTAAGACGCCCTGATCTCCACTGATAATGCAGGTGACTCGTGGGATGATCTGTGGACCGAAGATGAGTTCTCGAATTGCGTCCGAAAGTTGTGAGGGAGTTTACAGGGTCACGGTATCTCCCCACGCTACAGATTCGTCGGATGATAAGACACTTATGGCTGATTTCCAGCGTCTTCTCGAGTCGACATTGATGGATATGTAAATGCCAGCGGGAATGCGGTCAGAAGGGACTTGGAGATTCTGTCCAACGAGAGCTATAGATAGAGCGTCAGGATCATGACACAGATATGAAAGTGATACGGAGAGATTTACCTTCAAGCCTGATACACCGACTTTCTAAGCTACTAGACATGATGATACAATGAAGCAAAACAATGAAGATCGAGGGTGGGCTGAGTGGAGGGTGGAATGAGTGATAGGAGAAGATGGGGGTAGGGATATGGAGACCGTGGATGGATGGAGTTCAGCTGAGAGGGAGAGAAGAGGTTGAGGGTTTAGATGATGTTGCACGTGTATTTGCATCATGTTGTTGAGGGCTGTTCAGACGCTGGTATAATCAAACTAAGCGCTGAGACCAAAGTGAGTGTCCTGGTACAACTCACTTATAGCACACCGAATCGAGTTTATTTCATAGATGAAAACGATGGAGTACGATTGAGCTGACAGTGCCATGGGGGAAGGATGATCGAGAGTGAACGTTATAGAAACACCAGGAATGGTTTGCAAAGAGTGTGACTGCAAGCTAGAACATATTAGAGTCAGAAGTGATAATTGACAGTAGACCAGTCTTTACAATATTACCTAGGCAGCTTGTCTACTGTTGAACAAGCTGGCGTGTTTTCCTGAGCAGTACTGCCACGAATGTCAACCCAGAGAAAGAAAAAGAACCACGACCACCCATTCCAGTAACCGCGCCCACATTGAACACAGTGCGCAAGAGTCAATTCAACAAGGAGAGAAAGCAGGTTCACATGATGCACGCCGTCAGGATAAGTACGGTAAGCCCAATTTCCCCGTACCCATGGTGGCAGTTCTCACGATGTGAAATACGATTAGACTACTTGCAAACTACCAGTGCACAAGTTCCTTCTCCGTACTCTACAGAAACGTATGATAGCGATACATCAGTTTAACGGTCAGACGGGAGAAAACAGTTGCAACCATAGTCAATATCAACCATAACGATGACGTCAAGCACGAATGAACGACCCGAAGGAATGTAGAAACTCCCTGGATGTAAATATATCCCATATTCAGGTATTCGACGCGGTTTCTGCGGCATGCAGCGCAGCAGCTTTCAATTCTCTGACATGCATGTTGACTTTATCCCACTCCCCATCTGCCCGTTCGCCCACTTGGTCGATACAAGGGAACCAGGTGAAAATGATGCGAGCGAAAGCTTCAGCATCTACAATTTGAAACTCGGATGTGTCCAACTCCAACTTGAACGTTCGCAGGGAGGGATGTTGTATTGGCTCAGCATTAGGATCGATATCGATATCCACAAGATCAATCGCAACTTGCAGCGTATGCAAGTGTGGACATTGACGGAGCGCTGTGATTAACCCGTTGAATGTAACGAGAGAAGGATCAAGACCAGAGTCTCTCATTTCCAGAGTGTGCATGTGCGGCCACGCTGACATGGCTTCCAAGAGGATGTCATTGTTAAGGTAGATGTGGGATCCATCCAAATAGAGCCGCAGGGATCGGAGCTGTGTGAAGGACAGGAAATGTGGAAGCATCGTTAAAGAGTTTCCCGGAGGTGGGGGGTCTTCGTCCTCGTCTTGATAATCTTCAAAGAAAATAACGATTTCTTCCAGAGTTTGGGATGCTTTGCAGTGAGACAGCGCACAAAATAGTCGCTGAGCCTCTGCCGATGACGGAACTTTGATTTTAACTCCGAACCTTGTCAGCGAGGGAAACTGTGAGTGTTCCATAACTGCGATAATATATGCAGCACTGGAATGCAAGATGGAAAGATCCCTGAGGTTAAGGAATGGTGATGAATTGACCATATCCCGTTCCAATGGCCAAGGAAAGGCACTGCGCGTTGTATCAATTTGCACTCCGAGAAGGGTAGGGAGGTTGGAGAGATGCTTCCATGCTGCCCAGTCGAGCGGTGGACAAGACAGACTTGTAAGCTGCTTGCACAAACGGACACTGTCAGACAGCAGGGACAGATCATCTACTGTGCTCGCATGCAGAGTGATGATTTCTAAGTGCTCCAAAGCAGCACAGCGTGTCACAATAGATTGCAGATATTTATTGACGGTCAATAGAACACAATGGGATAGATTGGGGGACAGGAATGGGTCCAAATATTTGCCAGTGGAAGGCTTCCAGGTTAAAAACCTCAACCTGGGGAACACGCATGTCTCGATGGGAATGGCTGAGAGAAGGTGAAGAAGGCCATCAGACATTATATTCAATGAGCGAACACGGGTGGAGTGACGCAAAAATTGATGGGCCTCGAGAGCAGAAATCGGTTCGAGGTCTTGGAACTCCTCCCAGTTGTAGAACAAGCCTGAGTACCCCCACTATGCTCAAGATAGCTGATGAGCGAAAAGAAATAAACGAATGGTCTGCACTGACCTTATGACGTGTACGATATATCAGTGGATGTAGCCTCGCTACACAGCCTAGCAGTGGTTCTAACTGATATACTTCAGCCCACAGCAAATCCATCGCAGGCTCATGGAAGGCTTTGCATGTCCTTGCGAGCGCGGCCATGAATTTCCGAGCCGATGATGGTGGGTTAGTAGATGATATTTGATCCACATGGGCGAATATTTCCAGGAGGACTTCGGAAACAAGTAGAACCTGATGCATCACTGGCAGTAGGTAAAGTTGGTTTTAAAGTCAATCGATGAGTGCAGAACCGTTGGTAATAACACAAAGACAAACAGTAGTACTCAAATGTTCCATAGCTCTAATCTCTGCGCCAATCGTAGTAACTCTAACATTAATCAGACACGCCATGTGTCCATTGAATAAGAAACTGATCGCAAGTCCGTCAAGTCCGAGTATCGTACAACACTGTCTGAAAAATGGTGGCTAGACGTTTAACGACTCCAAGAACCCATTACATGTCAATTATATCGACATTTATATCTATCGCTATCCGCTCATCAAATAGTGACCGCTCCTATTCAGAGATGATTACTTCCATTAGCTCGACAAGCTCAACAGGAGGGAATACACTCACAGTGTTGTTGTTGTTGGTAAATACCAATAGCTTCTCCTCATTCATTATGATATCATCTAGATCGCCATCAAAAACACGGTTACTGGCTACCTCCATGTAAGGGAGATGCGTTATCACGTCCGAGACCTCAGGGTCCATTGAAGACGGTTCCCGAACTACCTTGCCGACACCTCGCGCTACGGTGAATGGATTGAAGTCGGCCATGCGCAACTGGAATTGTGAAGTAGGTGAACCTGAGACGGGAGTTGTCCATATGACACGAGATCCTCCAATACCAAATCGGCAGTTCTGATGAGGAAAGTGGCGGGAATTCTGTGGACCCCATGATGCCCATGGAACAACGCGTTCGTTTTCTAAGGTTGCATCAAACCACGACGGAGGGATATCCATGAAGAAAATGCGAGCGGAAATGACAAGAATCGATGAACGTAGAAACGACACAACAGATATCACTCGATCTCCAGGGTTTGTCGTCCAGATCCAATAATCCTCTTTTGGCGTGAGACGCGCGCAACTTGAGACACTGTGGAAAACTGAAGGAAATTGGAAGTGGCAATATGCTCCGAAACTAACGGGCAGCGTAAAGCCTGCTTGAAGCTGCGGTGCTTTTGACAGATCCTCGACATTGTATAGCTCTATATGCCCGCGCGATGTGAGAACCAGAAGCTTCTCCGTAGTAACAAAACGGATTTCGGACGCCCCATCGCCTTCGCCGCACAAGAACACATCCTTTAGATGTTCCAATTAGCTCTTTGAATTGTAAATGGAACAAGACACATACATCAGCTGGGCCACCGTGATGCCAATTCCATACACACAGCGTCCGGTATCTCTGATCTCCTTCAACGTTCACTGTATCGTGGAGCGCAATGCGATCTCCTAGGACATCGGCTTTCCCACATTTAGATTTGAACTCTGCGCTGCCAATGACGTCAATCATGGCTCTACCAGTGACTATACGGCATTCGTGGGCCAAAGGATGTCCCTTACCCGTGGAGATCGCGCGAAGACGTATTTGGTATTTGAAGTCGGAGTCCCTCAGAATTTCACCGGTGACCATGAGATCTTGCGTCTCATCCATGCAAGAAAATGTGCCGGTATTTTGATATAGACCATCCGCTTTCCACACGCAGGGTGGGGCCTTCATTGTTTCAGGCGTACACGTGTTGAGATCGATAACTTTGGAAATGACATCTCCATGCCACGTGGTCAGGGCCACAATGCTGAGTTGTTGATGGGTGATAGCTTTGAAAATCCCATACAAGTGCGCGTGATGGTGACGACGGGTGGTAAATGCATAATGAAGCCTTTGTATCGCATTGAGCTCGAAGGAACGCCACGAGCTGGCCTTGTCTCTGAGGGTGCGCAAGAACTCCACGGAGCCAGCAGGTGGCCCCGGATGAACCGGTATCAATCTTTGCATACCCAGTTCGATGGTATATTGAAGTTCAACTGAGTTTTTGACCGTGTTATATAGCGTTCGACATGTCTGTTCACGGGGAATATAAGCCAACAATGCCCATAAGATGAGGAATGCATGACTCACCAACGCGCAACGTATGATTTCTGGGTACGAAAGAAGATTAAGGATATAGAGGCGCAATTCCTCTGCGATACCACATATGTTAGCCCCCGATATATGAGATGTCGCCATCGATGAGCGGCACGCCCCGTGCGGGGGGATGGGGGGATAGAAGGATCCATTCGGCTGTCCGCTCCCTGCCTCTCCAGCCTGTACAAGCATCTTAAATATCAAAGTGCACGGTACAACACGCTCGACAACAGTAACTTGCCCAGTTGCTTTTCCATCTACACCAGATACAGTCACAGCCTCCGTCGACTTGAGCTACGTCTGCTACAGCAGACGACCGGTGGCTAATGGCGTCCGAAAGAATATGGGGATCGCTACGAACACCAGACTCCATTTGAACCTAACAACAAATGAGAGTAAGAGGGTTGCAGTCAGCCAATATATGATAACCCACTGGAAGAATCTTGGCCTTGTCCACTTCATCGAAGTGGACTGGAAATGAGCTAAGAACGTGCCTGTTGAAGACGTTGAGCATAATTACACGCAAGGTATTTGTGTGTCTAAAGGCGCGCTTCAGGGGGTTCAAACGTTCAACACCCTTCGAGGCACAGCCACCGTTAGCCGCCGTGATTGTCAGGTATTCTAGCAATCCACGGCACTTGCGGCCCCTCAGTTCAAAGCAGTATGTAACTTCTCTCATAGAAAACATATTTGCTGCCCTCACACCACCCATCCGCGCCTAGTCTCCCATAGGCAGACCCTGATAGAAGGAAGACACTCCTTCTGGATGAGGATCCGCGCCTCATTTGCTGCCATATCGACAGACCCAACCAATTCAGATCCCGGAGACGCCAGACCCGCTGACTCGGCAGCACCCAGAATCAATAAGGCAAGCCCGCCGCAGTCAACATGAGAGTTAACGTTCATGAACTAGGAGTTATAGTTGCGGAAAATTGGGGGTGAAAGTCGACAGAGGTCTGAGCGATCATTTGATAATACTGGACGAGAGTTTGGTGGCGGCCTGAGAAACATTTATCGGTGGATTCCTTGGATATAGTAGATATAGCGCCAGGTGCGGTCTGTTAAAGTGAGAAATCAAAGACGCTAACGATGCTGCAATTTACTGCAGGTATAGCAGGAGGATTTGACGCTTGAACATCTTCAACTAAATCCACGAGATCAATGCACTTCATGGGGCAGTTAGTAAAGGAAAATAAAATTGCACCTCTTTGATACATCGTCTTGAAAGAAAAATAGTAGAAGTTCGCAAGAAGAGCGGCACCAATGTGCCACAAGGCATGGGGATCGACAATGCAACCCCATGGTGGGAAGACAAAAAGGTCGAGGCTGTTTTCAGCGCAACAAATTATGCCGCCTTTTCGTGATGTGCAAATTTTAAAGGAGTCTAGCTATATAGGTAGCTATAGCAGAGATTCCAGAGAATGATGATTTGAGGGCAGACTCGGACTTTTTGTACCAAAAGTGACAGCGATGACTCATCAAGGCTATCCTTTGCGTCTGCCATGGCAGACAAATGTCCGGTCGACCACGGCAGTCATTCTTCAGACCAGTCCTGTCCTGTCGACCACAAATCTCGTACAACATGGACCTCTGTCTCGTCAGGAAGCAGCACTGCACACCCAGTCAACGCGTCTTCGCTCTCGACTGAACGGGAGGTCTCTTCGATACCCCGAACAGACAACGGTAATTGGGTATACCCGTCAGAGGCTCAGTTTTTTGCAGCCATGGCGCGCAAAAATCATAATCCGCATGCTCCAGATATGAAGACTATCATTCCTATCCATAACGCGGTAAACGAACGTGCTTGGTCAGAGCTGATGAAATGGGAATCTGGAAGAGGTGGTGAAAAGTGTGGAGGAGTGAAGCTTGTAAACTTCAAGGGCAGACCTAATGACCTGACTCCAAAAGCTCGACTCATGACCTTGCTCGGGTATGTGATTCAGCCACAGTTCACGCAAAGGAACGCTGATTTTGTTTCGTAGGTATTCTGCTCCCTTCGATCGTCACGACTGGGTGGTCGAACGATGTGGAACACGAATTAGATACGTGATCGACTTCTATACTGGACGGGGTGCAGGACCGTCATCGTCAAATAATGTCTCTTTCTATCTCGATGTTCGGCCTGCCTTAGACAACTGGGAAGGGGTAAAAATGAGAGCCGAGAACATTTGGCAGGACTGGTTTGGAAGTGTCCACAGTAGCAGCACCCCATCTCAGTCATGAGTAGTCCGCTTTGCCTTTTCAGCTTCAACAAGTGACACTTCTGACACCGAATCCAGATATGTTATCTGAGGTTGTCCATTGCAAGCTATGGCTCCGTTCTCGCCTAACTACTCGACCTGTAGATCTTGCTGTCTTTGGCAACGTATCCCTGCGGTTGCAACATCAGCAAGTAAGTCATATATCCAATCCGTAGCTCCTCAAAAACGACAACGCCCATAATCTGCGTGTAGTTCACTTGACGGTCTTCGACCTTGGGGAGCAAAGACGATTCACCCTCAGTATGACTGTGGGAAGCAGGGGGAAGTTCTGGTTTAAGCTGCTTTCCTAAAACATTGATTAGCAGCGTCTCATCCAAACTCTATTGCAAACAAATGACTCACCTCAGCCATCCAATCTGCCAATGCGCTCCCTATCTCGCAAGCCCTCTATCCAGAGATCGGCCACCTTATGCGCACCTCCTTGCTCTCACCTGCCCCATCCATCGGTATAATCAACGATGCGAAACATGTCGCATGGGTACCACTGCAATTCTAATCAGTAATGAAAACCGATACAAATCGCACTACACCAATCCATCATGGCATCGGTATCTTGATATATAACTCGCGCTGTTTGTAGGGCTTGTGGAAAGAAACGTATCATATCTTACGTGTGTAATAGGCATTAATGTCGCTGTCTGACGTGGATCAGCTAAGACAATACTCAGACCCCCAACAAATCCTCTCTAAAACTTCCACCTATAATCCGCAAAAATTCAGATCCGTCTCATCCAAAGCCTTTTTGGCGTGGTCTGCGTTCTCGGCTCGGCGCGAATCCAAGAATGCAGAAGCTTTCTGTGGTGGCGAAGCCAGATCCCAGATTGTGTTCAGTTCCTTACACGAAACGTAATAAGAGGTAATAGGGCTCGAGGTTTATATTTGTGCATGTTGCCACGGAGTTATGAAGTGTATTTCTTTCTTTTCTTTTCTTGCTTCTTTTCCGGTATGATGATTCCTAGCTCCGTATACTTTTCGTGCTGAGGTCAGTATGAAACGCGCACGCATGTCTTATAGTGACAATGCTCGTTGCTACGTGGCGTATGTGAAGTAACTTGAACGATACGACTCTGAGTATTCGAAGATACTCACATGCATAAAGCAACGCCTTGTCTTTCAACATGCAACTGCTGCACCAGTGTAAAAACATGCCCAGAAAATCAAGTGAAGCAGCTGAAGCTTCTTCACCGCATCGAGGCAGGAAATACCCCACAATCCACCTCGGCAAATCATTCTAAACCCACGACGAGTGCGGTCTTACTGCTTCCTTCGGTCCGTATCACTTATCTAGCCGGAAAGTTTGCTACTCTGGACCCTGACCGAGTCCTGATCCTTCACAGGGGCTGCGCATCCATGATTATTCATATAAATTTCTTTTACGTTTTACGCGAGGCTCAGCTCGCGACCCACGATGGTTTCAGAAGAAAGCCCTCTGCTGGTGTCCACCGCGCATGAAGTTATTTATGACAGATTCGCGCCAGATAAAAAGAGGTGGATCGTGTTTCTCGTCTCTCTTGTAGGTTTCTTGCCTAGTGAGTACTCGGAGTTAAAGTGTATTTGTTGATGGGGAGGCGTGATACTGACGAACGGTGATCAGCGTTCGTCTCAGCGACATTCGTGCCTTCCATCCCTCAGATAGCTAAAGATCTTAACTCGACGCATGCTGTTGTCAGGTGCGTGTTGTGTGTTCATCAGATGTAACATTTGGCGATCAATCAATTTTTCCTAGCTTAACCGTCAGCCTGTCGATCTTCGCGAGTGCCGTCGGAGCGTTGGTATGGGCTGCTTATTCGTCTTTCTGTGCGTGTATCCATAGTTTGCTGCTTGTCGTGAAGCTGCGGTAGTTTCAAGTCCTAACAACAGTCCCGCAGATGGACGCCGATCGATGTATTTGTGGGGAATGCCGTTTTTATGCGTCGGGAGCTGTGGTGTCGCGATGTCGACTTCGTTACGAAGTCTGTTATTCTGGCGGTTCGTGCAGACATTTGGATGCGCTGGCGGGATGTCGCTGGGTGCTGGCGTTATTGGTGACATTTACAAATTGGAAGAGAGGGGGACTGCTATTGGATTATTCTTTGGTGTGAGGAATCATGAAGTTTGAATGGTTTTGTCGGTTTACTGACACAGCTGTCTCAGGCCACACTTTTTGGGTACGCGGTTGCCCCGTTTCTTGGAGGTGAGTATATTCTAGATGTTTATGAATGCTGACTCTAGCTATGTATTTGAATAGGTGCGGCAGCGCATTATTGGTCCTGGCGCAATTTGCATTATTCCATTGGTGCATGGGGCTTGCTCGAGATGCTCCTCATATACGCTTCGTTTCCTGAGACAGGCCATCCCGGCACATTGGGCATCGATAAACTGACGCGCAGGAGATGGATTCATATCACATGGGTTAATCCTCTGAGTAGTCTCTTGTTGCTTCGGAGTCCGAACCTGTTTGCGGTTGTGAGTGCATTTACTGCGTACGTTGTGTGCTGATTACAACACTTAATTACGTGTGGGATATAGATGCTTGCGGGGGCTCTAGTGCTCATCAGTGACTTTGGTGCGTTGATCCTGACTGCGTAGTGCATTCTCACATCAAACAATGTAGTTCTCCTCGTACCGCTGGCGTATACTATCGTAAGTTAACAGTCATCTTCTGATCGCATCCTGATCGCTGTGTAGGGCGTCCGATATGGAATCGCGAATGAGGCCATCATCGGGGCGTGTTTTCTCCCAAACGGATTGGGGAACTTCAGTAAGTGCAGAGCATGGTAGTCACAGACTACAGTTCGCCAACACGATCTTTAACAGTCGGGGCGCCGGTTGCTGGCCGCCTATCGGACATCGTAGTCAGAAGATGGCGGAAGAAGCGTAAAGGAGTGTGGTTTCCCGAAGACCGCTTGAGAGCGACGTGGATCGGAGGGCTGTTCATGGTCCCGTTGTCTGTTGCGGCGTCAGGGCTAATCACGACGTATGTTAGGGGCCCAATCGGCCTTGTGTTGAATTTACTGTGCCTCTATACAAATGGAATGGGGGTAAGTCCTCCCAGTTGTTCCTCTCATTTTGTGCATGAACCAACTCACTAATTTTTACAGGTCGACTTCGTGTTGAATCCCATTGGTTCTTATAATGTGGATATAGTGCACTCTCGAAGCGCAGAGGCCACAGCCGCTTGCATGTCAGTCTCCATGATATAGCACGGCTATCAATGTTGAACTCATTTATTTAACTGCAAGGGGGATCCGATCACTCATCATATCTGCTGCGACTGCTCTTGTCATTCCATCGATCGAGCGCATAGGTGTTGCGTGGACGGACATCATCGCGGCTGTCCTTGCGCTCATTGGGCAAGGGTGAGCGTCTTTGTTAACTGCAAAATCGAGGATGCTGATATATCACCGGGTGATTTTTTTCTTTCCTAGGATCATTTTCTTGACGATTCGTTATGGTGACCGCATGAGGGCCAGCGTGGATGTTGGTTTCTCGACCAATGAGAATAACTGACAGATCGATCTTCCATTGTTTGGGAGGGACGCACAATGCGTGGGGAATATACTCAAGTCGAGTGTGAACGAGAGAGGCGTTAGAGGCAAGAAGAGTGGGGTAGAGTTGCGACGGGAGGCCATTATATCAATTAGAGAATATCAATTTTTTTGCATCACAGACCGAATAATCAATGAAGGCGGAATCAAGGCAGCAACTGCAACACAATTACTGCCCCAGCCAAAATCAAATCGTTCATCTCACTGGTGAGTGCGAACCGGTTGAATACACTTTAGCTATATATTATCAGTGGCGATCACAATCTAGCGGAACAAAATACGACGACAAAGATTCCTTACTCCCTCTGCAAGTATTTCGTTCCCCTGACAGTGTCAATCTGTATGTTTGTTGTATCACTTCGAACACTGCGTCAACTTCCATCTCGCTGCGTAAGTCAGGTTGTTGGTGAGCGAGAGCTGTACATATCTTGTAAGTGACGGCGCGAACTGAAAGTTGACACCAAGACCTACAGATTTCTCATTGACGATCTGCCAGTATAGACCTTGTTCATAATACTCAAACGTCACCCTGAGGGCAGCACTTAGTACTCAATACTGAACCTACGCCAGTTGCTAGTCACGGGAAGCACGTACCGGTAAGTATCATTGGCGTCGTTCTCCAGCTGAAAGTCCTGTAGTGCGCTGTCATCACTGTAAACCAATGTGTACGTCTGGATATGAGTCAGGAGGAATCTCGTACATCAGAGAAAAAAACGGCAAACTTACCGGTATGTCAGCACAAATAAATTTTCCTTTCTTTGCATCAGGTGGTACGCCTTGGAATTTTACCCAATTGCCCCCGCTGACCGCGAGTTTCCACTAATGTCTGTGATTAGCTGCAGGGACACAGGAAATCTCGAGCCTGACGCACGACTTGCACGCTGTGGGAGTCTTCTGAGTGGAGAGAGATATTCATATTTTCCACGGTCAGAAACTTCCCTTTCGAGTCGGCGCTCTCAATCATATAGTTTCCTGATGGGACGGACATGGCCAAAAAAGCAGAGCTGAATATGTGTGTATGATGGAGAAAGGTCAGAGCAGGAAAGTCTTGATTCGTCTTTTATACTTGCTAAATAAGAGGGCTCTCGGACGCGAGATCGGTTTACGCTTCCATTCCAATCCTTGTGCCAGGCTCGACTGGGCTTGAATTGAATGGAGCTTCTTCGGATGCAAGGAATGGAGACTCACGGTGAGTCAAGATTCATGATTCAACCTGCCAGACGCTCTCTCGATGACGAAGCAACACTAGAGGTGGCACCAATCGTTCTGTGTAGCGCTCCGGGTTTGGCGCGTGTGCAATGTGTATGCACATTTGCAGATGTAATTTGGAAGCGATGAGAGAATGCGTTGGAAGAGATACAGGGATTAGGCCCTGAGGAATGAAAAAGTGGTTTACTGATAAGTTAATACCGAGCCCAGCGCAGCAGACTAGTGTTCCGTGAAAAACTCCAGAGTTTTTGACACCACTATATGAGGATGACCCCGGATATCTGCGCTGCAGTAACCGGGTGTTTGATGGTAGTGAAGATGCTCGTTTAGACGGTCCCGAGCTCCTGGACCTTCTCTCCGACAAGCCAATCGAGATGGAGGCTCAAAATCAGTCACAAATACCTGGGCCATCTTCAGAGGTAGTTGGTGGTGGTCCCGTAGCTTGGAAGTTCAATTTTTCTCAAATTCTGTAGCACAAAAATTATAATATGGCCGGTGTCAAAAACCTTGTCAAAAACTACTTAAAAACACGCGTCAATAACTGGCCTGGGGATGCCCAATGTTATAAACATGTCCAAAACTCGGCGGGGAGTTTTTCACGGAACACTACAGCAGACCGTCGATTGACGAGGTAAATCAAGAGGGGTGCAAATTTAAAAGGCAAATGCCGAATATAACATCGTCGTTACGAGTCCCGTTTGGGACTGGTTTAGTGAGGTTTCTAAAAGCGGTGCTCGGGTCCCAAGTGAACGCAAACCTCTAGAATTGAGCTCCAGGTATACGGATGCAGAACGTTGGAGACAATAACTGATGCAGCAAGAGAAGAAACAGCACGTATGGAACTTCAGTGGAAAGAGAGCCACATTCACATTGACTGCACATAGTACATATTTACTTATCGCATGATTCCATATATCACGACTGTAAGCCAATCGATCATACAAACTTTTGCTTAGGGACATCATCAAAGAGATGTTGTGCCCTCCCCTTCCGACACAGCTCCTGGCAGCAAGGTGAAACTCCACCAATTCGCATAATCTTCCTTGGGGTCAATATCGCTTCTAGCCACGAGCTGGCAGTGATGTTAGTCGTAAAGTCCAAAAGGCCACTGATGAAACACAAACCTTGGCCCCTTCCTCCGAGCCAGCGACATGCCACACTCTGTCAGAGTTTTTCACTTGGATGCTGCAGACAAAAAGACAAATCAGTTCTCAATACAAGCCAAGACCATAAGACCACCACTCCTCACACATAATAGTTGCCTACGCCCGACATAGGTATTAACTCGAACTCCTGTGGAGATGCGTCACCGACGACAAAGTGGGTCTGCTATAAATTAGCAAGCTGCACCTCTTGACGCCACGTAGACCAACCAGGTCATTGATCACAGCATAATTCCCGGCCCCTTTATTCTTGATCGTCGCCATGCTAGTTTCTATATTATAAGAGACCTGCCACTACCACATTCATAAGTATATGTAGTATGCATCGTAATGACGGACGCATACAATTTGACTCGGGTCAGACCCCATGTCATGCTTCTGAGTGACCCATTGTTGAGGTGTGCGGTCTGCCAAGGTGGCGTACAGGGTACTGCTCTGATTTCTTATAATGTATTGCGCAACGCCATCGGTGGGTGGTGACATTGTGCAGAAGTTTGCTAATACAGAGGTTGTGCTGAGTAGATGAGTGAGGGTGGGTTGTTGATAGGATAGCAAGATAGGCTACGACCTTTATACCCGCCTGAACGTCATTAATGCCAGATTCAGAGGTGACTTGATGATATCGTCACCCTTTGTTTAAGCCCCAGCCCCCGAGCCAAGACTCAGCTTCGGGGATACCATAAACTGGATTCGCCGAGGGCTGTTATCGTAAGTGGGATGAAGCCTCGACACACTGACTTAAACATTCCTCGAGCCGAGTGGTTCGCGTCCGATAGGTCTTTGTAGGTTCCAAGATCCAGAGATTCCATGAGTGTCCCCTAGTAATACAAATTAGCTCGAGTCACTTCTGTATGTACATCGTCCTTGCGTTGAAGAAGTCGCCAAACTGAAACATCGATAACATTATTTAGCTCAGAGTGCGACAGTTGCGGCGAAATCACAACATGCCTGCGCCTCCCAGATGGGCAATAAATCAGGTCGTTCCCAAGATGCTCCGTATTCAAACTATAATATTGTTAGACTGCCCCACAAATTTTTACCTGAGAGTACCAAATTACTTACATGATTCACTGGGGCCCATGCGATGTTCGGAACACTGTGAGTTTGTGCCATTGACAAACATTCCTAGCAAGCGAACTTGGAAGTACCGGGGTGTGGTACTAACTAGTCATTTCGAGAAACGAATCTCGTGCCACTGATTAACAAACATTCATGGGGAGCGAGAACGAGGAATGATGATAGCTCCTTTTGCCATAGGAGTGCCAAAGTGGAGTAACAGCTTTCGTAAATTAGCTGATCACGAGGCGGAGAATTTCAGTCACAGTATGGCCAGGGTTACTTACACGATTCAGGGACGTGTGTGATGCTCGGGACAGCAGAATGCCGGGCCGGGCCTGCACGGGAAAGATGTCACCAATGGAACATGTGCCAGACCAGGCAAATTCCATTCCATACCCCCTGGCCTTTTCGCAAGGGTTCTCCAGTACGTTGAACACACAAATACTCGAGGACAGAGAGGAACGTGAGGCTGTGGACGACAACCTAGCAAACGCAATCCTGGATGGGCTTGCCGCTGCCCAATAATAAAGAGATAAGTACACAATTTCATTCAGGAATGGAGGGGCGAAGACTGAGGAGTTGCCGTAGATCGTACATTTATCAAAATCCCTCTTCTCCACCAAGCTCTACAACATCCCAGCCATCCTCCTCCACGATACGTTCGCTTCTCATTCTCCCGATTCCAGCTTCCTGCGCTGAATATCCCGGCCGTATTCGTGCTGCTCGAGCTGGACTAGCAGCAGTGGCTTGAAGGACCTGAGCAAAGTCGAACGTGAACGAGGGAGAAATCGATCGGGGTGGTAGAGTGAGATCGACTGCGATGGGAGATCATGATATCAATCAGAGAACGCCAACTTTGGATGACAGAACGAATAAAGATTAAGCAGAAATAAAGCGCCGATGACTCGAGAAGATGGGTGAAAGGTGACTTACCGTCCAAGCTCTCCACTGCAACATACAGCCCACAGATTACTCAAGGCATCGCCATCCTGGGACAAAGTAATCTCAACACCTTGGGTGTGAGCGAGATAGCACACGTTGTAGAGAAGCATCGCAAGGCCGGTCGTGAACGGATTTGTTTTGGCCGTGTGCTAGTGTCTGTTCTGGGACTTCTGAATCAGTTAATGAGGCGGGTGTATGAGAGGGCGATGAGGAGGGAGAGGATGGTGTGGAGGATGGTTTGGAGGTCAGGTGGAAAGGGTGTTTGGCTGTCCATCTGCGCGAGGGAGGGGGTGAAAAAGTTCGAGCAGGAAATACAGTAAAGGAACAGAGCCGACTCACTTTGCCTATGACTCACTCCCTCGCCCTGCTCCGACCCAAGGCACGCCAACCCCGAATCTTCTGCAAGACCACGAAACTTCAAAGGGGAGTGGGATACCCAAGTAAAAAGTAAGAAGTGAATGGTATGAGTGATCACGGCGTTGATGTGGTGCGGTGGGTATCCTATAATACGTCCTGTGAGGTCAAATTCTTCGCGTAGTAAGCACCTGCAACGTACGTCTAACATCTCCCGGTACTACATAGTACTGGAAGAACCAATCCACCAGGGGACGCGGTTCACTTCAAAATAGTGGTTGTAATTCAAAGTGGCGATATCTCAAAATACAACAACTGCAAATATTCTTCACGCACTCACAATCATTTCGTTCCCTATGTATGTACAGGTTCGTTATATTCAGAACCACAGTCAAGAAAAAGCGGACTACCCGCAGCTGAAGACTATACAGGGCTTCTCACAAAACATATAGTACTGACTTCGTTGTTCAGCACACTGAAGGCCAAATTATAGTGTATCGCTGTTCCAGATTTCAGATACCACATTATTATGGCCTGTCGAAGTGCCACCGTGCCTTTCATCTCGCCGAAGGAGGAGGATCAGAAACCAAACCTGATCACTCCTTCTGTCGAGCCTCCCGGGAAAACTCTTATGGTGGCCGCTCGTATCCCTCACGGATACATCTCGCACTGAAGCTGCGCACGGAACTCGGCATAGGATCGAACATGACTGGATGCGAGTTCTGCGATGACGTAGTCGAGTCCTCAAACCACTGTTGTTCTGATTTCACGTTCATCCATACAAGACTAATTATTCTAGATTCAAATCAAACTCCCAGAACAAAGTAACTCATTTAATCATCAACCGTCTCTCCTAGTTCGTCCATTTAACCAAATCCCTCTTCTCTGTCGAGCTCTCTTTGATGGGAAGTAATGGATTTGAATCAAGATGCTGTGGAGAATACACTCACTAGTACTCGTCAAATTGCAAATAAACTGACCTCCCATACCCATACCCGCTCGAGTTGAGCGAAGCTATCATCAGATCGCACTAAGTATGCTACACAGCCAACACAACATTTCTCCATAGATCACAACTGCAAGCTAATCGGTCATACAAGCTTTCACCTAGGGACATCATTAAAGCAGCGATGTCTCCTCCCCTTCCGACGCAACTCCTGGCTCTAAGGTGAACTTCCACCAACACGCGTGATTGGTCTTCGGACTGGGAATGGCTCTAACCTGGATCTGCAGTGATGTTGGTCACAAAGCCAAAATGTCACTGATGAAACACAAACCTTGGACCCTTCAACCATATGCGGGTCATCAACAGTCCAAAGTCTGTCAGAATCTTTCTCTTGGATGCTGCAGAAAAGAAAAAGACGGATGAGTTCTCAATACCAACCGATACAAGAACAGAAGACTCACGCAACCCAGTCAACTGACTCGTCGTGTCTCATAAGGACTAACTTGAACTCCTGCGCACTTTCGTCGCCTACAACGTAGCCGGTCTATTTCAGGCCGTAAATTAGCAATCAACACCTCTCGACACCACATAGACTAACCATGTCATTGATTGTAGCATAATTCCCGGTCACTGGATTCTTCATCGTCACAATGCCAGTTTCTGCATTATAAGTGACCTGCCACTACCACATTGGTGAGCATATGTAGCATGCATCGTAATGACGGCATGCGTGCGTACAATGCGTTGTTCTTGCCCCTTTGGCCCGCCACTATTGACAGTAATGTATTGTCGAGGCGTACTGTCTACCAAGGTGGCGAAATTGCCAGTTACCTCAGTTCTGATTGTGTAAATCGCAACGCCATCGGTGGGTGGTGACATTGTGTAGAAGTCTGCTAATACGAAATTGTGCTGAGTAGATGAGTGAGGATGGGTTGTTGATAGGATAACAAGATATGCCACGACCTTTATACCCGCCTGAACATCACCAAGTTGAATGAATCCAAAGCTGACTTGATGATGTCGTCACCCTTCGTTTCGAAAGTTCAAGACTCGGCTTCGCGACAGTGGATACGCCGAGGGCTGTTACGCTAAGCGAGTACTGAGTGACAAACATTCCTAGGGAGCGAAAACGAGGAATGACGATAGCTCCTTTTGCAATGGAGGGGCAGCGTGGAGCACCAGTTTTCGTAAATTTGCTGATCACGAGGCGGAGAATTTCAGTCAGAGAAAGGTCATTCGTTCCCCAGGATTGAATTTTACTTACATCATTCAGGGACGTGTGATGCTCGGGACAGAAGAATGCTGGGCCTGCACGGGAACAACATCGTTAATTGTACCATGTGTCAGACCATGCGAATTCCATACCATGCCCACTTTGTCGCAGGAGTTCTCCAGCTCCGATTGCTTTACGGTCTAGAGGAACGTCAGACGAGTCACGGCGCTCGCCCAAGACCCTGAAACCCCCCTGGCACTCCTCTAGGTTGAACACACTGAGGTACTCGAGGACAGAGAGGAATAGCACTCTGGAGTGAGCTCGCTGCTGCCCAAGAATAAAGAGACAAGTACGCGATTTCATTCAGGAGTGGAGGGGCGAAGACTGAGTAATTGGCGTAGATTGTCCATTTACCCAAATCCCTCTTCACCACCAAGCTCTACCACAGACCAGCCATCCTCCTCCACGATACGTTCGCTTCTCGTTCTTCAGATGCCGGCTTCTTGTGCTGAACGTCCCGGCCGTATTCGTGCTGCTCGAGCTGGACTAGCAGCAGTGGCTTGAAGGGCCTGGGCAAATTCAAGCGTGAACGAGGGAGGGATCGGAGGCAAAGGGACCGGGGTGGTAGAGTGTGATTAACTACGATGGGAGATCTTAATATTAACCAGAAAACGTCAACTTTGGATGGCAGAACGAATAAAGAATAAAAGCAAAAATAAACCGCCTATGGCTCGAGAAGATGAGCGAAAGGTAACTTATCGCCCAAGCTCTCCACTGCAACATCCAGCCCATAGATTACTCAAGGCATCGCCTGCCTGGGACAAAGGAATCTCAACATCTTGGGTGAGTGAGATAGCACACGTTGTGGAGAAGGATGGCAAGGCCGGTCGTGAACGATTGATTTTGGCCGCGTGCTGGTGTCTGCTCTGGGACTTCTGAATCAGCTAATGATGCAGGTGTACGACATGGCGATGAGGACGGAGACGATGGTGTAGACAATGGTTTGGAGGTTAGGTGCAGATGGTGTTTGCCTGTCCATCTACGCAAGGGAGGTGAAAAAGTTCGAGTAGTAAAGGAGTAGAGCCGACACACTTTGCCCATGATAAAAGGGGAGTTTGATACCTATGTAAAAAGTAAGAAATCCCAGAAAGTGAATGGTATGAGTGATCACGGCGTTGATGTGATCCGGTAGGTATCCTATGATACGTCCTGTGCGGTCTAATTCTCCACGTAGTAAGCACTTGCGACGTACGTCCGACATCTCCTGGTACTGGAAGAACCAATCCACCAATGGTCCACTCTCCCTTTGCGCCTAATCGCCCGTCCACTGCAGGTTGTCCGCCGACTTCGACAACGTGAAAGACCTCTACTAACTCCTGGACAAGGCCCGAGACTCCTTGTAAGTGTGTGCGATTGGGGTGGAAGGAAGCGTGCAGCGTTAAGTGTGCGTCTGCGCTCAGCAGGTGTTGCTCGGAGTGTACGGAGGCGGTCGCGCTCTAGATGGGTTAGAACAGCACATGCGAGAAAGGGTAAGACACATACTTCTCTTGCAATCTCTTCTCACTTTGGCAAGGCCATCAACTGCTAATTGATCGAGGCTGCGGTTCGCTTGTGCAATCTCTGCACGAATTTGGAGGCGCCTTCGATAGAATTGAATGCCCGGAATGCACAAGCAACGTGTCCATCTCTGTCGGAGGAGAAATGGTGAGTTTGAAGGCGGAAATCGCGTAGACTGTAGTATACCATGGAAAGTCAGCGCATCATAACAGGTGTTTTGCGAACTGGTTTTTGAGACAGTTTGCGCAATAGTACTAGTACTGACGTTGTCTCAGCTCGCAGTTCTTACACTCCATCGCGTTTTTGTACAAGAGGATTAATAAAGAAGGAACGACTTAGAATTTCCATTCTGTTTAGGGCAAGCGAACTGATCACAATTTCATATATGTACCAGTACCACGGTCCACCAGAACAAAATACAGCGACGACAAATATTAATACTCACTCCCTCTGCAAGTATTTTGTCCAGGACAATGTCGTTTGCTATTCAAGAACATGGACTACATGCAGAAGATGATACAGGGCTTCTCGCAAAAGACATACATACTTCGTTGTTCAGCGCATCACATCTTCGTGAACTTCCATTCTGTATATTCTGGCGCTGAGTCGACCCGCATACCGAACTGTACGCAATGTAAGCGGCGGCGAAACCAAATTGACATCAAGACTCACCGCTCCCGGGTCCCCTTTGCTATACCAGTACGCCTTGACAGAACCGAAATCGAATTTCACCCTTCATGTAGGACTCAATGCTGCCTACGCCAGTTGCCAGTCACTAGAAGCACGCACCGAAATGTATCCTGGCTCCCTGTGACACTCTCAATTTGAAAGAACTTCACGAACGAGGGTGAATCTGTGTAAATCAGGCGGATGAACCCATCCTGGACACCAGTCAGGTCCTAGTCTCGCACGTCAGACAAAACAAGACACTTACATTGCTAATACAAATAAATTTTTCGCCATCCACCTTAGGCGATACACCTTGGAAGCTCCAGATATCCTCCCGCCTTTCCAGTTTCCACTACATGTCTGAGATGAGTCATAGGGAGGTGGGAAATTTAAGGTTAACGCACAACTTGCACTTTGCTGGAGTCTCTTTCGGATAGCTCGACATTGGGCTCGACAGTGTTATTATGCGAGTCGTCCACACTCACAAACAACCCTTTGTGGTGTGGGTCGGCGAACTCAATCGTGTAATTTCCGTCGGGAAGAGTTGACATGGTCAAAAGAGAAGAGCAGATTGTTTGTGAGAAGATGCAGGCTAGGGAGAAGATTGACCTGGCCTTTGACTCGCCTTTCATAACCCGCCAAACATTCTCGATAACAAAACAACTGAGGGGGAGCGCCATAATTCGGAGCTCTCGGATGCGAGTTTGGTGTAGTCTTCCATTCCAGACCCTGGTGCTAGGCTGAGACTGGGTTCGAATGACTGTAACGCAGCCTCTTCGAATGCGAGCTTCAAGATCAGAGTTTGACGCTTTACTATCTCTGTTTGGTATCATAAGTCTCGGTCGAACCATATTAGTAAGTTCCGCCCACCTCTTGGCTGATCCTCATGCATCATTATGCATTCTTCAAGGGGATATAGTCACAAATATGCTGATACACACTGATATGGTCCTTCTAGATTAAGTCAAGTCGCACCATGGGATCCCAAGACTGAGTACTGAGTACTGAGTACTGAGTATTGACATTTGATTCGTATCGTGTATGTTTTCCCAACGCTCGCTAGAATCGTACTGATGCATCACATTGCACAAGTTCGGTCTTCAGTTCTCTTAATAGAAATACAGACTGGATGCGAGTTCTGCGATGACGTAGTCAAGTCCTCGAACCGCTATTGTTCTGACTCACGTTCATCCATTCAAGACCGATTATTCTATCTTCAAAGCAAAGCTCCCAGAACAAAGTGAGGTCTCATACAACCTTTCCCCTCGCCAGCGATGTCTGCCCCGCTTCTGACTCAACTCCTGGCAATAAGTTGAACCACCACCAATTTGCGGAACTGGTCTTCGGATTAGTGATTCTAGTCTGGACCTGCAGTGATGTTGGTCGCGAAGCCAAAAGGTCACTGATTAAACACAAACCTTGGACCCTTCAGTCCTGTCGAAAGCAGTCCATACTCTGTCAGAATCTTCCTCCTGGATGCTGCAGAAAAGAAAAAGACGAATGAGTTCTCAATATCAACCGATACTAGAACAGAAGTCCACCACCACTCACGCAACCCAGTCACCTGACTCGTCATGTCTCATAACGACTAACTTGAACAATTGCGGCATTTTGTCGCCTACAAGATAGTGAGTCTATTATTTCACGCTATAAATTAGTAATCTGCAACCTCTCGACACCACATAAACCAACCATGTCATTGGCCGCAGCATAATTCCCGGTTGCTGGATTCTTCATGACCAACCTCTCAGTTTTTGGATTATAATTGACCTCCCACTACAGATTGGTGAGCATATGTGGTATGCATCGTAATGACGGCATCCATGCGTACAATGCGTTGTTCATGCCCCTTTGGCGTGTCATCACGGAGAGTAATGAATTGTCGAGGCGTACCGTCTACCAAGGTGACGAACTTGCCAGTTGTCCCAACATTGATTGTGTACAGCGCAACACCATTGATGAGTGATGACATCGTGTAGGAATCTGCTAATACTAAATTGTGCTGAGCAGATGAATGAGAGTGGGTTATTGATAGGATAGCAAGATATGTCACGACCTTTATACCCGCCCGATCAATCACCAAGTCGGCACCCTTCGTTTCGAAATTTGATTTCAAGACTCGGCTTCGGGGATACTATACAGCCGAGGGCTGTCACGGTAAGTGAGCGCTGGTTGACAAACTTTCCTGGGGAACGAAAATGATAGCTCCTTTGCCAACGGAAGTGCCAATGTTGAGTTGATCAGGCGGGGAATTTCAGTCACAGTATGGTCATTGGTTCCCCTGGATTACTTACACGATTCAGGGGCGTATGTTGATGCTCGGGACAGCAGAATGCCGGGCCGGGCCTGCGCGGGAACGATGTCGCCAATGGAACATGGGCCAGACCACGTAAATGCCATTCCATACCCCTGGTCGTTTCGCAGGGGCTCTCCAGTGCCTTGATGGCGTCCAATTCAAGCCCTACGCTCTAAAGAGGACATTAAAGTTGGAGATCAGTTTGTGCGCTCTTGGGAGACCCTGAAACCTTGGCACTCCTCCCGTGCACCTACATTGAACACACAGATACTCGAGGACAGAGAGGACCCAGCAAACACAATCCGGGATAGGCTTGCCGCTGCCCAACAATAAAGAGATAAGTACACGATTTCGTTGAGAAATGGAAGGGCGAAGACTGAGGAGTTGCCGTAGATCGTCCATTTACCCAAATCCCTCTTCTCCACCAAGGTCTACTACATCCCAACCATCCTCCTCCACGATACGTTCGCTTCTCATTCTCCCGATTCCGGCTTCTTGCGCTGAACGTCCAGGCCGTATTCGTGCTGCTCGAGCTGGACTGGCGGCAGTAGCTTGAAGGACCTGAGCAAAGTCGAGCGTGAACGAGGGAGGGATCGGAGGCAAAAGGATCGGGGTGGTAGAGTGCGATCGACTACAATGGGAGATGATAATATCAATCACAGAGAACATCAACTTTGGATGACAGAACGAACGAATAAAGAATGAAGCAGAACGAAAGCGCCGATAGCTCGAGAAGATGAGTAGTGAAAGGTTACTTACCGCCCAAGCTCTCCACTGCAACATACAGCCCACAAATTACTCAAGGCATCGCCTGCCTGGGACAAAGGAATCTCAACGCCTTGGGTGTGAGCGAGATAGCACACGTTGTAGAGAAGCATCGCAAGGCCGGTCGTGAACGATTGGTTTTGGCCGTGTGCTGGTGTCTGTTCTGGGACTTCTGAATCAGCTAATGAGGCGGGTGTACTAGATGGCGATGAGGAGGGAGAGGATGGTGTAGAGGATGGTTTGGAGGTAAGGTGCAGAGGATGTTTGGATGTCCATCTACGCGAGGGAGGAGGTGAAAGTTCGAGCAGGAAATACAGTAAAGGAGCAGAGCCGACGCACTTTGCCCATGATTCACTCCCTCGTCCCGCTCCGATCCAAGGCATGCCAACCCCGAATCTTCTACAAGACCACGAAACTTCAAAAGGGAGTTTGATACCCAAATAAAAGGTAAGAAGTCCCAGAAAGTGAATGGTATGAGTGATCACGGCGTTGATGTGATCCGGTGGGTATCCTATGATACGTCACCTGTGAGGTCAAATTCATCGCGTAGTAAGCACCTGCGACGTACGTCTAACATCTCCCGGTACTGGAAGAACCAATCCACCAATAGTCCACTCTCCCTTTGCGCCTGATCGCCCTCCCACTGCAGGTCGTCCGCCGACTTCGACAACGTGAAAGACCTCTACTAGCTCCTGGACAAGGCCCGAGCGTGCTCTCGCAATAGTTTGGCTGAGCAGAGAGTGTTCCTGAGACTCTTTAGTGAGTGTGTATGATTGGGGTGGAAGGAGGCGTGCAGCGTTAAGTGTGCGTCTGCGCTTAGCAAGTGTCGCTCGGAGTGTACGGAGGCGGTCGCGCTCTAGATAGGTCAGAACAGCACATGCGAGAAATGATAAGACACGTACTGCTCTCGCAATCTCTCCTCACTTTGGCAAGGCCATCAACTGCCAATTGATCAAGGCTGCGGTTCGCTTGTGCAATCTCTGCACGAATTTGAAGGCGCCCAGATTCGATAGACTTGAAGGCACGAAATGCGCGAGCGACGTGTTCATCTCTGTCCGAGGAGAAATGGTGAGTTTGAAGGCGGAAATCGCGTAGACTGTAGTATGCCAGGGAAAGTCAGCGCAGACAGCGCTTTATGACAGGTGTTTTGCGTACTGGTTTTTGAGACAGTTTGTGCAATAGTACTGACGTTGTCTCAGTTCGCAGTTCTTACACTCCATCGCATTTTTGTACAAGAGGGCTAATATGAAGAAGGAACGACTTAGAATCTTCATTCTATTTAGGGCATGCGAACTGATCACAATATATCTACCGGAACAAAATACAGCGACGACAAAAATTGATGCTCACTCCCTCTGCAAGTATTTTATCCAGGACAATATTCAAGAACATGGACTACATGCAGAAGATGATACAGGGCTTCTCGCAAAAGACATACATACTTCGTTCGTTGGTCAGCGCATCACATCTTCGTGAACTTCCATTCTATATCATCTGGTGTTGAATCGGACCACAGACGTATCTGTACGCATTGTAAGCGGCGGCGAAAATAAATTGACATCAAGACTCGCCGCTGCTGGGCCCCCTTGGCTACACCAGTACAACATAGTAGCACCGAATTTCAAGTACACCCTTCATGTAGGACTCAATGCTGAACCTACGCCAGTTGCCAGTCACTAGAAGCACGTACCGAAATGTGTCCTGGCTCCCTGTGACACTCTCAAGTTTGAATTCGTTCCACGTTGAGGTATCATCGTAAAACAGGTAGAAGGACTCCTAGATACAAGCCAGGTCCTAGCCTCGCACTGATCAGACAAAACAAGACACTTACTTTATCATCAGCCCCTATCACTTTTTCGCCATCCACCTTGGGCGACACACCTTGAAACTTCCACAAATCATTCCCCATGTCCACAAGTTTCCACTGTGTCTGAGATGAATCAGAGGGAGGCAGGAAATCCAAGGTTAACGCACAACTTGCATTTTGTTGGAGTCTTTTTCCAATAGCTCGACACTGTTACCATGCGACTCGTCCACGCTCACAAACCACCCTTTCCAGACTGGGTAGGCCAACTCAATCATGTAATTTCCGAGGGGAATAATTGGCATGGTCAGATTTAAATGAGCAGAGCAGATTGTGTGAGATGATGCAGGCTAGGAGATGATTGACTGGTCTCAAAGTTGACTCGCCTTTTATAACCTGCCAAACATTCTCGATGTGACAAAACAACTGAGGGGGAGCGCCATTATTCGGAGCTCTCGGACGCGAGTTTGGTGTAGTCTTCCATTCCAGACCCTTGTGCTAGTCTCAGACTGGGTTTGAATGACCGTAACGCAGCTTCTTTGAACACGAGCTTGCCAATCAGGCCGGCATCTAAAAATGCGAATTGGTTTGACAGTCACTCGAAGGTGCTTGTGAGCACATTTTGAATGTGGTTAGCTCATGTATGCGTCCGTAAACGCTCGTTTTTGGTTGGTCAAAGATTGATCTTACCCCCTCTGCATGTATTTCGTCTATAACAACATATGTGGTTTGTTGTTCAAGAACATGGACTATGTGCCAGTGCAGAAGACGATACAGGGCTTCTCGCAAAAGATGTACGTAGTTCGTTGTTCAGCGCATCACATCTTCGTAAACTTCCATTCTATATCATCTGGTGTTGAGTCGTTCATCATCCGGAGCTGTATGCATTGTAAGTGGCGGCGAGAACAAATTGACATCAAGACTCACCGCTCCCCCTTGGGTACACCAGTACAACTTAACAGAACCGAATTTCAAGTACATCCTTCATGTATGACTCAATGCTGAACGTACACCAGTTGCCAGTCACTAGAAGCACGTACCGAAATGTATCCTGGCTCCCTGTAACACTCTCAAGTCGAAAGACGTGCCACATCGAGGGTTCATCACCGTAAAACAGGTATAAGGACTCCTGGATACCAGTCAGGTCCTAGTCTTGCACGTCAGACAAAACAAGAGACTTACATTGTTGGCACATATCAATTTTTCGCCATCCACCTTAGGCGACACACCTTGAAAGCTCCTGCAACCGTCCCCCATGTCCACAAGTTTCCACTACGTGTCTGAGATGAATCATAGGGAGGTAGGAAATTGAAGGTTAACGCACAACTTGCACTTTGCTGGAGTCTTTTTGGCATAGCTCGACACCCATGTTACGCGGCTCATCCACGCTCACAAACCACCCTTTCCAGATTGGGTTAGCGAACTCAATCATGTAATTTCCATCGGGAAGAGTTGACATGGTCAAAAGAGCAGTGCAGATTGTGTGTGAGATGATGCAGGCTAGGAGAAGATTGACCTGGCCTTTGACTTGCCTTTTATAACACGCCTAACATTCTCGATGACAAAACAAAAAGGGGACCGCCATAATTCGGAGCTCTCGGATGCGAGTTTGGTGTAGTCTTCCATTCCGGACGCTTGTGCAATGTGCTAGTCTCATACTGGGTTCGAATGGCTGTAACGCAGCTTCTTCGAACGCAAGAGCTTGCATCGAGAACGAAATGCTTGCTCACAAATGAGAGTCGCGATTCAACCTGCTGATCAGATAGATAGACACTCACTAGATAACAAAAGAACGAGCGCACTAGGAGTATGGCCTCCCACAAATAGTATGAATGATTTGAGCGTCTTGTTTGTTCGCACGTGACCGTCTGTGTAACTGTAATTGCAACTTTGAAGTTTGAACTCACCAATTGCAACATGTCATACGCGTGATCAGCCATCGCGACGAGTTTATATTCTCTGATCCATTATATTGAATTCACAGGTCAATCTAAGCAGAAAGTGACACGCATACCATCCGCGTACCATCTTCTGCTTAGATACATCGAGCACGTATACGTAGGACAACTTGGTTGGCCGCTATCACAGCGACCAGTCCACCTCTCGGACTACTCAGTAGAGGCGTCAGGATTGAATTCTGAGACACGGTTGTCCAGTGGATGAAGAAGGTACCAAATTGTGAGTAGTGACAGGTCCCCGTTATCCCAACGCTCAGATTTCTGCTCTTTGCGTGAGTATTCAGCCTGGTCTCACTCGGTTGTATACTCATTAACGAGTCGTTCAATAGTGAGATGTGCTCCGATGCCATACCAGGCGATGTGGAGGAGTGTCGAGTGGCCTTAAAGCGCTGTGCCCTGATCATCCCCATCGATCCGCATTTCTCAGCAACCTTGCCATCACCCTTCAATACAGATTCGAGCAGCAAGGTGTCCTGAGGCTATCACACTCCATTGGGTTGCTCTGCAGCTCCGTCCCCCCGGCCACTCTGATCAATCTACATCTCTCAACAAACTTGCCGTCAGTCTTCGAGCCAGATTCAAATAGCGGGACGTCCCTTCGACCTTGACAAGGTCATTGAACTCCATCGGACTGCACTGGAGCTCCGTCCCCCTAGCCATTCTTCTCGAACCTCGACTCTTAACAACGTTGCCGTCAGCCTTCAAGCAAGATTTCAGCAGCTAGGTCTATCACCGGACTTGGACGAGACCTTTAGGCTCTACAAGTATCTCATGCAGTCTCTCGTAATGAGCAGCTCCGCCATAGCTCTGCCTTAATGGCCTATCAAACCACATCAAAATTCCTCGATCAACGTGTTGCCACTCTATCGCCCTCCTCCCGCCATTTTGATGCGGTCAAGGACGACATCATCCCTTGCAATGGATGCGTTCTCATGTAGTGTTCGTCGTGGCTCTTTCTCGGCTGCTGTGGAACTGGTGGAGCAAGGCCGTGCAGCATTCTGGACCCAGTTGGCACGCTTCCCCACACCACTGGATGAACTTTCTGCGTTAGGTGACACTGACATGGCATTGGCGGTAGAGTTTAAGCAGCTCAGCTTCCGCCTTCGTCACGCGTCCGATGAGTCTACTGAAGACAAGTCCCCACAAATCCGTCAACTAACCGTTCAATGGGACGATGTCGTCTCACGCATCCGCCTGCTTCCCGTTTTTCGCCGGTTTCTCCTGCCTCTGCTGTTTTCGGACCTACAGAAGGCGGCAGAAGATGGTCCTGTCGTTATCCTCAATTCAAGCAAGTACAGCTGTGATGCCTTAATTATCACAAGTGCCCAAGATCCCATCCACATCCCACTTGATATCACACAGACCGAACTCTCCGAGTTGTCCTCTGACTTCCAGGAACTGCGGAGCGTTTCGGTTCTTCTGATCATGAAGTATTCGAGATGGTCAACATTCTCCGGCCGTTGACCCTGTGGTTCAGGCTCTCAGGGAGTTGATTCAGCCCGGTTCACGCATCTGGTGGTGTCCCACCGCTGAATTCGATGTCCTTCCTCTACATGCAGCAGGACCCTACGAGAAGAAGATCCGAAATGTGTCTCAGTTTTATATCTCCTCATACACTCCATCCTTGGCGACACTCATTCGCGCGAGACAGCAACTGTCTCGAGATTCGTCTACGCAACAATCGGTCAAGCAAACCCGAACAGAGGGAAGGAATGCCGAGGTGTTGGTCCTGAGCTAGCCGTCGTATCTCAGCGTCTCGCATTCGTCGTGTCCTTCACATGGCTCGAGGACAGCGATGCAACAGTCCATGGGGCATTCAATGCATTAAACCACAATAAATGGCTTCACCTGGCCTGTCATGGAATGCCAAATCGAAAGAAACCATTCGAATCTTCCTTCGCAATGCGCAACAGGCCTTTAACGATCAGGGAGATTATCCGGTCCCATTGGCAGAACCCGGAGTTTACATTCCTATCGGCTTGCCTCACTATTGTTGGTGATGAGTTCAGCCTTGATGAAGCCATCTATCTCGCTGCAGCGATGCAATTCTCCGGATTTCGCAGTGTGATAGGATCTATGTGATCTGTCGATGACGAGGTTGCACACCAGGTCGTGTCTGCTTTCTACGACAACCTGGTTGATGATGCAGGGAGATTGGACTGCACGCGGGCTGCGATAGCGCTGCACAAGGTTGTGAAGTCGTTGCGCAAGAATATTTCACTGGAACAACAGATCGCATTCGTTCATATAGGTGTTTGGTAACTTTAGTTCGAGACTCCGGATAATGATGGGACTACGCGTACGCAATAAATGATACAGGACTTCTCACACATACATTTACTTTTCAGCGCATCACATCGAATACTTTGTAAACTTCCATTTTGACGTTGACTTGTCAGTGAGCGCGAGCTGTTCATGTATCTTGTAAGCGGCGGCGAAAACAAATTGGTATTAAGACTCACGCATCCCCCACCGGTGAACCAGTACAGATGAACATTATTATACACCCACGCCACCCTTCGTGTCGATACTGAACCTAGTACACCAGTTGCCAACTAGTCATTAGAAGTACGTACCGAAACGTATCCTGGCTCTCTGTGTCGAGTCTCTCAAGCTGAAAGTTGTGCAGCTTGCCTTCATTACCGTAAACCAGGAAGTAGAACGTCTGGATATGAGTCAGTGGGAGTGTCGCACATACAATAAAACAAGGCACAACTGACATCTCCGATACAAATAAATTTGTCTTCTTCCACCTTAGGCGACACACCTTGTAAGTTCATCCAGCCGTCCCCGAGGTCCGTCAGTTTCCACTGCATATCTGCGATGAGCAATTAGGAGGCAGGAGACTCGAGGTTAACGTACAACTTGCACTTTGCTGGAGTCCTTTGGGCATATACAGATATCGTTATTGTCCACGCTCACAAACCCTTCCCAGCCAACGCACTCAATCATGTAATGTCCGGGAGAGAGGGGAAGAGTTGACATGGTCGAAAGAGCAGAGCTGACTACGTATGATGTCGCAGGCTAGATGAAGGATTCGCTTTTCATACACGCCAAACGTGCTCGAAACAAGAGAAGCAACTCTCGGATGCGAGTTCGGGCCCTGTGCTATTAGGCACATTGACAGACTGGGTTGATTGAACGTAATGCAGCTTCTTCGGACGCGAGCATGCCATGATATAAAGCTTTTCCGCGTCGCTGCAAGCGAGGGTACGCCCATAACTCCCGATGGTTTCAGAAGAAAGCCCTCTGCTGGCGTCCACTGCGCGTGTTGAAGCTATTTATGACAGGTTTGCGCCACATCAGAAGAGGCAGATCGTGTTTATCGTCTCTGTCGCGGGTTTTTTGCCTAGTGAGTACTGACTCCTGAGAGTCGCAGTGTACTGCTAATGCAGAGGCACGATGCTGATGAACGTTTGATCAGTGTTCGTCTCAGCGACTTTAGTGCCTGCCATCCCTCAGATAGCTAAAGATCTCAACTCGACGCATGCTGTCGTCAGGTGTGTTATATGTTCATCTGACGTGACATTTGGTGATGGAGCGATTTCCCAGCTTGGCTTTCAGTCTGTCGATCTTGGCAACTGCTGTTGGATCGTTGGTTTGGGCTACGTATTCCTCTTTCTGTGCGTGCATCCATAGCGCATCATGAACTCACGGTAGTGTTGAGTTCTAACGGCAGCCCTACAGATGGACGCCGACCGATATATTTGTGGAGGATGCCATTTTTATGCGCCGGAAGCTGTGGCGTCGCGACGTCGACTTCGCTGCGAAGTCTGTTATTCTGGCGGTTCGTGCAGACGTTTGGATGTTCTGGGGGAATACCGTTGGGTGCTGGTGTTATTGGTGACATCTATAAATTGGAGGAGAGGGGGACTGTTATTGGTGCATTCTTTGGTGTAGGTGATTGTGATGATTGAATGGTTTGGTACTGACACAGTTCTTTCAGGCCACACTTTTTGGGTTCGCTATTGCCCCATTTCTTGGAGGTAGATATTTTTTGGACCGTTATGCATGCTCACTCTAGCGATGTATTTCAACAGGTGCAGCGGCGCAGTATTGGTCTTGGCGCAATTTGCACTATTGCCTTAGTGCATGGGGCCTGCTCGAATTCCTTCTCATACTTAATTTGTTTCCTGAGACAAGCCATCCCGGGACATTGGGCATTGATAAAATACAGCGCAGGAGATGGATCCATGTCGCATGGGTTAATCCTTTAAGTTGTCTCTGGTTGCTTCGGAGTCCGAACCTATTCGCGGTTGTGAGTGCATCCACCGTGTACGTTGCCCACTGGTTACAAACTCATAATTCTGTGGGGTTGTAGATGCTTACGTCGACTCTAGTGCTTCTCACTGACTACGGTGCGTTGATACTGACTTTGTAGTGCATTCTCACATGAAGCAATTTAGTTCTCCTCGTGCCGCTGGCGTATACTATCGTAAGCTGGCAGTCATCTTCTGATCGCATCCTGATCGCGGTGCAGGGCATCCGGTATGGAATCACGAATGAGGCCATCATTGGGGCGTGTTTCCTCCCAAACGGATTGGGAAACTTCAGTAAGTGCAGAGCGTGGTAATCGCACTTCACCAACACAATCTTTAACAGTTGGAGCACCGATTGCTGGCCGCCTATCGGATGTTGTAGTCAAACGATGGCAGGAGAAGCGCAAAGGAGTGTGGTTCCCCGAAGACCGCTTGAGAGCAACATGGATTGGAGGGCTGATCATGGTCCCGTTGTCTATTGGAACATCGGGGCTGATCACGACGTATGTTGGGGGCCGGATTGGCCTTTCATTGAACTTATTGTGTCTTTTTCTGAACGGAATGGGAGTAAGTCCTCCCAGCTGATTTCTCTCACCCTGAGCATGAGGTAACTGACTAATTTTGATTTCTACAGGTCGACTTCGTGTTGAATCCCATTGGTTCTTATCATGTTGATGTAGCGCACTCTCGGAGCGCAGAAGTCATAGCCGCTAGCGCGTCAGTCTCCTTGGTATAGCACCGCTATGAAACTCGAACTCATTCATTTACCCATCAGAGCGATCCGATCAATCATTCTATCTACTGCGACTGCTCTTGTCATCCCATCGGTCGAACACATAGGTGTTGCGTGGACAAACATTATCGCAACTGTCCTTGCGCTCATTGGACAAGGGTGAGGATCTTTTTGACTTCAAGATCGAGGATACTGACATTTTGCCGCTTCATTTTTTCTCTCCCAGGATCATTTTCTTGACGATTCGTTATGGCGATCGCATGAGGGCCAGCGTTGATGTCGGTTTCTCGAATTCCAACTGAAGAACCACCACCATGATCTCCTAATATTGGAGTATATGCGACGCCAGCCCTATGCAATATTAATTCTCGCTACTTTTATGTAGTGGGTTTCACTGAGGGTGTGACTTTTGATCGATTTTGTCCGAAGGGTTGTTTAACTGTACTGCAAATGCACTTTATCAGCACGGTGCGCTTTCTTTCACGTGACGCTTGTACAAGCGCCATTTTATCTTTCTGTCATGTGCTTCATGCGCGTTATTTTAGTACCTTGAGGAGGGCTATTGACTCCCTGAAGGAATGCTATAGTGCTGGAGCGCTCACAATCTCTATCGCGTCTTTTACCTCGCCCCTTGACTTTGCCAGATTTGTATGGAAAGCCGGACGCTCGCGATATGTTACTTAGTGCAATGTCGCACATGAAAGCTCGTCTTCTAGGCGGTCGACACAATCCAAGAATAACACCGGAGCCGCAACGAGAAGCGCATTTCAGCCTCTCAGCAAAGCGTGACAACACGCCCTGGAGCAGCCCCAAGAACGCTGAGGCAGAGTTAACATTCATTTGGTTTCGAGATTTTGCATTGAATGGTATCGAACATCTTGTGTTTGCTTCGTTCTTTTGCTGCGGAACGGTCATTCCTGACTCGCGCGGTCCTACCGGGGGGTCAGATGAAAATATACAGACATTGCACACAATGTCCATCATTAAAATCGAGGGCTTTCCCTGACGTGTGTGAATTATCTTTCAACATGTCAAGGACTGCACCAGTACGCTGAGAATACCTCTATCTTCTTCTCCACCTCGAGGCAGCAAATACCCGAATTGTTTCTCGGTGAGCTATTCTAATACTGCAACGAGTACGCCTTGCTGCTTCTTCCGGTCCGTAGCACTTATCTTGATCATCAAGTCACAGGATGCTACCTTGACAGGAGTTGGGCATGCATATAAATCTCTCCCGCGCTGTAAGCAAGGCTTCACTCGCAATTCACGATGGTTGCAGAAGAGAGCCCTCTGCTGTTGTCCACCGCGCATGAAACTATTTATGACAGGTTTGCGCCGCATCAGAAGAGGTGGATCGTGTTTCTCGTCTCTTTTGCTGGTTTACTGCCTAGTGAGTCCTGAGAGACAGGGATCTATGCACTACTGATGGTCGTTGATCAGTGTTCGTCTCAGCGACATTCGTGCCTTCCATCCCTCAGATAGCTAAAGATCTTAACTCGACACATGCTGTCGTCAGGTGCGTGTTGTAGGTTCATCAGATTTGATACTGAGCGATGGAGCGATTTTCTTAGCTTAACCGTCAGCCTGTCGATCTTCGCGAGTGCCGTCGGGGCATTGGTTTGGGCTGCTTATTCGTCTTTCTGTGCGTGTATCCGTAGCTTGCTGCTTGTCGCGAAGTTGTGGTAGTTTAAAGTCCTAACAGCACTCTTGCAGATGGGCGCCGATGGATGTTTTTGTGGGGGATGCCGTTTTTATGCGTCGGAAGCTGTGGTGTCGCGATGTCGACTTCGTTGAAGAGTTTGTTATTCTGGCGGTTTGTGCAGACGTTTGGATGTTCTGGGGGAATACCGTTGGGCGCTGGTGTCATTGGTGACATTTATAAATTGGAGGAGAGGGGGACTGCTATCGGGGTATTCTTTGGTGTGAGGGACCATGATGATTGAATGGTGTCGTCGGTTTGGCACTGACACGGCTGTCTCAGGCCACACTTTTTGGGTTCGCTGTTGCTCCGTTTCTTGGAGGTAAACGGATTCTGCACGTTTACTATGCATGCTGGTTCTAGCGATGTATTTGAACAGGTGCGGCGGCGCAGTATTGGTCCTGGCGCAATTTGCACTACTCCCTTAGTGTATGGGGCCTGCTCGAACTGCTTCTCATATTCCTCTCGTTTCCTGAGACGAGCCATCCCGGCACGTTGGGCATTGAAAAACTGGCGCGCAGGAGATGGATCCACATCACATGGGTTAATCCTCTGGGTAGTCTCTGGTTGCTTCGGAGTCCAAACCTCTGCGCAGTCGTGAGTGCATTTACCGCATACGTTGCCCTCTGATTTCAAACTCTTGGTTCTGTACGGGATGTAGATGCTTGCGTCGACTCTAGTGCTCGTCACTGATTATGGTACGTTGCTATTGAATGTATAGTGCATTCTCACCTAAAATAATGTAGTTCTCCTCGTACCGCTGGCGTACACTATTGTAAGCTAATGGTTATCTTTTATCTCTCATCCTGATGGCGTTGTAGGGTGTCCGGTATGGAATTACGAATGAAGCCATCATCGGGGCGTGCTTCCTCCCAAACGGACTGGGAAACTTTAGTAAGTGCAGAGCATGGTACTCACAATTAACTAATGCGATCTTTAACAGTCGGAGCACCAATTGCTGGCCGCCTATCAGACATTGTAGTCAGAAGAAAGCGGGAGAAGCGCAAAGGAGTTTGGTTTCCCGAAGACCGCTTGAGAGCAACGTGGATCGGAGGGCTGATCATTGTCCCGTTGTCTATTGGGGCATCAGGGCTGATCACGACGTATGTTGGGGGCCGGATTGGCCTTTCATTGAATTTATTGTGTCTTTATATGAATGGAATGGGGGTTAGTTCTCCCAGCCAAGTTCTCACCCTATGCGCGATGTAATTCACTGATTTTTGCAGGTCGACTTCGTGTTCAATCCAATTGGTTCTTATATTGTGGATGTAGCGCACTCTCGAAGCGCAGAGGCCACAGCCGCTAGCGCGTGAGTCTCCATGATATAGCGCGGCTACGACATTGAACTCATTTGTGTACCTACCAGAGCGATCCGGTCACTCATTTTATCTGCTGCGACTGCTCTTGTCATTCCATCGATCGAACGTGTAGGCGTTGCGTGGACTGATATCATCGCAGCTGTCCTTGCGCTCATTGGACAAGGGTGAGGGTCTTGTCTCTCACTGCAAGATAGCGAGGATGCTTAGCTTATTTTATTTCTTAGGATCATTTTCGTGACCATTCGCTATGGTGATCGCATGAGGGCTAGCGTGGATGTTGGTTTCTCGACTACAGAGAATAATTGATAGATCGATCTTCGTTCATTTCAAGGGAAGCAACGGATTAGAATCAAGATATGTGGAGAATACACTCATTAAATTGCCAATAGACTGATCCCTCATAACGGGACGGGGATACCTTAAGCGAAGCTGATCGCATTATTGATGCTGAATACCGGGGGCGAAGTTTACCGAGCAGCTTGGTTATATGCTTGATACCCGGCAGAAGCAAACCGGCCGGTTCCAATCCGGCTATAAGGCGTATGAGAAGCAAGGCTCCCTAGGGGCGTAATTTCAACTTGAGCCACCAACGTAGACCTGAGGTTGCCACTGCTGACAGCTAGACGACCAGCCCTGTACGATTCACAAGAAACCAAGACTTACCCTATCATGTCATCAATACCTGAGCAATACATCAGTGGTGGTGTGAAACCAGCTGCTCGTATGTGACGAGCGAGAAATTTTAATCATGAGACTGCTACGGCGGACCAGACATGGGAGGCTCACGTGAAGTTGGAAAAAAAATCCCTAAAAATCCTCCCCGCCTCGTTACTCCTCGACTTTTTGATGATATTGCAAGCAGGAGTCTGCTATAACCCCAGAATGAACTTGCTCAAAAGCGAGGTATCCAACTAGAAAATGACGCAGAGGCAAACGGGGAGACTAGGTCGCGGTGACGATGTAATATCACGCGCACTGGTGTCGACAGGTCGCGCTTCATTGTTGTGCTTTTGCGTTCGCTCACAGGTGTATAACTCGGGTATCGTTCATCTCGTGTATTTTCTTCTGGAACGATGATCGATGATCCCTGGCTCATGTGCACTTGTAAGTTCTGTCGGATGAAAACGTGCATGTATACTATTTTTAACACGCACCTGACGTATGTAGATAGCGAAAGTGAGCAGGATTCATTGGGCAATTTCCTCCCGTTGCTTGACAGACACCTTGAAGAGGAATCAGTCAGCGTCAAAAAGATCTCGGTGGTGGTTCAGAGAATTTCAGACGTATGCTGGTAGGCTTCGGCAGGTCCTATGAAACCGGAATCTGGCTAGAACTCCGAGGCTATGTTGACGGAGTTTGAATTATCATCGCGCTTGTCACTGCGGTGTACGTATGACATCGGAACGTTCAACGTTCAACTTTAACGTTGAACTCCCTCGTGCTTTCGGCGGCAGAATGTTCATCGTCATGATGCACCAGACTTTATCTATACCTGGACCAAGCTGCGTAGGCCATCTGTCGAAGCACCCCCACGAGCACAAGTAAAGCCAGAAGCTGATCAGTGGTTTTTGAAATCCGGCAGAATGGAATCAGTATCTTCACTAGTGTTAAGAAGACGCCACTAGATCTACATATGGGTTCTTCAGCACTTCGGGGCAGCAAACTAGAATAGCCCCTTCCGCAACAGTACTAACTCTCTGCTCCTTCCGGTCTGTGGCACCAATCCTAACCGGTCAAATGTCACTGGCTCATAGCCTCATAGGGCTCGGGATAACGTTTTCATTATCCAGCACCCGAAAGCTTTAGTATGATACGTTCTTCAAGTTCCACGGTGTTTGCGCACGACCTCGTAGGATGGCCTCAGAAGAAAGCCCCCTGCTGACGTCAAACAGCGATGGTGCAACTGCACACGACGCTGTTTATGACCGGTTCACGCGAGGTCAGAAGAGGTGGATCGTATTCATAGTCTCCTTTGCGGGCTTGTTACCGAGTAGGCGGTCCGGGTTGTTCGGGTGCACTACATGCTGATTTGAACGGTATCTATCAGAGTTTGTTACAGCGTCATTCGTGCCCTCGATTCCTCAAGTAGCTAAAGAACTTAACTCCACGCATGCTGCGGTCAGGTGGGTGCTGTTGGTGAATGCTGTGGCATTTCGTGCTCAAATTGCAACTTTCCTAGCTTGACCGTCAGTCTGTCGATCTTTGCGACTGCTATCGGAGCGCTTGTTTGGGCCGCGTATTCGTCTTTCTGTGCGTTCATGTTGTGGTCTAGTATTCATTCCAAGTTCTGAACATTGTGCAGATGGACGCCGATCAATGTATTTGTGGGGGATATTGTTTTTATGCGTCGGAAGCTGTGGCGTCGCGACATCGACTTCGTTGCGGAGTCTACTATTCTGGCTGTTCATTCAGACTTTCGGATGTTCTGGAGGGTTGTCGTTGGGTGCCGGTGTTATTGGTGACATTTACAAATTGGAGGAGCGCGGCACTGGTATTGGGGTATTCTTGGGTGTGAGAGATTGAATGGTTTATTTGGTTGCGGGGTACTGACACAGCTGCTTTAGGCTACGCTTTTCGGGTTTGCTGTTGCTCCGTTTATTGGAGGTAAATAAATTCTAGATATTTATGCATGCTGACTCTAGCGATGTATTTGAACAGGTGCAGCGGCGCAGTATTGGTCCTGGCGCAATTTGCACTATTCGCTTGCTGCATGGGGCTTGCTCGAGATGCTTCTCATATACCTTGCGTTTCCTGAGACAAGCCATCCCGGCACATTGGGCATCGATAAGCTGACGCGCAGAAGATGGATCCATATCACATGGATTAATCCTCTGAGCAGTCTCTGGCTGCTGCGCAGTCCGAACTTATTGGCGGTTGTGAGTACATTTGCTAGGAACCTTGCGCGTTGAATACAAACTCTTAGTTCCATGTGTGTTATAGATGGTTGCATCGAGTCTAGCGCTCATCACTGACTATGGTGCGTTCATACGAACTCCTCAGTGCGTTCTTAATGCGTTCTCACATACAATGTCGTAGTTCTCCTCGTACCGCTGGCGTATACTATTGTAAGTTGACGGTCATCTTCCGTCTCGCATACCAACTGTGGTACCTGTAGGGTGTCCGGTATGGCATTACGAATGAAGCCGTCATTGGAGCGTGTTTCCTCCCCAATGGACTCGGAAACTTCAGTAAGTGCGGATTATTGTGGTCACAGATATCATTGACACAATCTTTGACAGTCGGAGCACCGCTTGCTGGCCTCTTATCAGATGTTGTGATCAGGAAGTGGAAGAAGAAGCGCAAAGGCGTGTGGTTTCTGGAAGACCGCTTGAGAGCAACGTGGATCGGAGGGCTTTTCATGGTCCCGTTGTCCATTGCAGTGTCAGGGCTGGTCACGACGTATGTTGGCGGTCCGATCGGTCTTTGGTTGAATTTATTGTGTCTTTATATCAATGGAATGGGGGTAAGCCCTCATAGCTAGTTCAACCTTCGTCAAGCAACTCACTGTTTATCACAGGTCAACTTTGTGATGAACCCGATTGGTTCTTACAATGTGGATGTAGTGCATTCTCGAAGCGCAGAGATCACAGCTGCTAATGTGTCAGTCTTCTTGATATGACGTGACTATCACTCGTAACTCATTCATCCTCAAATGTTTTCCAGGGGGGTCAGGTCTCTCATTCTATCTGCTGCAACTGCTCTTGTTGTCCCATCAATCGAGCACATTGGTGTTGCGTGGACGTACATTATTGCAGCTGTCCTCGCACTTGTCGGACAAGGGTAAGGGTGCCTTTTGACTGCATCTTGAAGATCCAGATTGAATTTTTTTTTTATAGGATCATTTTCTTGACGATTCGTTATGGAGATCGCATGAGGGCTAGCGTGAATGTTGATTTCTCGACCATAGAGACTAATTGATTGATTGATGCAACGAAGAACGAGCTTCGTTTTGGGAAGACCTTTCATATCTGCTTGAAGCCCTTGAGCGAAGATCGGACGGTATAATACTATATGCTGATGTATGAATTGCTTCGTAATGCAGTATTCTACCATTCCTTAATTCCCGCAGTTCGTTTCGATGTTGATGCATTGATGCATGATGCATGGTGCTTCGGTTTCGGCTATGTACGGTAGATCGATATTGCGAATGTGGCTGTGTCGGGCTGTCAGCCACGTGACCTACAGATTTCCAGCACCTTGCCCACTGGCAGCCTCGGCGGGCCTGGTGCAAATTTTCACTGCCAACCACTTGTTGTTCCCGACTGCTATAACATCAAACATGCTTTTCAGAACTGGCAGTCTCGCCAAGAGTCTCTGTGTCCGTCGCCTAAATGAGTGATACTACTGAAGTCTCCGTTTTCACGATTGGGGTCCGGGATGCGCCTTCCTTCGTGAAGACGTAAACTGCTGAACTGATGGGGCTTGTATTAATCCCACTCAACTAGCCATCGTTTCATCATCTCTCCGCAATGATATGCTACATCCACTATTCCGGCTCTCGCCGCCGCCACACTCAACCGCCCGCACGATCATCTCGAGATCCTATTTGACGATAATCATGGTGTCGCGTGGCTCAACGGACAACCGCACTTACACCTCCCAAAGCTGTGCAAAATTACATTTTGGTCAGTCAATTCGCACTCGCGTTGATGTACTTACCTCAATCGCATCGTAGTGTCTCCTACTGTTCGTGGATATGGCTGCTATACTTAAATGGAGCCGCCGCCAACAAAATCCTGATCCGGTAGGTTTCTCCTTCGCATGATGCGATTTAGGTTCCGCAGTGCGGTCATGTACAGTACACGACAACACTTGTCCGAACCTAACCTCATCAATTCACCAGCCAACGTCTTCATCGCCCTCGAACATCATTCATTTCGGCGGATATGTCTATCAAGCCACAAGTCAAAATTGTCCCCATATACTTACCGAACTTGGCCCATTCGCCAACAGGCTGGGTCCTGCGCAACACGTGGATCAATTACTTAATTGTTATCTTCGCCGCGTCTCTGTGGGCAGTCGGTTCTCTATGGGACTTGTATCCTCGCGTCATTTCAGCTGACTTGATGTACAGAGGGACCTTCTTTTATGCCATCAGAATGACAAAGACCACCATGTACTCATCATCGGCCAGCTTGATATCCTCGGCATCATCAAGGAGTGATCCAAAGTTCTTGCCAGATCATCCGCATTTTTTGCGCTTGTGATGTCATTTCCGCTCTCGTTCGATGAAGGCGATAACCGCTATCTCAGGTTGAAGAGCTCGCAGTGATATTCGATTCGCTTAGGCAGTCAGATATGATGCTGTGCATCTGTGGCGTATGGTGTTTATCACCAAGTTTTGTTCATCCTGATTATTGCGATGGACCGGCAGCGTGTACTTAAGGCATATTTGAAGGGAAAGTTGGGAGTGGGAGATATGCCAGTGGTGTTCGGATACCCTGCGGATCTATCACCATGAACCTGGCCTTCAGGGTCGGATTGTTGAGGGAATCGCGAGCTAGTGTAGATCTCCACTCACTTTCCCTTGCACTAACTCGAACGGTGTTCATTCGCAATTCCACAGAGTCCGTGCGCGCTGGCTTTGGAGCAGGCTGTCAACAGTGACGTCATGTAAACCCTAACCCTAAAGTAAGGTTTGAGCGAATCGGCCCCTCATTATGCAGTACGGTGTGAGCAGCTTGGCAATCACAGCCTGAAATGATTTTAACCCTCTTCACAGACCAACGATGCCCACTTGCGCTTGCACCAACCCTCTTCGCCCCGCCATGGAAAGCGCTCGCCACGCCCTCAAGAGCGCAAAACACAAGTCCCGCCACCACCTTGACGCCATCAAGCTTGCGGCGAAAGAGTTCAATGTAGATACCGAGTACGTGGATCTGGTTATCAGGGTGAGCGGTCGTTTTGTTGAGGAATGTCGGGCGTAAATGAAGGGGCACTGTGAAGTTTATTAGGGCGTCGGATCTTGCAAGGGTGCATGGTATTGGCACGGCGAACCCGTGTTTTCGTGCCAAGCTTGACGACAAGGTTTCGTACACGTGAGTTTTCTGTCTGTTTATTGGCGCTATCACCACACTTTCTTACAGGTCGTCTGTCAAACCGAATACCCTCTCTCCTGTTTGGGATGAGACCTGGGTTGTCAAGAAGGTTCCTTCCACAGCTACCTTGTCCGTGGTAGTACGAGAGACAGAGACTGGAGCACATGTAGATAATGATATCGGCGTGTTCCAGACCACAGTAAGTCCGGGTGCGAAAGAGGTTGAAATAATCGGCAAGCACCTCGGTCAGAATAAAGGGTCATTTTGGTTAAACGTATGTCTGCCCCACATTTTATCTCCCCAGATTGTGCTTATCAGCGTTTGGATCTGTCATCTCTTAAGATTCAATCCTATCCATCGGCTCATATTTCAAGATCACTACCATACACGTTTGATGGCCCGATCCATTATTCTCGGCACGACTCACCAACGATGGGCGTTCTTACTCATCTCAGGGACACGCGGCTGTATTCGACATGGAAAATCTATATTAAAGGCATTCCGCGATTCTTTGGGGATACCGTGCAACGATGGAACCACGATTACAAGGCCGCGCGGGCAATTTTCAAAGGGCCTACATCAATTGCAGTGCGTTCCGGCATCGTGGCTGGCCACCACGTGTTATACGCCCGGACCGTGTTGAATGGTTTTGGGGTCATCACAAGTGCCGATGATGTGTTCAAACTGCTGCATGGCGGTCCGCGTCAATTATCGGGTGACGGCAGTCGCGCATTTGAAAATCGCATCAAGCCCGCAGTATACACATATGTTATCGCCAAGGAAGACGAGACCTTCCGTTTCTCAGAGACAGGGGCGGCGTTCTTCGTAGACTTTGCATCGAAGCATGCACTGCATAGCAACTGCGCGAAAAGCGTTGTATACAGCGGTGAGTTCCACCCTCGCCCAGAAGGTGGCTGGGAGAACCTGTCCGATTGCACGGACGATAGCGGAGTGAGATGGGAGTTGGTGATCGATAACAACTCTGGGACATATTCTCCTAATCCCGACCTGCTGGCTAAAGTGGCTCAACTTCTGGAACTCAATTTCGCGGGGATCAACGTAGTTGCGCTTGCACAGGACGATCCGGAATTGAAGAAGAGCAGAGATGCGTGCAGGGAGTATGCACTGACGAAAAGAGGAGTGAAACCTACGGAGTTGGAGCCTCATGTTACTGTGGGCGAGGAGACGCTATCGAATCGAGTTTCAGCACTTCATAAGATCTGAAAGAATACATAATTATTGAGCATTATATTGTTGTCAGGTGTTAGAGAGCAGGTGACATAGTTGATGTAAAGATAAATGGACAAGATAAAAGGGAAATGATTTATAGTGCTTTATTTGGTAGCGTCGTGGATCTCCTGCAGGTCCATCAAGGCAATCACCGAACACGAGTTTCTCAGCCACAAGCTGGTTGGGCACGAGGAGACAGTCAAGCACCGCAACGCTCTCTTGACTCGATATCGTCCACAGTAAATTCTTCTGTTTCTTCTGTCTTTTGTGATGTCTTGCAACCTTTGATGTATGAAACCAATTGTGAGTTTTCTGTTGTTTTTTTTGTCTGCTTGTTTTTTTTTGTTGACCAGACTCGGCGCTCGTTGCAGGGCTTGAATATCGGTGGACATAATGGATACCAGGGATAATTTGACTAGGGCTGCCCTAGTTCAAAATATATCCTCTCTGAATGATTCCTCCATGCTCAAACCAGAACCGCAGCCCGTGTTTACCCTTCCGCCACTCTGCTCGCAACCTTGGCACCCAATTCCTAGCTGCAGCAGTAACCCTTTCTTCTCCATTTTTTCGGAGGAGGACTTCCCCCCTCTTCAGTCTAAACACACACAAGGCGTGCCTGGTCCTTCCAATCTTCTGAAGCAGTCTGGTCCGGTGAGCTTATACCCGACTCCACCCTCCAGCGCCTCTCCATCAAATTGCACCATCCCACTACCAGAAGAAAGAGGCGAATTTACCCCCATATTCACCACCCATACCCCAGGCGTCTTGGACTCGCCGACCGTTATGCGCCGCGAGGACTTAATTTGTCATAGACCTCTAACGCCACCGCCGACGCAGTTACTCTACAACCTAGAGTTGCCAGGCTATGAAGATGATGATGACGACGATTCGATGTTTGACGAGAGTGGGCGCACAACTCCTCATCAGAGTGATTTTGAAGAGGATTTTTACGATGGGATATCTACCATATCGGATAGCTCCGCCGAGTCAGATTCACCGCTCTCGCCTCTATCACCACCCTGGAAGCCACCAGAGCATGGTCTGGCGAAGTCTCATTGGAATGATCCGCCTGTCTCGAATTTCTCGTGGTCTCCTTGTTTAGGGAGCGAGGACATTTCTGATGTGTCTATACCATTATCCAACGACATAACGCCCTTCTCATCTGATCAGGCACTTTACCTTCTTGGCGTCGACCCACCCCGTCCCAGACTCGTGCCGCTCCACATACCCTGGTCATCGCACCAAAACATACACCAACTAGATGAGGACCACCCACCCTTCCCCCACCGTCCCACGCTTCCATTGACAGACATCGACATTGATGACCCTCCAGAGCTCAGATCCCCTCATCTCTCCCTTGCAGGTCTCCCTGAGCTAGAGTACGAAAAAGCGTCACCTCATATACCACCATCATCTCCCAGCAGGCGTTCCTGCTCCTCTCTCCCCGACGACACAGACAACCTACCACCTTCTCCATCCTCTCCTGGCCAATCTCTCCTCTCGCTTCCAGGTGCTGACACAGACGACGACCTCCTCCCCGATGCATCCACATTCGCGCCCCTCACGTCATTCCAAGGTGTCCCGTTCATCCCTAGCCAGCCATTACTGTTTATCCATGATCCGAGGGATGTGCCCCTCCCGCGCTCACCCTCGCCCGAGGATTTTAATCTCTGTCTCTCCTCACACGATATGGACAACGACCCCGAACTTGCACAGCTCTTTGAGTTGCGAAAACGTGCGCTTGCTGCAGTGCAGGGGCCATTTGAGGGCCCGGAATGCACAGAGCCATGCATGCGTAAATCGAGGAAGAAGAGGGAGCGGGAGAGGAGCAAGGAGGTCGGAGCTCTACTGAGGCTAAAGCTGGGCGACAAGCTCGGTATGGATGTAAATGAGGGGAAGAGCCCGGAACGCCGCAGGAAGGGCGTCATTGGGAGTATATCCCAGCTAGTCGCGCAGATGGTGTTCCGGCGGCACGAGGCTTCACGACCGTTGACGAAACGCAAATCGGTGCTATCTGCGCATGAATATGTGCATTCCCCGCTTTCGGCGTGTATTGCTGCTGATTCGTAGCTACGGGGGTTGGATCAGTGGCTGTTTTTTTAGGTGCGTGGGCTTGGATTGCGCGTGCTTTGTGTGGGGTACTTATTTTGGGTGTGTGGATCTGGTGTAGACTTCAGATCTGAGGTGCATTGTTTGGCGCTGTACGCTCAACTGTTATGTTGTTGGATTATGTCCTTTGTATGCCTTTAGCTTGTAATCGCTTTTGACACCGCTAGCACGGAACCGCTCTCCCAAACCCCTTGTTTCAACTCCTTTGTTCTCCATCTATTGGATTTATGCTTGCAGATATAGGAATAGGCGCCCGTATGCGACGGGAAAAAAAAACTAACTACTTTGAAGGCCAAATCGTTGTACATCACACATGCCAGATTCATAATATCTATGCAGTTCCGCTATTGATTCTTTACATGCATTCGTTCATGGTGTTCGAAGTTCGAAGCGCAGCTTCGAGTGGGAAAGCTACGAGCAATTTTGAAAGTTCTGATTCTCGAGATTATCACTTGATCGCGTCAAATCGTTCGCGGTGTCGAGTAGCCGATATCGTGGAATGCAGGTACCTAGTGGTTGTCGCCGATACGTATGTACATGCGCAGGATACTGCGGAAGCGGCCAGCGTACAAACGTGTGCTACGCGGTAGCCTACCTGTACCTGATGCTAACGTTGCCCAGCGCTAGCGCCACGAGCTAAGCCCTTTCAACCGAAGTCATTAAAATTACTCCGAGACTCGAAAACGCGAGAAAAGGGTGCGCACTATACGTGTTACTGCATACACAACGCGCCTCCGGTTCATTTATGTCATGATCAATGAGTAATCAGAATCCGCTCGGATTACTAGGACACGGAGCGATGATGGGCCTGCGCAGTCTCGGAGGCTTTCATTCCGGAGGGGGCTACGTACCCTGAGGCCTGAGATATCATGCCCGCGTTCCTAGACCAGTGACACCGTGATCAGTTCAAAGAGCTTGAGAGAAAGATAGAGCTCACTTGAAAAAAAAAAAGCAAAGAAGGATATCACTTCTCTCTAACCAAATGGGATGACAAAGGTTATGTTGTTGGGCACAGTTGTATTGGCCCTTCATACGAAGTGTCACCCGCGTGTTCTGCCGCCAAATTATGGAAGATTGTCATTGCATGGAAGATAAGACTAGACACGCGTGTCCACTCGAGGATAAAGGACAGGCCCCCAGTACACCCAGTGCAATCCGTAAACCTGCAATATTATTTCGGACAAGACGGGCAATCACCATTCGGATTATGCCGTAGTTCTGAATTCAACGTAATGAGGTGCTTAATCTGAAAAGTTGCGAGTATTCAAATGTTGTGATTGAATCCAACACACTAACTCACGTCAAAAGCATATTTATAACTGCCGGCATGACTGTTTTCTCCAGTCGAAAGCTAGGAGCCTGCGTTTAGCGAATTGATGTCCAGTATTGCCGTGTCCTTTGCGCGGCGGTATAGGCCCTTCAATAGCTTCGGATATGTTTGGAAGCGAATGAAGCACATCCACGGTTCCTGACATATCTTTGACGTAGTGTACCAGACGGTCTTTTTGAACATCACGCTACCCGGGATAATCTTTTGGTGATCTTCTCTTCCCACAGTGGGTCGTTCTAGCAATGGACGATGTCCTCAACCCACGCGTTACTAACAGCTAACCAAATACCATGGTTAAGCAGCGTCGAACAAAGAGAAAAAAAATAGGCACAAGTGTCCTCTTTGACCAGGTCTGTTTTTGTGCGCCAGGAACTGACAGTGGAGAGATGGTCCGAAATGCATGTTATTAAGAAGATGAATGACAAGGCCACTACACTTTTGGCAATTGACTGCATTGTAAAACTTGCAAGGTATTGTCAGCGCAACTCCTCACGACGGCCAGAAATAACTTACTGGAGCGATCTAATAGCAACCGCTACAATTGCCATGGATTTCACTCCGTAATCTGATGGGATACCAGAATTGTCGTGAAACAGCTCGGAAAGGAGGCAGAAAACGTTATCCCCAACTCGGAGTAGCAGTACATTGCGGATTGCATCATCTCGGGTCTTCTACAAGTCCACGGGATCGATGCCATAGATGAGCTCCAGAATTCTACAGTCAGCAAGGTTTCGGTGATCATAAGAAGGATCATCGCAAGATCAAAAGTTAGAACTCCTGGTCGTATAGCAGCCTAAGAGGTTGTTGTGCGTCTCGATATGAACACGATGAGCTCGCCGGATGTAGTAAATTTAGGTGCTTCGTAGTCTCTCCTAGACAAACCATAGATGAATGAACATAGTTGTTCCTTTGTATTATGGTGCCATCGCTGAAATTGTCATGAAGACCTACAGTTGAACGGCGGGTCTAGAGAGGATTTCGTACGTGAGGAGTCTGAGCAGAAATTGGTAACAGTGATTGGTTTAAGCGGGACATACGCGGACTCGCGGGATGACCTACAGCTCCAGATATTGCGATATTGCTCATGTCTTCCTTTGCGGATAATCACAAGCCGATCAGAAAGTGTTAGATATAGATATGCCCCCGCGAGTTTGGTCATCTGTCAGGCACAGGTCCTGAAGAGCCGCAACATTGGGCGGTTGAACAATTCTCAGCCCGAGTCGGACTGGTGTGTGCTGGCCTGAAAGCTGGGGCACCAGGTTCGAATACCGGTTCAGCCAAGGCTGAAAATGAAATGAGCCATTTCGCGTTGTGGTGAGTGGCGAGATGGAGAAACAGGGAAGATGAGCGGTCATTTCTATCGTGTTGTACAGACGATCATTCGACGGGATGATGGTTTCCTAGACATGCACGTCGGATTACGGGTCAAAGAAGCAGCATCACAGTCATACCGAATCACACCGTGCCCATTCGACCAAGTGCTGCACCTCAGCGCCACCGTTATCGAAATGTTCTGGTAAGTAGGGTCAGCGGCGAATCCATTGAACGTTTGAAGCTGTAAACATATCATGATGAACTTTAATGCAACCGTGAAGTTCAACTTGTAGGTTCCACCTAATAATCACGGTAAGTATACGTGCAGAAGGCAAAGGTAGAAAATGAGATCTAGCACTTTCAAGGTCCAGGGAGTCAGAGTTCAGATTATACGTACTTACTAGTACTTTGATGTTGCAGTGTGCAAAACATGAGAAAGCTGACTAATGTAGGCTATATATGTCACGACTCTAGATCTTCTGTTATCCATCAACTCAGACTACTACTTAGTTGATATATGCAATGCATCAGGCTCTACTCTATCCCGAAGTCCTCCTGGATATATTCACGCATGTGAATGACATCCTGGACCCATCTTATGCCGAAAAATCATTGGCTCGGAAATCCTTTGCAGCGCTTGCAACGACATGCAGAGCCTTCCATGAGCCCGCGATGGATTCGCTGTGGGCTGAAATAGATCGATTGGAACCACTGCTAGGCTGTGTAACGAGGCTACATCCACTAATATATCATAGTGATCGAATAGTGAGTGCAGACTAGTCATGTTCTAGTTCATTGGCTGACCGAGCATCTAAATAGTGGGACGACAGCCAGTGGGCAGAAGGTATAGAACCATTATCGGCCGATGAGGCCCGTCAATTTTTGCGTCACTCTACCCGTATTCGCTCATTGGAAGTATTATCCCATCGCCTTTTTCTCCTTCTCTCAGTCATCCCTGTCGAGGCATACGTCTTCCCGAGACTGAGGTCGTTAACTCTTTCCACCGAATATCTGGACCTCTTCATGTCCCACACGCTGCGCCGTCGCTATCTAGTAACCGTCAATGAAGATCTTCAATCTATTATGACCCGTTGTGCTGCTTTGGAGCACTTATCCGTCAACGCTTCTGATGACAGCATCGCAGATGAGAGCACAGCAGATGAGCTGTCCCTTCTGTCTAAAAGTGTCTGTTTATGCAAGCGGCTTGTAACTCTTTGTTGTCCACTGCTCGACTGGACAGCATGGAAGCACCTCTCCAACCTGCCTACCCTTCTCAGAGTAGAAGTTGGTGACACGAACAGTGACAGTGACCTTCCTTGGCCATTGGGACGGGATATCGTCAATTTCTCACCATTCCTTAACGTCACGGCTCTTTCCTTCCTCATGCACAGTGCTGCATACGTTATCACATTCATGCAACACTCACAATTCCCTTCGCTGAAAGAGTTCAAGATGGATGTCGATTTTCTGTATTCATCAGAGCCTGAGCAACTCTTTCGTGCGCTGTCTCAGTGCAACACACGTCGGACCCTAGAAAGCGTCATTATTTGTTCCTTTGATCCTGGATCTCAGGACGCCCCAGACAACTATTTGTCAGCGATTCCACATTTCCTTTGCTTCACACAGCTGCGAACCTTGGAGCTCGCGGTTTTTGATTCCTGCATCTATCTGGATAATGACATTCTCTTGGAAGCCATGTCAACTTGGCCGCATCTTCGCAATCTGGAAATAAAAGACTCGAGACTTCGTCCTTCTCCCGTCACATTCCGCGGATTGTTCACAGCGCTCCGTCTATGTCCACAATTGCTTGAACTGCGAATTTCAATCGATACTGCGAACATCGATATCGATCCTGATACTGAACCAATACAATACAACTCTCTACGAATATTGGAGCTGGACCCATCCGAGTTTGTAATAGCAAATCCTGAAGCTCTCGCTCGCATCATTCTCGCCTGGCTCCCTTGTGTCGACCGTGTTAGCGCTAGCGCGTTCGCTCGGAATTGGGATAAAGTTAACATGCATCTCAAATCTTTGAAAGATTCTGCGCTGCATGTCGCTGGAGCCTCCTCAAACAACTGAGTCCTGACATATTCATGATCAGGAAATATCTTGCAGGTGTTACGCTCCTTCGTGTTCGTTCGTTAGTCGTTGTCGTTGCAGTTGACTGTGGTTGTGGAATGCTTCTCCCGTCTGACCGTTAAACTGCTGTACCACCGTGCTGTATTATTGTCACGCATTTTTGTAGAGTATCTCCACCCACATGAAAGGATCCGCACTTCAGTTCCGTTCGTCTATGTCCCACTTACATCCTATCAATGGATGCTAAGCAGCGTTCTAGCGGAGTTCCAAACCACCCGCACACCGTCCCAGCCAGTTCCCATCAACTAAACCAGCCATGGGCCACGAGTTCACCAGTGTCCAAGCCCCATAATCCGTCGTTTGGAGTTATTTGACCTGTTGGACAGTAGCGTGCTGTCCGCTTAGATACGTGTGCAGCTCGCCTGCCTTGATTTTTTTTTCATAATGCCTGTCTCAACATCATAGGCTTTCAGCTCCGGAATCACAAGCAGTGACAACCCATCGACCATCCGTTGTTGATGTTGTCACCGCTCGTATTTCCATCTTGCGAGCATCCCGCGGTTGTTCAATCACCTTACCTGCCTGGAAGTCTCATCGCGGAGCAGTCTTTTCCCAAGATCTGCTGATTATATGCGCCATCGGGAAAGTAAGGTATAGATGTAATACCTGGCATATCATCCTCCGAGTCAGGATTATGTTAATTAATAAACCGAACGGCAGTTAATCAGCCGATATGTCCTTTGGATGCGCTCGAGGGTGTTGTGGTGAGCTATCCTCGTGCGCTGTAAGCCTGATGCAGATAGTTTTTATAGCACTTTCCCTGCTGAACCTGATGGTCAATTCATCCGCGCTGGCAGTTCAGATTAGAGTTGATGTTAAAAAGAAACTAGGAAGGATGAGAGTTATCGAATGTGAGCCCATCGGTCGTCCTTGCATATATCCTAACGCGCTTCTGCATGGCAGGTGTATTTTCGTATCACAGCCATGGCCGAAGGTGTCGTGTCAGAACGTCAATCTCATGTTCATTCTTCATTTTCCATATGCCGCCAGTCTCTTACAACGCGCATCCGATTAAATTCCGCGGATTATTCAAAGTGCTCCGTCTACGTCTAGACTGCGTATACTGCGAGTTGCAATCAGTATCGTGAATATTGTATCGATCCTATAGCCGAGTCATTTCTTACTACCTTTATACTCATCGCATGTGCTCTTCTCTCACATAGGAATGCTGAGGCTGTCACTCACACCATTGTCTTCGTGATCCCTTGCGTTGAATCGACAATGTTGAACGCAGCAAGCTGCGAACCTAGAGCTGCCCAATCCATAAATTTTAATATCATACAAAATCGAGGTACCAGCTGCTACAAGCGGAGACTCTTCCAACTCAAAAAACAGCGCCCATGCGATCGGGTCTCAATGAAAAAAAATTACAAAAGAAATAACCATACCACTACACGTAGCACCTCGACAAACTCATCCCGAATTCATAGATTGCTTCGCGATGTTCACCAAGCCCCAAAAATCACGTCCGTTCAGCAAATTCGCACCCTTTCCATCAACATAATCCAGAGCCTTGTTCAGCAGTGCTTCCAACAAATCTGGTTGCGCAGCCAGATGATGCTTCAGGTACGCCACAACAACCGCAGTCGCCCATATATTCGCGTCGACCTGCTGGCTCGCTGCATTGGTCAACATTTCCACGCCCACAAGCATCCCCAATCGAAGCGATGGCGTAAACGAGCCATCGAAGCTCTGCAGTGAGATGATATCATGTGCCTTTTTAAGCTCAAGTGGTGAATGAGGGGCGGGCATGAGTGGAGGTGCTGCATGTCCTGATTGTTGTGCCTCTGGTGGGACCAAATCAAAGACTGGCGATGGCACGCGCTTGATTGGATCTTCCGGCGGAGGTACGGGGCTAGGCGGCCTAGAATATGACCATCGAGAGCTAGATGGAGAGCCTCTATATGAACTCAATGTAGAGAATGTGTCCGTGCACGAGTTGTAGTGTCGAAATGAACGTTCACTCTGAATGGATGGCGAGCCCGAGCGGGCTTGTACAGTGGAATAATGTATTCCAGGGAGTGACTTCTGGCGGCTTCGGGTGGTCGGGGGAGGATCTGAGAAGAAGAAATTGTACGCTGCAGAAACCGCCTGAGACAAGCTGTCCCAAACAGTCTGCAGGGCGGGGACAACTGTTCCTGGATCACCCCCATCAGCAGCACCCCCGTCAGCACCATCAGCAGTGACGTTAACGTAGCCCTGTTGCCACCGAGACTTTTGCCCCGACGTTGACCGATGCAGCCCGCTCCTAGCTGCCTCCCGTCCAGACTCTACAGCAACAAAGGATGTGTGCTGGCTGACAAGCTGGTACTCAAGTCCTAAGCGGACGATCGCCGCTTTTCGAATGTCCTCATCTGAAGCAGGCGCGATGGGTTTGGGAAGGAGCGCCCGACCCTCCGAACCTCCCAAGTGCTTTATGAGTTCTCGTGCAGCTAAGGTATGCAGGAGTGGAATGGACGACCGCTCGTCTTTAAATGGTTTCACTGCTGTGACAGGTACCACGAGCTCGAGCTCCTTTTCCAAGTCTTTAACCTTGGCACGCAACCTGACTTCGCGAGGAATCGATCTAAAAGTTGTGATCGCGAAGACATTGAAGCGAATTCCAGGGAATATCTTCGTGATTGTATGCGGGGCCTGCTGTATCGGAGGTGGAAGCTCTAGCTGTACGATGCTGGGCGGCAGGGGGTGATGGTGATTCAAGGGCGTGAAGTTGACAGCTGGCGGGCTCCCAGAACCGTGCCAATCAACTGTGACATGCTCAATCTCGCGTGTCCGGCCAGCGTTCAGGAGCCTCGCACACTTCCCTGTGATGTCCTCGGTTCGAACAGCGAACAGACATTCACCTCCACCCTCACGAGCAATGCCCTCACACATGTCCGATGAGACATGTTCGCCGATCCCAAGAGTGAATACTCTCAATAGTGCATTGGGCTTGGAGCTCTTCACAGCCTTGGAGACAACCGCGAATGGGTCTTGACTTGAAGGCTAGTCCATTGTCAGTTCGAAGAGTCAAAGCCGAGTCATTAGACACGCACATATATATTCCCGTCAGTGAGGACGAACATAGCAGTCGGGCGGTCGCAGTCACGTGACGCAATAGCGAACTGCAGGGCTCTTGCAATTTCTGTCCCCCCGTAGTTTGCTTGCATGGCTTGTACATTCGAAATCTGTACACATTACTCGTTAGCTTATTTCTCTGGATTGTGACTAAATTTAGTTACCGCACGCTGCATTCCCGGCTGATCAAATGGTACACTTTTCCCCCACAGACCGTCAACCTTGGCCCCAAAGCTGAAAATATTGAAAGTCGTTTGTGAATCCGGCAATAGGTGAAGAAGCATCTCCAGCGTGCGCTTAGCAGTCTCCATTGGGGCTCCCTTCATGCTTCCGCTGCGATCAATCACGAATATGTACTCTTGCGAAGTGACGGGAGGCATCTTGAACTTCGGTATGAATAAGAGCTGCATAGCAATGGTATCACCGCCACGCTGTTCAGCGAAACACCGAGGCTCGTCGAGTCCAAGAGCATGCACTGTCAATACAAAGTCTCCGTCGAGGAACGTCGGAGACGACCAAGCTACGGCCATCCGTCGTTCAGATTTTCTTCCCGTGCGCGACTTGTAGCGCTTGTAAGTAATTGTCGGGTGAGTAGGACTGCGTATCTCCTCGATCTTCCCACTGGTTTGAACGTCCACAGCGATTTTAACAAACGTCTTTTCATTAGCTGTGGACGCATCGAGCATGGCTGCAGGTTTCTCGCCGTATCGTTCCGCAATGGCCATTGGAAGCTGTAGACGGACATGGTCCTGTCTTCCTTCATCCAAAAGATCCATGACAAACTGTTTGCTCATCAGACAAAGTATTGAATGGGCTGAAAGTGCACTCACAGTCAATCTTGCTGTGACCTTCTGCCGGGCGGGAATGGAGCCAATTGAGATCGTAAATACTGGATCAAGGTCAAAGTTAGCGCTCGGCCAAGATCATCGAAATTTAGCTGTCATACTGTCGTCCGTCACCAATTCTACAAGCCCTGCAGTCTTTCCAGCATCCAATGCACTCTGGAAAGCCTGTGCAGCATCTGACTTCTCCTTCGCTACACCAACAATACGACCATCAGCATGCTCAAGTTCAAAAGCACAAGCTGCAGCGCTCGCTGGAAGAGGGAATACATATTTGGCCCGGCTGGTGGGGCTGTCTGACACATTCTCAAACACTTGCGAGAGCACAACCCTCGCAGATACTAGTACAGGAAAACAGGAGTACTGATTAGTAGTTTTAGGCTGCGCCACCACGTATATACGCACCATCAACCACCCATACTCTAACGTCGACCTCTTGAAGCGGCAAATGCAAGAGTTGTTGATCCGGGGAGCGATGTACGATTCCTGCGTATCTGCTCATAGAGTGATAAGATAAGGTGGGGATATCGTCAACACATCCTTGATCGTTTTATAATTGGAGTTTGACGCCCGGGCTTCCTGTGCTGCCATTCGGTGGCAAGCCATTTCAAAGTTCTTTGTGGGCGTGAACAGGAATATCTAGGGCTATGAAGCCTGTGTTGCTGTTCTGTTGTTGTTCGATTTCCTGTGATGAACTGCGGCCTGCCAGCTCCAGGGGCTTCTTCCAGGCAGTCTGCAGGTAAATTCGAGGACTGGATGAAGTATTGTCATTCAATGAATGCACAATGAATAGTGCCCCGCCTGCCCAATTGAATATCGCGGCGTGGCATCTGAACTTTGAAGTGCCGCGGAGAATCTCAAATGGAGTCTAGAAGCCCCAAGGGTGGCACTGTGATCCGATTCCGATTCCGATTCCAAATCACGTCTGCCGCTCACCACTATCAATCATCGCAGGCCCCTACCGTGATGACAGTACCAGTTCTGTGTCGATACAGTGCAGATCTATGGCGCTGGATCTGTTCAACTATTTCCACACAAAATACACACACACACACACAAATGATTTACACAACACAGAGTCGCGTACCGTTGCCGAGATGTATCAGGATGCTTTAGGATTAGCGTGACTTCCCGTTTTGGTAACACCGCACGACGACAAAATGCTCGAGCTCGCTGTTGAGGACAGCGAGCTCAAATAGTTGCCTAATCCTTCACCCTTTTCACTAGTTCTTTTGAGGGAAAAAAAATCATCTGTAGCTTAACTATGCTATTTTGACCATAAATCTTCCATACTTACAATATTCGCCCATTCCTGTCATGGGCTTATTATGGGCTCAATTAATGATGTATTTATTGTATTAGAACTTCTTTTTTTTTTTTAGACAAGCGAGTCTATTATATATCCACTGACACTGTCTAGCTCTATATAAACGCTTATAGCGGTGCTTAGGGCACCGGTCCGAGGGAAAATGCACTTACGCACTCCCTACTGGTGGTAGGGGTGTGTGGGACTCTTTAAACTACCTAGGTTACCTCGGTCTGCGGGGGCCTGGGTAGTGTTATACCCACTAAAACCTCGAGTGATGTGACCCAATTATGTGGGAGGGATTTTCCGGGGGATATAATGTTTGACCATGTAGCGTTGATGAGGTTGGAGTATTTCTGGTTTCTTTTGATTTTACTAGCGATTATTCTATCTATTTGTAAGCGATCGTTAATTGCTTTAGTCCATCTTTTTGTTATATTTAATTCGTCGAGGGATATTCCCTGAATGACCTTGGTGCATCTGATGGTCCATATTAAGTAAGCGGATTCTGATATGAGTATGCGGAGTAGCCTTGTGGCTCCTCTTTTTGATTCTGCTTTCTTTTTATCATCTGGGTCTTCTTTATTTTGTTCGTGTGGGATCGATATTACCCCGCATCCCAGGATCGTTCCTATCGATATATCCGGCCATGGGATGATGTTGGTAGGCCAGGTTTGTTCTGCTAGGCGCCATATGAGCTTTCGTGCTGTGCTGTTGCAATCTGTGAGTATGTGACTCATTGATTCGGTGTCTTCTTCACATATCTGACATTTTGCACGGTGTTCGAAGGTGGGAATATTGGTCCAGAAGTCTCCCACTTTGAACGCGTTGTGGAGCGCTTTATACGTGAATATCTGGAATTTTTTTGTTAAGTCTTTGTTCTTTCTGGCTTTCCATATTGATCGGTCTGTTTCTAGTGTGTTTGATATATCTTTTATGGCGTATCGTGTTATGTCGAGGAGGCCAAGGGTTGAGTGTTTGTATTCGAGGGTTGGGGATGATATCAGTTGTCTGTATGCTAAGGCTTGGGTGATTTGGGTGAGTTTCGTTCCTTGTAGGTCGAATTCTGGTGGGATCTTTATGTCCATATGGTCGTATTCGTTTTTGAGGGCGCCTATCTCGGCGAGTTTGTCTGCTTCATCGTTTCCTTTGTTGTTACTATGGCCTTTGATCCATCTGAAGGTCGTTGTTGCTGACCTCTTTCTTAGCTGGTATACTGTGGCTCTGAAGATGTCGCTGTTCGCTATGTCTATCCAGCCTCGATCCTCCCAGTTGCGGAGGTGGTTCGTTAGACCGTTGATAACATATCGTGAGTCTGTTATGAAGGTCACTGGGGTAAGGGGACTGACGCTTTGTAGTCCTATAAGGATGGCTGCGATCTCGCCTACCTGATTGGATTGTGTATTTCCGGGGACTCTTATGGATCTGTTATGTGGGTGGTCATCCCCGAACCATATACCACTCCCGCATCTCGCGTTTTCCTTTCCGTTGTTCATACACGATCCATCCGTGTAGATTTCAATCGCTTGTTCTTGTGACCCTCGTCTTGGTCCTATATGTTGAAGGCGGTATGCCGGGGTTAGTGTGTTTGTGGTTGTCTTTGTAAATATTCTGAAACATTCCGACAGGTCTTTCTTTTCTGTTATCGAAGGGTCGAAGACTATGTCTCCTCTTTGTTGAGATATTGCGCGTGCGTTTTTTTCCTTTCGTCGATGGGTTAGTGTGAGGCCGTCATCTGGTGGTGAGTCGAGGGGGTTAAGTTTTTGGCTTAGTTTGGTGAGTATCGTTAATGCTGTGATCGTACATTTGTGTGGGTTCTTACATCCCTCTATTCTATCGTTTTTGCAGGGTTCGCATGCGCAGTTACTCCTCTCGCGGTGATTTGTGTTGGTGGTGCGTCTGTCTTTTAGTTTCATTAGGTCATTTACCGTTCTTATTTTATGTACTTGTTGTAGGCATTGATCCTTTATTTTATTGTATGTTCTTGGGGGGGCTCCGAGATGAAACCATGCGGGAAGTTGCTGTTTGAGTGAGTGAGATACTTTTATTGGTGCAAAGCTCATATTATGTTTCTTCGCCATTTTTAGCATCGTGACTATTTCTTTTGGTAGGCGATTGGCGCGTGTTCCTTGGGATGGTGGGGACCATGTTGTGAGGAAGGCTTGGACGTCTTCAAGACTTCTTAGTCCGTCGGGTTTTAGGGTGTGTATTAGTGCGTCTGCTATAAATGCCCATGTGGGTCTCTCAGGGGATATGTTAACGTATGCGCATAACCAGGTGATGTTTATCGCCTGGTTTCTAGCCACGATATCAAGGACTTTCAAGGCCGCCTTCTTCTTGGGGTCTTTGTAGGCGTTTCATGCTTATTGGTGAGGATTTTGATTCGTTCCAAATGAATTTTCTAGTGATTTTTGTTATAGCTGTTTCAATCTGTTTGGGCATGCCTTGCGCTTTGGTGAGAAATTGTGTCATGCCACCCACGAACATTTGGATTATTAAACGTTTTCCGTCTAGTGTCGGGTTTCCTTTATTCCATCTATTTAGGGTTGACTCTATTTTATCTAGGATTGGTTCCCATGGAGTTGCGTTATCCAGCTCGTTCCCTATCCATGCTCCTAGGGATCTAATCGGGGATCCGTCTTGGGCGATTTTTATTGAGTTCTCCCAGGGGTCATCTTCTTCATTCAGTTTTCTCGTGGATATGACTGCTGTTCTATGTGTTTTGGTACCAATTGGTAAGATTTCTGTTTTATCCATATTAAACTTAGCGCCTGATGCCAGACACCATCTTTGTAGTATATCATTTAGGTCTTTATATTTGTCACCTTTTTTCAGGAATATCGTTGTGTCATCCGCGTACATATTTACGATTATGCGCTGTGCGAGGCCAGGTATGTTATATCCGTTTAATTTTGTTGAGTTTCGAAGGGTGCACGCTAATGGTTCTATAGCTATATCAAAAAGCAGGCATGATAGGGGGTCGCCTTGGCGTACCCCCCTTGTTACTTTAAACGGGGTGCTTAGGAATCCGTTGATGGCGACCATGGTATGTGCGTTTTTGTATAGTGTTTGGATCGTGTTGATGAATTTTCCAGGTAGGTTAAAGTTCTTTAGGGAGTCGATTAGGTAATCATGGTTAATTTTGTCGTAAGCTTTCTCTTGGTCGAGCGCGACCATTATTCCATCCTCCTCTGATATGTCCGCATAGGCCGTCATCATTTGCGAGAGTCTTATCGGGTTGAATATTGATCTTTTAGGTATAAATCCACTCTGATCTGGGTGTATAATGGGGTGTATTTCTCTAGCGAGTTGCATGGCTAGTGTTTTCGTGAGTAGTTTGTAATCTGTGTTTAGTAGGGTTATTGGGCGGTAGTTTTCAATTTCTGATCTGTCCTTTTTTTTGTATAGGGGGCACATCCAGCCTAAGGCGAAGTTGGAGTCATTTGTGATTCCGTGTGTTTGAATGTCTATTAGTACTATAGTAAGTGTTTTGATCACATCAAAACTTGGTTTATTTTTGACTTGGTGTTCTTTATGTCTCTCGTGTAGTGTTTTCCATGTTTCGTACGGGATTCCGTCTATGCCCGCTGCACTCCCGGCTTTGGATGAGTATAGGGCGTCTTTTACATCTTGCTCTGTGATTATTTCATTTAGGGGGGTGTTCGGTGAGTTCATCTTCTGTTCGTTTGGGATTTCTGCCATGGTCTTATTTATGGCTTCGCGTCTGTGTGTGCTGTTGTTTAGATGTTGGCCAATGTCTTGGAGTTTTTTCGTGGTAGGTTCTAGCGATTTCAGACATTTCTTCTGACTTGGTAGTATATCTGTTGGTGTTTGGGATTCGCAGTCTGTGTATCACGTCTCTCGGTTGTCTTAGTTTGTTCGTTTTTGACCAATATTTGCTTATCGTTTCTCCTTTTAGTGTCCATTGTGCTTGGGCTTTTAGGTGAGCGTTTTTATACCTTTTTCTTTCTAATTGCTCAAGTTGTTGTTCTAGGATAATTTTATTCTGTCTCTGGTCGACTGAGGTGTCGATGTCTGGTGCAGTTGGATGATATTCTTATGTCTTTTTGTATCTTTTTAATTTTTTGGTTGATTTTTGCGACATGTATTTTAGCCGCATGTTTTACTTCTTCGTTCATTTGGGACTTAAAGTTTTCCCATATTGATTGCGGGTTCTCGTTCTCGGTACGGTTTTCCTTCTGTACTTTTATTTTCGATTTTTTCTAGTGTTCTTATTCCTAATGTTTCTATCTTTTCAATTAGGGTTTTGTTGGCAAGGATATCAAGTGGCCATGTCCATCTCCCTTTCCCAATGTGCGGGAGACCTGGGGGGGCAAAACGGGTGGTTACAATGTTATGGTCCGTGGGTATTGGGCATAGGTATGATTTCCAGTTCGAGACACTCTCGTGGTGGGTGTTTGACGTATAGATTCTGTCTAAGCGGGACATGGAGTTGGAGTTACTGTTGAAAGTGAACAGTCGTGTTCTTGGGTGGGTGTGTCGCCACGTATCTTGTATGTTTTCGTTTGTTCTGAAATCTCTTAGGGCCTCTACAGCTTGTTCGTTATCAAATCTCGATGGCGCTCTATCTAGTGGGTCTTCCGTTACATTGAAATCGCCCATCATGAAATCAATTGGTCCTAGGTTATTTTGCGACCATTTTGTCTTTACATTGTTCCAGAATGTTGGGTGTTCGCTGTGATTGTTGGGCGCATAAATGTTAAGTATTTTAATAATTTTTTCGTTATGCCATTTAATTGACAAGGCTATAGCTCTGCCGGGGATTAGTACTGTTAGTTTTGCTTCGGACGTGTTGATCATTTCTTTGTTTAGAACAAAGGCTATTCCCGCGGAGTTTCCGGGGCGTGTCGGGTCTTGTGAGTTGAGCATTAGTAGGCGTCTAGAGTATAGGGATTTTATTTGCTCTTCGTGTTCATTAGTTAGGTGGGTTTCTTGTAAACATAGAATGCTTATTTTTTCTTCTCTAATTGTTTTATTTATTATAGACCATTTGGATATTGGGCTCGTGCCCAGAGTTGTCGAGGCTCTGCCTTTGACATTTAGCGTGGCGAGGGTCATGTTGGCGCGTGTGCGTTTGTGTGGGTTGGTGTATGCTGTGTTTTCGTTTGCCTGATGTGGCAGGGGTTGGACTACGCCTCCGAACTCCCCTGGGGCGTCATTAGGGGGCTCTCCGGCGATGGAAAGAGACCTCCCTCTGCTCCTGGGGAGGCAAATACCATGACCGAAAATATGACCGGGGGGAAGGGGGAAGGGGGGGGTTGTTATTTGGTTGGTAGTCGGTATTACTTAGCTTGTCTTACGACTATAGAAAAGCCAGGGATAGCATAACCCGGCTACCTGGGGGACTATGTTTGTCAGGTTCGAAAATATTTGTGCCCAAAACACTCGTACTTCCTACTATTGAGAAACTTAAGCCTCTCGGCACGGCTCGTCCGAACCTAAATAGGTTTCCGTGGTCTGGTGTGCACCATGCGTGGTGAGACGACTCTCGCTTTCCTGTCTTGTTCTCACAATCAGTATATGTGGGCAGAGGGTCTTAGGGTTTCGATTCGGGTCTCGCGTGAATCGAGATTAGTTTACAACATCTCACTTTCGCGATAGGTTTTGGGCCCATGCCGGGGATGTTATAGTGGGTTTTCGGTACGGGTTTTGTGAGCGTGAAACGACTAGGATTATGGAAAGCAAACTGCGCTATTTCATACGTGAGCTAGGGAGTGATATTTGGAATGGTGGGGGGGTTGTGGGAAGGGCTGAATGGGGTTTTCGTATGGTACGAGATGTTCTGATATATGACAGCGTATCGTTCGGGGGTCGATTTGACGGGTGGTTCTATGTATTACGACTGGTCCTTCCGCCCCTCGCTCTACCAGGTTTGTCTAGATGCGTTGATGGTATTTCTACTCCCTACTTTGGGGCCGTTCCATAAAGGTACATTGGGGAAGGGGCACAGGCCTCGTGGGTGGGCGAGGGAATGACAGATTGGGCATGGTGATAACGCTACAGCTACCCCGCATCCGTCTAGGCCCGTTGGGTAGTCTAGGATGTGTAGGAAACCTCTGAGGTCGGTCCATGTCTTCGCATCGTTGGAGGGGCTGACCGCGAATATATTGAAACGCGGAACCGAGAGTCCCCCCGTGATCTTGAAATCCAGATGTTCGACGCGGACGGATCTGATTAAGTCCCGCGTGGCTTTATAGACGTGCTCTTCTTCCTTGATTTCACTCATTGAGAAGATGTCGTTTATCCGGTGTCTGTTTTCTTCATGTGCCCAGACGTCCGCAACTGTTTTCCCGATGATTTCGGTATTGGATGTAGTGAAGCCGGAGAGGCAGAATAGTAATTCTGGGGGGTGGGGACAGCCGAATGGGAGAGCTTCGAATGTGATATCAGTGGCGGCCCAGATACGTTGGTCAAGGATAATGTTTCTGGTTTCTTCGGATACGTTGTGAACTAGGAAGCCGGTGGGAAAGTCTTTGGAGTCTCTACCGCCCTGGGGTTGTGGGGGAGAGACTCGTACTGGGGGTGCGCCTTGGTGTACAAAGTTTGCTATGATAGCGATGTTCGCACGGATCCTTTCAGCAATGATTGCGGCTTTTTCGAAGACTTCTCTTCCCGAGTGGTCGAAGACACGGACCATGAATTTCGGGTGTTGAACCTGGAACCAGGCGAGTAAGACTCTGTTTTCTAGGTGATCGAAGATCTGAGCGGAATGCGACATGTGGATTTTAGGGAAGCCTCCGATGGGGGTAGGTGTGAATTGGGGGAGAGTGGTTCGGTGGTTGGGGCCGTCTTGGCGTAGAACGGATCTATTCTTTTCCGCGAGGGCTAAGTGAGCGAGGATGGATTCTTCTTCTGGTGTCGTTGCATGTGGGGCTGTTGGGCTGACTGGCGCGCTCATGGGTTGGTCATCCTGGGTGTTATGGGGTGCATGGATGGAGTCTGCTAGTTCGCTATGTGTTATGACAGCGGTTTCCGGTCTGGTGCTGGTACGACTCTCCTGAGCAAGAAGGAGCTCGGTGGGAGGGGGTCTCTCTTGGAGTTCACAAGGCGTGGGTGTCGGTGTGTCTGGGGGGGATCGCGAAGTTGTTGGAGATGGGGGAGGTGGTAGGAAGTTAGGAATTTGGTCCATATCGTCGTCGTCGGGGAGGGTATTTGGAGGGAAATACTTTGGTCCCGAGTGGGTGGATTGGGTTGCAGGACGAGGGGTACTGGGGTAGGGACGAGTGGATTGTGAGAGAGATTTTATTGAGGTCGTCTCTTTATCCTTCATCTTCAGTTGGACGGTTTGTCAGAGTTGTTAGCGGTTAGTTTTTATACTTTTGTTTTTAAGTGCCGTTTCATCGGGGGTTCTTAGGTAGGGGGTCGGTGTTGGCTTCGTGGCCGGGTTCATCACAGGTAGGGGCATGAGTTTGTGTTAATGTGTCTGCGGATGAGGTGTGAACTTCTCAAGGTATCTTGATGGGTGTGCTGTGTGGTTGTGCGTTATTACTTAGTCTCTGTCGATTTACGTTTGGGTGTTGTCTTACTACTTTTTATGGTCGATGTTTATTGGTGAGAGCGGTGTGTTTTGTGCTTATGGGTTATGTGGGTTCTGATGTGGGGTGTTTATTGACGTGTTCTAGGGGTGATGTGGCGTTGGTTTTCGTTAGTATTGTGTTTTTATTAGTCATTTCCTTCCTCGGGACAGTGATTTGGTGGGAAAAACCTTGGCATGTTGGATTTTTCGTGTCTGATGTTGGCGTGTAGCGGGGGTGGGTAGTTATGGTTTACGGGGGGCGGTTCTTAGGATTTTTAGGGTCTTGGTGGGGGGGAGCGTTTTGTGTTGTACTGCGTTTCTTTAGGTGTGTTTTTGTTTTTATATTTGACGTGTATGGGGTGAGCTGTGTTTGGGGGTTGTCCATGGGTGCTGCGAGTATTGACATTTGATTCGGTTTTGATAGTATTCTTATGTGGAGCTGGTATCTTTGATAATTGGTGTATTTTTTGTGACGATTCAGATGTGTATGGGGCCAGTTTTTAGCTGCGAGCCTTAGTGGCTCGACCTTGCCCGCAATTTTTATGCGTGGGAAAAACTGACCATGGTGGTGGTTCAGAGTCAAGGGCCTCGTATTAGAACTTCTACAAAGCCAGAAGTATTCAATTGGAGTCCAGAAAATACCAGAAAAGCGGTCAGGGTGAGGGGAGGAGGAGGTGGGGAAGGAGGGTTGTGTTGTCCAAGAGTAAGCATAGTTAAGCTACAGGTGATTTTTTTTTCCTCAAAAGAACTAGTGAAAAGGGTGAAGGATTAGGCAACTATTTGAGCTCGCTGTCCTCAACAGCGAGCTCGAGCATTTTGTCGTCGTGCGGTGTTACCAAAACGGGAAGTCACGCTAATCCCAAAGCATCCTGATACATCTCGGCAACGGTACGCGACTCTGTGTTGTGTAAATCATTTGTGTGTGTGTGTGTGTGTATTTTGTGTGGAAATAGTTGAACAGATCCAGCGCCATACAGATCTGAGCAGTTGGCTATGGCGCTGGATCTGTTCAACTATTTTTACACACAATATGCACACATACACAAAGGATTTACACAACACAGAGTCGCGTACTGTCGCGTACCGTTGCCGAGATGTATCAGGATGCTTTGGGATTAGCGTGACTTCCCGTTTTGGTAACACCGCACGACGACAAAATGCTCGAGCTCGCTGTTGAGGACAGCGAGCTCAAATAGTTGCCCAATCCTTCACCCTTTTCACTAGTTCTTTTGAGGGAAAAAAAATCACCTGTAGCTTAACTATGCTTACTTTTGGACAACACAACCCTCCTTCCCCACCTCCTCCTCTCCCCACCCTGACCGCTTTTCTGGTATTTCCTGGACTCTAATTGAATATTTCTGGCTTTGTAGAAGTTCTAATATATTTATACAATAAATACATCAATAACATATTTAACTAACTACAGTTGATTTTTTTCCCTCAAAAGAACTAGTGAAAAGGGTGAAGGATTGGGCAACTATTTGAGCTCGCTGTCCTCAACAGCGAGCTCGAGCATTTTGTCGTCGTGCGGTGTTACCAAAACGGGAAGTCACGCTAATCCCAAAGCATCCTGATACATCTCGGCAACGGTACGCGACAGTACGCGACTCTGTGTTGTGTAAATCCTTTGTGTATGTGTGCATATTGTGTGTAAAAATAGTTGAACAGATTCAGCACCATAGTTGGCGGTCATACAGGGTCACAGCAGTGACTAGCTTGACGTTCAAGACAACGGAGAATAGCACTGGTACTTGAGCAGGACGAGCTCATGGGTGAGTACCTCGCAATGTATCGTGCATGTACCAATGATTCGCCCTGTCTTTGAATTGCGCCGGCTGTATCATTTCAACATACTACCGTGACCTCCTTATACTCATACCCATGACATGTATATTCCTACTATTCTTCTGAACGAGTCCTTCATACAATAGAAGATATTCATTTTTTTTTTGCCAGCGTCCCCAGTTTGTGTTCGGGATTCGATAGCACAATAATACTGGCTTTAAATGGCGCTAATTCTGCTCTCGGCCACGCCACTGCGATGAAAGATGAGCATGCGGTGGACGGCAAGAATATTGTGCTATTGTTGACCACGCGTCCTCTTGAATACTGATGGAATGGAAGGTGATGATTCTGGTGTCGAGATCACCGCCAGCCATTCAAGCTGTCGTTGAGTCAGCATGGTATCTGCCTAACATTGCTGAACGATTTGGGATGTAAGTTTTTCTCTTCATGTTCACAATCCGCTGGCCTGGGCCTCAAGCATGCTACAAACGCCGTGATGACGAAAGTGACGCTCGAACGGAGGATGGTGTTCATTCATATCGGTGTGGTTAAACGTTGTTGCATTGCTTTTATCTGGTAAAGATTTACGTGTCATTGGTTCTCTACCCTCCTTTGCTCCCTTCAAGTAGTGGTATTAGTAATTTCTGGCTGTCGTCGTGACGCCGTGGCACATTTTCCCTGCTTCAGTTGATGGTGCTTTCGGGATTGGCGTCTCTTTCATGGTAACCTGGACTCTCGCTGTATAGTCAGACTGTCAGGTAGCAAACGAAAAAACTGGCTCGAAGTACTTGCCAGGCCAGGAATGCACTGGCGCTTTATCGATTATCCTTTGAGCAGTCTGAGGTTAACCTCGTTCTAGTAGAAGCGATTGTCAGCCTTTGTCAGCCAACCCAAAGATTTGAAATTTGGCACTGTTTGCGCACATGTGACATTCAATGAATTTCAATCACTCAGCAGCACGACTGTCAACCGTTTGAGTCTACTGATCCAGGCTCAAGCGCTCATCATGCATCAGGCTCTACTTATTCCTGAAGTCCTCCTAGACATATTTGCGCATGTCAATCCAACACTAGACCCGTTACAGTGGGTCACTCGCGATTACATCAAGTTGGGTCGAAAATCCCTTGCTGCGCTTGCAACAACATGCAAAGCCTTCCACGAGCCTGCCATGGATTTGCTGTGGGCTGAAGTACATCAGTTAGAACCACTGCTAGGATGTATAACCAGGTTGCATTCAATAATATACAGTAAGCATCAATGGGTCAGTGCAGACTGAGTAATCGTTTATTTCTTGTCGGTGATTTGCTAACCAAGGCATCTAAATAGTGGAAGTCCCATGAATATCATAGCCGCCGCACCTGGGCAGGCTTGCCAGATCTCGAACCACTATCTGCTCACGAGACCTGTCAATTTCTGCGTCACTCCGCCCGCGTCCGCTCATTGATCATACCATATCAAGATCGCCTTGTTCACTTTCTCTCAGCCATTCCCATCGAGACATGCCTCTTCCCAAGGCTGCGGTCGTTGACTTGGGGGCTTTCCACTGCCAAATATATGGACCTCTTCTTGCCCCACACGCTGCGCAAATGTCATCTATCGACTATTAACGAAGGTCTGAAAAATCTTGCGACCCGTTGCTCTGCCTTGGAGCACTTGAGCATCGACCATTCTGATCCATGCACAGCGGATGAGCTATCCTTGCTGTCTGATAGTGTCCGTTTGTGCAAACGGCTTGTACGTCTGTCTTGTCCACCGCTCGACTGGGCAGCATGGAAGCATCTCTCCGACCTCCCTACCCTTCTTGGAGTGCGAATTGATGCAAACCGCCGTGCCTTTCTTTGGCCATTGGAACGGGATATCGTCAATTTATCACCATTCCTTAACCTCAAGGATCTTTCCATCTGGCTTTCCAGTGCTGCATATGTTATCGCAGTCATGGAACACTCGCAATTTCCCTCACTGATAAATTTCACGGCCCGTCTCGAACTTCCGTCTCCAGCAGTGGCTGAGCAACTCTTTAATGCACTATCCCAATGCACGACATCCCAAATCCTCGAAGAAATTGCCATTAACTTTGACGACTATGAAGACAGTAGATGGCGTTCAAGACCCTCCACCCCACGCAACATTTTGACAGTGATTCCATATTTTCTTTGCTTCACACAGCTCCAAGTCCTGCAGCTCCATTTTCATGGTTCCTGCATCCGCCTTGACAATGACATCCTTTTGGTAGCCATGTCAGCTTGGCCGCACATCCACACTCTGGAAATAACAGACTCGAGCCTTCGTCCTCACGTCACATTCCGCGGATTATTCACAGCGATGCGTCAATGTCCACACTTAGATAGCCTGGAAATTGCGATCGATACTGAGAATATCGATATCGATCCTAATGCTGAGCCAACGCCACATACCTCCCTACAAACATTGGAGTTCGGGTCAACCTATCATTGGGTTGGAAACCCTGAAGCTGTTGCTAGCATCATCTTCACCTGGCTCCCTTGTGTCCACGATGTTAACACGATCGCGGAGGGCAGTGTGGATCTCAACTTCTATCTGGAACGTTTGAGAGTTGCTGCGCTGGATGCCGCAGAAGCCGTCTCACATAACTGATGTACTCATGTTCAGGGAATATTCTGGAGTTGCTACATTTCTTCGCGATAGTTCGTTCGTCGTTGTTTTTGCTGTTGATTGTGGTTGTAGTTTTCTCCCGTCTGACCTTTTGACTTATCAACCTCAATCAGGCTACCGTTATTTTCCCACATCGTTGCGTCTCGGGTTCAGTCACAAGTAATTACTCTGGAATTTGAACAACTTGATGAGTTGCTAGTAGCAAAGATATCATAGAACATTGGATGCATACGAGATTCCTCTGTCAGTTGCTAGTAGAACTCGTGTAGAATTCAAAAAGACACATGTGGTGTTCTACGCGTGCACAATCTAATACAAGTCAGTGGATTGGCATCATAACAGAGCAGGGAGAAATACTGGCCTGAACCTACCTTTCAGCTATGATTCTCGATACGTCGCGGAAGGAGGTCAACCTGTGTGCATACAGGTGATGGCAGCTGGATCTTAGTGAGATCTCGTCGCTCATGACATTCATCCACCAGTCAATACGTGCTGACGATGTTGAAAAAACGACGAAAGCGGAAGAAGATGAAGTTCTGCCCTCATCTCTGCAGAACACAGAAACACCTTGTTAGCGGGAATATCGCGGCGCAGTGGCATCTGAACTTTGAAGTGCCGCGGAGAATCTCAAATGGAGTCGAATGGCACCCTGATCCGATTCCGATTCCGAGTCAGTGACAACGGTCTGCTCAGTGCTGCCAGTAAACTCACCGTTTTGCAAACATCACACTGGCAGGACTCTCGCATAAAGTTGGCGTCCCACTTTCGCTGATGTGTCGGACCTTGGCATCGCCCACGCACAGGTTCTCCTGCTATTTCTACTTGGTCATCTTTGGTCTCAGCCCTTAGTCTTGGAAATACGCGTGCAGTCATCACCTAAACCCTCTCAGCCAAACTCCATCTACAGTCCACATCATGATATTCCTATGCCCATCTTCTCCTAGTACCACCCACCACTAAGCCCAGCCTCCATCCTCATCGTTTTGCTTTCGTCGTTCCATCATGCCCGGTAGCGCCGCGGCAGAAATACAATCTATAAGACTTGAAGGTAGGTTACTCTGCATCACCTTTGTATATCTTTTGTGGTCCTGCCCCTCTATCTACAGTTATCGGTGGACAGAATCTTCAAGTCCCTTCCAAGCGCATGCCCGCTGGTATTCACATATCCATCAATGTCGATTCGAGCAGACGCTGGAAATCAGCCATTAGAGTCTTGTCATCCGACACATCTGTAGCGTGTGGATATACCGTGACCCTGTAAAGTCCATAGACACTTTCGGACGCGATTCAAGACTGATCTTCGGTTTATAGATCATCACACGAGTCACCTGCATTATCAACGGAGATTAGAGCGTCCTTTGAACTCGATCGAATGCTGGGCAATGGTGAAATCATCGGATAACTTCAAACATCGTGGGGTTGAGCTGCTCGATCATGGAGATGAGCCATTTGGTGAGTAACCTACTTCTCATTCATGCATATCTACTAACATCCCGTAGAACTGTCCTTCCCACCCGTTCGCGGTGTCAATCCTTCGCTCACGCTGAAGGCTACTGTTGCACATGTTAGCGATAATCAGGACGGCGCACTACTTGACGTGAGTGACCCCAGACTTTGTCCTGTTAGTTGTGCTGACAGAGCACCAACTGTAGTCCCTCGTAGACTGCGAGAGTGCTCGAGAAACAGATGCGGGCCATGTACAATTCTCCAGATACATGAGACACGATAGGGTCTCTCACCTGAACGGTGCTGTAGAGCGTTTTCAGTTGGTTCTGGACCGCTGTCCGGTCGACCATCCTGACCACGCAGCAGCTCTCACCAACCTCGCGCGGGCACGCCTTCAAGGCTACATTCAAAACGATCTCCAAGACATTGATACCACCACTTCCCTCTTCCGCGAAGCCCTTGCATTGCGTCCGCAGGGCTATCCCAACCACACATTATCTCTCCATAATCTCACTTTCGCATTGAACTGGCGCTACAGCAAGGAGCCCACTGCCGTCTATATTCATGAACCCCTGCAACTGTGCTGCAAGCTACTGCCCCTCTGTCCAGAGGGCACCTACCTTCGTAGCATCGGCGTAGACAGTATGGTCAATTATGTGATCAGCGAATGCAATGATCTTCCGAACGATGCATCTGACAAAGGCATCCACCTTTAACGAGCCGTGCTCGAGCTCTGCCCTCTGGGCCAGAAATACCGTCCAAGCGCACTTGATAAACTTTCATGGGCTCTCGGAACACGCTTTAGACAGCGTGGCAGCATTGATGATATAGATGAGAGCATACAACTTCGTCGTGAAGCTGTTTCTCTGTGCCCCAAGGGGCATTCTGACCGTTGTATCTACCTGAACAACTTGGCCTTCTCACTCGAATCCCGCTTCGATCACCAAGGCAAATCTCATGACCTTGAGGAGGTCATCTCCATGCATGAAGAGGCGCTGTGCCTGTGTTCTGTTGGGCACGAACTTCGTGGTTACTCATTGGGCAACTTAGGGGGTGTCCTCCGCACCTGTTTCAGCAAACTCGGTGATGTAGGTGACATCAACCGAGCTGTCAGCCTCTATCGCGACGCACTGATGTTGCACCCACCTGGGCATCCACGCCGTGATACCATGCTTAACAACCATGCCAACACGCTCAACATCAGATATGTCGAATTGCGTGTCATCGAGGATCTTAACGAGGCCATTGAGCTGTATCGCGAATCTCTTCTGTTAAAGCGGCTTGATGATCTAGAGTGGCATAGGATTCTTATAAATTTTAGCTCAGCGCTCTGTTTTCGTTTCACGCGAACTCGGCAGAATGAGGATGTCGAGGAGGCTATTTTCGACTCTGCCAAGAGTCGTTGGTGGTTTTGCCTTTACTGCACCCGGATAGATGCTTCAGCTTGATGCGGCTGCAGGAAGCCTGTCTGTCTCGTTACGAGGTACAACACAACCCCACTGATTTGTCGCTCGCTGTAGAGAACTACAGACTCGCGTCACGACACCCTGCTCAAGGATTCCCACAACGCATTCTTCAGGCACATGATTGGATTGTCAAAGCGGAGCAGCATGGCGATGGATCTGCACTGGAGGCTTACTCAACATTTTTCGAGCTTCTCGATGCTCATTTGGGAACACGATCATCAACCACTTCGCGGCGCGAAGCTGCCGCCATCTTCCATTATGCCAGATCACTACATGGAGATGCAGCATCATGTGCCATCCGCAGTGACGATCTCCGACGCGCAGTTGAACTTGTGGAGCAGGGCCGTGGCCAACAGTGATCGTTGGCCTCCCGACTCAAGACTCCAGTTGAAGACCTCGAATCAGGACATCCACATCTAGCCCACAAATTTTCGGAGCTGAGCAAGCGCGTTTCCAACGCCGCTCAGGGTTCTGCAGCCATCACCGACAGAGCCGCTGTTGATCAAGCAGCAACAGAGTATAGGAGACTTACCGCGCAATGGGATGCTGCTGTAGCTGAAATACGTAATCTCCAAGCTTTCTCGTGGTTCCTACTTCCACCTTCGTACGAAGACTTGCAAGTGGCAGCTCGCAATGGCCCAGTCATGGTCCTCGTTGCCAGCCAATACTCGTGCAGCGCCATTGTTGTCCCGACGTCAGGAGAGCTCCATCATATTCCCTTGTCGTCTGTCACTCTCACAGATCTGGAGAATCTCAAGGGTCGCTTCGCCAGAGCGATATATCAAGCATCTCGAATGAGCATAACAGAATCAAGGACGGACCTAATAGTCTTATTGCGGATGGTATGGGGCGAGATCATGCTACCCATCGTCAATGTACTTGAGCATGTCCTCAGATTAAAGCGCAGGTCCCGAATCTGGCTATGTCCAACTGCAGCCTTCACCTCCATTCCTCTCCACGCAGCTCACCCCTTTCAAATGAAAGCGGATCGCTCTGGGAAGGAGCCGTGCCTAGAGGATATCTACATCTGTTCTTACACGCCGACACTTTCGGCGCTGATCAGATCTATGCAGATGATGAAGAACCATGTGCCTTCGTCGTTCGTGGCGATCGGACAGGGTCAACCGCGTGCAGGCAAAGGCAAGGTACTCTTAGCTGTCGACAGCGAGCTCGAGCTTGTCCATAAGCTTGTCCCCGCAACAGCCAGCCGTTCCACTCTTTCTGGCGACGCAGCCACACGAGCAAATGCACTCGAAGCCCTGGAACAGAACTCATGGGTGCACCTCGCTTGTCACGGCAAGCAGGACCACAACCAGCCTTACGATTCCCATTTCGTCATGAAGGACGCACCTCTCACGCTGCTCGACATCATCGACAAAGACATTCCGCATGCTGAGTTCGCGTTCTTGTCGGCGACAAGCGGACCCCTGATGAAGTCATCCATCTCGCAGCTGGACTTCAGTTTTCAGGGTTCAAGAGCGTTGTTGGCACGCTGTGGGAAGTCGACGACGCTGTCGCAAAACACGTCGTTGAAGCTTTCTACGAGAATATGGTCAAGCATGTGGAAGATGGCGAGTTCATGGACTGTACAAAGGCGGCTTGGGCACTCAACCGTGCTACTCACGCTGTGAAGACGAAAGTGCCGCTCGAGCAGAGGATGGTGTTTATCGATATCGGTGTGTAGTTTAACGTTGTTGTAATATTGCTTTCATCTGGTAAAGATTTACGTGTCATTGGTTCTCTACCCTCCTGTGCTCCCTTCAAGTAGTGGTATTAGGGCTGTCGTCGTGACGCCGTGGCACATTTTCCCTGCTTCAGTTGATGGTGCTTTCGGGATTGGCGTCTCTTTCATGGTAGCCTGGAGACTCTCTGTATAGTCAGACTGTCAGGTAGCGAACGAAAAAAAAAAACTGGCTCGAAATACTTGCCAGGCCAGGAATGCACTGGCGCTTTATCGATTATATAATTATCCTTTGAGCAGCCTGAGGTCAACCTCGTTGTAGTAGGAGCGATTGTCAGCCAACCCAAAGATTTGAAATTTGGCACTGTTTGCGCACATGTGACATTCAATGAATTTCAATCACTGATCAGCAGCACGACTGTCAACCGTTTGAATCTACTGATCCAGGCTCAAGCGCTCATCATGCATCAGGCTCTACTTATTCCTGAAGTCCTCCTAAACATATTTGCGCATGTCAATCCAACACTAGACCCGTGGCTCACTCGCAATTATGACAAGATATCATTGGGTCGAAAATCCCTTGCTGCGCTTGCGACAACATGCAAAGCCTTCCACGAGCCTGCCATGGATTTGCTGTGGGCTGAAGTACATCAGTTAGAACCACTGCTAGGATGTATAACCAGGTTGCATTCAACAATATACAGTAAGCATCCGAGTCAATGGGTCAGTGCAGACTGAGTAATCGTTTATTTCTTGTCGGTGATTTGCTAACCAAGCATCTAAATAGTGGAATCCCTGGCATGACTACCATAGCCGCACCTGGGCAGGCTTGCCAGATCTCGAACCATTATCTGCTCACGAGACCTGTCAATTTCTGCGTCACTCCGCCCGCGTCCGCTCATTGATCATACCATATCATGATCGCCTTGTTCACTTTCTCTCAGCCATTCCCATCGAGACATGCCTCTTCCCGAGGCTGCGGTCGTTAACTTGGGGGCTTTCCACTGCTAAATATATGGACCTCTTCTTGCCCCACACGCTGCGCAAATGTCACCTATCGACTGTCAACGAAGGTCTGAAATATCTTGTGACCCGTTGCTCTGCCTTGGAGCACTTAAGCATCGACCGTTTTGATCCGCTCGCAGGGGATGAGCTATCCTTGCTGTCTGATAGTGTCCGTTTGTGCAAACGGCTTGTACGTCTGTCTTGTCCATCGCTCGACTGGGCAGCATGGAAGCATCTCTCCGACCTCCCTACTCTTCTTGGAGTGCAAATTGATGCAAACCGCAGTGCCTTTCTTTGGCCATTGGAACGGGATATCGTCAATTTATCGCCATTTCTTAACCTCAAGGATCTTTCCATCTTGCTTTCCAGTCCTGCATATGTTATCGCAGTCATGGAACACTCGCAATTCCCCTCACTGATAAAATTCACGGTCCGCCTCGAACTTCCGCCTCCAGCAGTGGCTGAGCAACTCTTTAATACACTATCCCAATGCACGACATCCCAAATCCTCGAACAAATTGACATTACCTTGGACGACTATGAAGACGACTATCCAGATCCAGACAACGATCAAGACCCTCCACCACCAGGCAACATTTTGACAGTGATTCCACATCTTCTTTGCTTCACACAGCTCCGAATCCTGCAGCTCAATATTCATGGTTCCTACATCCGCCTTGACAATGACATCCTTTTGGTAGCCATGTCAGCTTGGCCGCACATCCAAACTCTAAAAATAAAAAACTCGAGCCTTCCTCCTCCCGTCACATTCCGCGGATTATTCACAGCGATGCGTCAATGTCCACACTTAAATAACCTGGACATTGCGATCGATACTGAGAATATCGATATCGATCCTAATGCTGAGCCAACACCACATACCTCCCTACAAACATTGGAGTTGGGGTCAGCCCGTTATTGGGTTAGGAACCCTGAAGCTGTCGCTAGCATCATCTTCACCTGGCTCCCTTGTATCGACGGAGTTGACATGCCCAATGGGCAGATGAAGGATGTCCACTTACATCTGGAACGTTTGAGAGTTGCTGCGCTGGATGCCGCAAAAGCCGTCTCATATAATTGATGTACTCATGTTCAGGGAATATTCTGGAGTTGCTACATTCCTTCGCGTTCGCACACGTGCCAGTGGTCCTAGAGAGACTCTCGCGCTAGGCATGGACCGTAATCCACAGAATGGCTGCATGACGATCCCGTACCTGCTAGATTTCCTTTCTGCCCCGGATTTCTTCGCCTCGAATTGTGTATATCTTAGACTGATATTAATGCATGTATTTAGAGTCTTGATGTTGTTCCCACTATGTACATACTACACATACAACCTAATATACCTCCACCTGAGACGTGGCACTGGGTTGCAATGGATCATGGGAGTGACTTTCAAGGAAAGTCTGAGGCTTGCACACATGGCACCCTGCTGACTAGGCCATGCAAATGGTGGTGAACGCTTACTGTGCACCTAATCATAATCGCACCGCAGGTTCGCGGTGCAGAACCGATGCATTGAATTCACGTGTGTCAATAGAGAAGCAGAAGGTCTATAGAAAAACACAAATCCGTGATTAACCCGCATTCGTTCAATGATTGCGAGACATTGGTACCCTCCGTGCATGCATAGGTTGACAGACATCATTCTATCCTTCAGTACAGCATTGCAAATAAATACCGGGATGAAGTTCCTTTATACTTATATAGATACCACAACGAAACTCAATCAAATATATACACACTCCCTACCCGATTCCCTGGATTGATCACTTGGATAGTTTCCAGTGCTACACGTCTCCACCGGTCAACACTTCAGCAGCCTGAAAAGCAATGGACGTCATGTGTGTTCCCTCGTCGGACCCGTCCACGAGCTTAGCGTTGTATTCACGAACGCCGAGGATCAGACGTGGTCCCAGAACACACATCTGCAACCCCATGGCGATGTCAAGAATGCCATTATACACAGTAGCTCCCAAAGTAGATGCGTTCTGTAGATATGATCAGCGGTGGTCAGATGCATATGAGTCCGTCGCAGGTTAACGCACCTCCAGATATGGAGACAATGAACCAAGAGTGAGGCAAGCCATGACAACAAAGCTAGCACATGCGGAATTTTAGCGAAATAGATAACAAGATACAAATCACCGTGCTCACGCTAGAAAGTACAATGCATGACTTTGTATTAACACCGTGAAACAGTCCCAGATAGTCGATCCTCTCTGCAATTGTCGCAGTTCACGAAGGTGCTTTATAACAATCCAGACTGCAAGACAGAAGGCGAGGATCTCCCATATTGCGGTGGGTATCATCATGTCGCTACCCAGAGCCATTACGTCTTCATCAATATTAAAAAAACACTTATGGTAACCAGAGAGCACGGCCTCCCCTGGTATCTGTCCATGAGTCCCGTGTGCTCAAGGCTGTCATCAAACATTAAAGCTTACCCCCCTGAAACACCCAGGTTTAAACCAATTACCACCATAACTACGGTGGTGATCGTGGAAACCAGCAAGAGTACAGCGAGAAAGACGAGCATCTTGCTGGATCGCCCATACATGGCGTGTATCCGAGTCAACATGATGACTTGGAAGACACGTCAGTTAAGTCTGTACGAGTAAGGAATCGCAAGTGAGCTCACCGCCCAACACGGCATTGACAACGACAGGCGTCCATGTCCATGTGAAATAGAGGATATTGCCTGCAAAACCCAGTGATAGATGCACATTGATGGACTCGATGCTTCAAACGAACTTACAGCTATTGCAGTCATGTCGGGACATCAAACTGTCTGAGATTGTCACTCACCCCTGTGTAGGGGTGCAGTTAGTAGTCGGGGAATGGATATGTCAGGTATCGTGTTGAATACTCACTAAGTCTGTCATCGGGACTGGGAGAACCCCTGCATGCTGCCAGTCAGAAGAAACGAACGCAGTATATTTGGGGATACATACATAGAGTGTAGCTGCTGATTGTGGGATATGGTTTATTAGTGCAGTGCAGCGTCAACTTGTTGACCATGCAAACATGCAGAGAATACAGCATTCCGATGTAGCGCACCTAGCGTTTGTTGAAGTCAGCATAAAATATCGACTGCGCTCATAACATAACGTACACAAATATAGAGAACGGTCATGAAGGACCAGTGGTGCTTCTGCCCCAAGTCAACCGCATTATACTGTTTGCCGATATAGGACTTTGCTCACCCAGATCAGTTCAAACTGTTTAGAGCATTATTAGTGAAAAGTGAGATTGCTGCGTGGGTCATGACATCAACCTACCTCTTGTGTGAATGTCAATGCTTGAACACCGTATACATATCAATAATCCCCTTGGAAAGTATCATCTTGCTCACCCCAATCATATACCACCACAGCAGAAGATACGACTGCAAAACCACAGTCAATGATAGTGAGACGTCAACATTGTCATTTCGCTTGCTCTCTACGAACCCACAAAATAATTAGAAACATGAAAACCACTGATGAGCGGCCACCAAGCGGGATCATTCAAGACGAAGCCGGTCATATCGGAATGGGGTATATGGAGTGCGTGCAGACATACCACCATACAGTGCTTTTATAATGACCAGGCTGCACAGTGGCCACCTCTCGAATCACAATCCTGGTTGATCACAGCATGTATTGTCGAATGAAATCAAGTAGAAGTGGGGTAGTTGTGTGAGAAGCCTTCATTTGAAACAAAGTAACTTACATCTTTAGATCTGCAATCCGTGGAATATTTAAATACCGAAGAAAATCTATTCATGGTGGAAGTTATTTGTTGAGGGGCCCCGTCAGTACAAGGGTCAGGAATTCTTACGTCAAGGAAGCACCTTCAAAGTCAAGGCTATGCGTAGCAGATGCGCAGAGCCTGCGAACTGATAATCTGTCCAGAATTCACAGCACGGGCAGTACTGATGGTTGGCCATGAAACAAGTAAGAAAACAACATTTTTCTGAACTTGGGCCAACGACAAACCTTCCAGAAATCCCCGTTAGTTCGACGAGGGAAATCAAAATCATTACTAGACGTGTGAGAGGACTGCCGCAAGAACCCTCACGAGCTTCTGCTTCTGAAGTTCTCATCATTATGCTCGCAAGAAATGAATGCCTGTTATGTTTTTAGTCTCTCATAAGTAGAAAAATAGAAGGAAAACACTTGCCCCTTCCAAAAGTTATACAGATGAAATATTGTCCTTTGCGCCATACAATGGTAACGCAGTGACGTATCAGAAAGACCTATGTTGGTGGGTTGATTCTCCGCAAGTGGTCAATGTATCTCCCTCGCTTGAGAATGACCTACATCTCGAATATCGACATCTAGTCCTGTGGATACGTGTTTCTTCTAGGTCCGAATACCCTGATTGGCGCCACCTTTATGGTAGCCGAGTGTATCATCGAAATAGCACTCAGTACCAAAATTAATGGCCATTGACACGAGGCCAAGGCCGGTGATTTGGAGCTGTGTATCATGCGCGGTCAAAGTAATGATTCCAATGTCGCATTGAACCTTATAACACAGTTCCATGTAAGACGTTGATAGCAGTTGCAGGCTGCCGCGCACGTGCAACAATATAAATAATTCGGTCCCGATTATACTTTTTACTGCTGATACCAACTTCAAGAGGTGTTAAAATCCAATCAGGGTTTTCGTGTTGGCAGGCATGAACGACGTCCTCCACCGATCGAGGATATTGCCTACATAGCATCAACAACAAAGAACAATGTCAATAACTAGCGTTAGAAATATACGAGAAAGAGGGACGACTGTGAGGGTGGACTGAGAGATGAACTAACCATTGAAAGCAACAGAGTGACATCCTACGTACAAAGGCAGTATTGATGGCGGGTAGCTAAGGCTCCTTTAAATCCATAGACAAAATTGGCAGCAGTGGCCCAGAATGAAGGGACTCTAGCTAGAACACATTTGGGTGGCAGCACACTTAGAGCCAGTTCGGTAACTGCTGTATAAGCAAAATGTTCGAAATTTAGAATTGTGTTTGTCCCGGCATGATATCTGCCGGAAGCTGAGTTTGAAATACCTCTCCTTCCGACCATGACTCTCAAATGTCGCCCTAGTGGTCCTCTGCGCCAGCAAGTCTGGCTAGCGGTCGCTATTGTCATCCTCTGTACCCAGCTACAAGTAGCTGAGATGACACGAAAGGGTGTTGGAGTGGGCTATGCCCGAGGAATGCTATCGACTGACTGCGACCAGACCTGGCTCTCTAACTGCTTCCGTCCTGCTCTATCAACATGCTCTCGGCTAAACCCGACCCAAACACTGCCAAACCTCCCCTCTCTCCCACCCTCCGCCTAGGGGTCCCCTACTCCACGTGCCCCCCTTTAAAAACAGCGACGCCCTCGTCGCTATCACCCTCGGCCATCTGTCCTCTATCTCCGATCTCTTCGATCTCTTCTACTTCGATCTCGTTCTCTTCTTCCTCCTCTGAGTATTCTGCACTGTCTTCCTCCATATGATTTGTGTTGTTTTCTTTGATTATATCTTCTTCGTCTAGCAGTTCTCTCTGCTTTTGTTCTTCGGCCAGCTTTGTGCCCTCTCTCGGATGGAACATCCTTAGTCGTCGTGCGTGGAATTCGCCGGCTAGTGGCTCGCCGTGAATCGTTTCTAAGCGATACGAGTTTCGCAGTCGTTCGACTATGCGATGTGGAGGAGACCATTTCGGTAGTAACTTGCGCCTTGCCTCTAACGTACTGTGCAGGCTACTGTGGAAGAACTGAACAAGCTGTCCCTTCGAGAATATCACTTCCCTTGGTGAGCGCGCTAATACTCTCTTATCGAACGCTGTTTTCCTTTTTATAGCGTGTTGTACTATAGCTTCGTATCCGTCGAGGTTCTGTTGCGCAACATACGCCATGTGTATGTTGGTGTCCGACATTCGTATCGCTGAGGTAGAGTTAGCAAGGTCTGTTCGTGGGGTATTGATCACTTGGCCCAATAGTAACTCCTTCGGGGAGAACTTCAAAGCTGGCAATATGCGATGGTTCAGGGCCGTCACCGCCTCCTCTAAGTGATTTGGCCATGTACTTGGTAGCTTATCCCACGAAACCGCTTCGTAGTCGTCTTCGCCAAGGTTCGGAGCGCACAGTCTCTTGAGTACGTGTAGTAGAATCTTGTTCGTGCCTTCTACTAATCCGTTGATCCAAGGTGAGTACGCGGCTACCACGTGAGTTTTACAAGACCACTTAGCGCAATGATCTCTAACTTCCGCATTGTCAAAATGCTTCCCTCCGTCGCTCATGAAGGTCTCCGATGACGTGAAGTTGTAGAATATTTTTGATAAGCTGTCGACTGTCGTGCGTGCTGTCCCCGCTGTTTTGTATTTAAATACCCAAATATGTTGTGAAAAAGTATCCAAATAAACGCCTAGGGTGTGGTATCCGTGTGCCTTCGGTAGGGTTAAATAATCGCCGACCAATAATTCGAAAGGATGTCTGCGGGTTATCGGTTCTAAAAGTGAGTGTAAGTGCTGCGTTCCAAAATTTTTACACTTAGCGCAATTTCCTATGACTTCTAAGATCGATGCATCTAGCTTGGCGCTATAGATTCGATCTGTCAAAGCGATCTTAATTGCATCTCTCCCCCAATGCCCTTGGTTCTCGTGTTGTTCTCTCGCTAACTGTTTAGCTTCTTCCTTCGTGACGCACTCCACCTTGCTGCGTGCCCGTACCGTCGTTCCTCCTCGTAGCCTCCACAACTTACCTTCTTCGATCAGATATTGCGATGCTCGGTGCATCGCTCGTTTGCGATCGCGTAGGGGTTTCTTCGTGTCGATTCCTAACATGGCCTCCACTACTTCTAGGAAAACAGGTTCGTCAGCAAAACGTTCTTGTAGTTCACTTACTGGTTCTTGCTGGGTTGTTGGCTCGGTGAGTAGGATGTCGTTGACTAGTCCTGAATGCGCCTCCCAGTCTTCACTGACTGTCCACGTGCTTCCGTCGTCTAGCTCGGCGTTTCTCGGATGGCCCTCCCACTGGCGGCTAAGTCCGTCTGCGACGACGTTCAACTTGCCTGGTACGTGGCGTACATCTACAATACGATGCGCTAAGATCCCATCTCTCCATCTCGCGTGTGCCGCATTGAGTTGGTCGTTGACTAGGACGTCCCTTAAGGCCTGGCAATCGGTCTCTATCTCTACTGGGAACCCCCAGATCGTGTCGGAGAACTTGTCGAGCCCGAATTTCAACGCCGCGAACTCGAGAATGAACGGTTTGTATTTCTGTTCTGTCTTCGACGTTCGTTTGGATGCAAAGGCAATGGGGAGCAGGCGCTCTACCCATTTGCCGGATGGTTTTTGCTTCCGCACCCGTTGGCTCAACACGGCCGCGAATCCCTCCTGGCACCCGTCTGATGTGACCACGAAGTTCGATCCATCGTGTTTCGGCGCCTGTAGAATAGGTCTTGATACTAATGCCGCTTTCAGGTCTAGGAACGCCGTTGTGTGGGCTTCTGCCCATCGTTCGTCGAGCTTGAAGTCTCGCAGTATGCGACGGTAAGTGGTTTTCGAGTATGGTGCTTTGAGTGGTGCCATCTTGACAAGGTCTCTTAGCGGTCCCTCTCTTTTCGCGTAGCTCTGTATCAAGTCGCGGAAATGGCTTGTTAGCCCCAGAAAAGATTCTAAGTTAAGTGCGTCAGCTGGCTGTTTCCAATTAACGATGGCTGTAAGCTTCTCTAGATCGGGTTGAACACCTCGTGGCCCTACTGTTGCTCCGGCGAATGTTGTTTCTGTCATAAACAGACGACACTTTGACGGCGATAACGACAATCTGCGCTCTCTACACCTTTGGAATATTCTCTCGAGTTTCCCTAACATCTCCTCGAACGCGTCGGCTGCGCACCCTCCGTCATCGACAAAAAGTTCCATCGTCATGTCTGCGAGTAGGTCGTGTAGGTGCGTGGCCGTCATTTCGCAAAAGGTCGATGGTGCTCCCGTGAGCCCCATGGGCATCCTTTTATACCAGAAATATCCGCGTCCTTCGACGTAAAAGGCCGTATACGGTCTGGCTTCCTGTGGTATCTCTACAGCATAGAAGCCTGATGCGAAGTCGAATATCGACACGTACCTGTGTCCGCTCAGCCTTTGTTGTTTTGCTCTAAGGTCTCCTTGGGGCATCGGCGCAATCACTGTGTGTCGATTGACCTCGTTAAAATTCTGGCATATACGCCACTTCTGTGGGCCTGTTGGTACGTCGCGTGGTGTTTCTGCTGGTGCGTCCCTCTCTGGGAGCGTGAATGCTGGTTGTCTGCTGTTCTCTGCGCACTGCTCGTTAACCTTGCGTTGCAGTTCGTCCAGGCTCAATCCGCCGTGTTCATGTGCTTTTTGGGCCAGCACTGTCGTGGCGCAACACTTGACTAGTTCTGGGTGGGCTTTTTCGATTATGCCCGCAGCAAGCATTTCGTCGATTTTCCCGTGTAGGAACTGAGCTTGAGGAGGTGTAAGAGCGCGTTGGTGAACCCGTCGATTAAACGTGGTTCCTTCCGGGATGTTCAGACGATGCTCTGCTCCTGGGACCGGTAGGACTTCCGATAGCGAGCATGCGAAGATGTCCGCATACTGTGAGACGAGCTCGTTGACCTTCGTTCGCTCGCTGGGGCTAAGATCATCGCCTATTTGCACTGCTTTCGCGATGTAGGCCACTCTTTTTGGATTCATAGGGTCTTTAACTCTCGTGAATACCTCCTTATTGTTGTCTGGGAGGTTCGCCGGTATGACGTCGCATAGTGTTCTAGCCGTGTCGTCTGGGGTCTGCTCATTGTCCGTTAGGACGCAGATTGAGCTTGCTCTCTCTTGTCGGTCTTCTTCTTCCGTTGATGCGTCTTGCGTTGCCACGGTGTCTCGCCCCTGGTCGCCTGGCGTTTCGGTCTTCGAGTCTGCTGCTTGGTTTTGGTTGCTGATGGTTGTTGAGACTCCGTTTCCCGCTATGTGCACCGTGTCCGTCTCGTATTCGTGTATTGCTCTGAATGCACGTAGCATTGGTTTCCCAAAGAGAAACCTCCATCCCCCGCCGCTGTTAAAGACCTCGAATTCTCCCTGCGCTCTAACTCCTGCTATTGTGACTTCTCCCTTCCACGTTGCTCTTGACGGCACTAATGTCCCATTAGCCATCCGTAGCCGTTTGGTCGATGTCTTCCAGTTCCCTAAACGATGCTTTACGCTGTCGAACACCGTTGTACACATAGCGCTGACCATCGCGCCCTCATCGAAGAGCGCCTTGACTCGCACTACTTCTCCCTGTGGCCCTGCAAACGATATGTGTTGCATGAACGGTTGGCAACTTTGGTGGACTTCGCTGCTGTCCGCCGAGTACAGGTCAATGATATCAAATTGCTCGCTAGCAAGCTGCCTAAGGACATGATTTGTATGGTGAACGTGTTCGGCGGGAAAAGTATGCTGGTCCTCGTGCGTTTCCTCCTCGCACACGAGGACTGACTGTTCATGTAGTTGAGGTATCAAATGTTCTTGGGTCGTTCGGCTATCCTCTACGCCAACGACCCATTCCCATTTCCCTGGTCTGCCGTTCCATCTACAACGAAGTTGATTTGTGGGGCCGTCGTTCTGTTGAAGGTGCCCAGTATTCTTGTGCAATTACTGCGCCATATGCTCTCGTTCTTCGGAAGCTGTGCGTCTGTTGGAAGAGGACACATTGGTCCTATGTGTCCGTGTGCGCCGCACCGGAAGCATTCACCAGAGCATATTTGTGCTGCTCCTGGCGTTAGCGGGAACGGTGTTTTCTCTGTGCACCTGGCTCCTTCTCCCCACTTCGTTGCCCACTGTCTCAATTGCTCCCCATACGCTGCTTGCCCGACGTCCGTGTCTGCGTGGTGTTGTAGCTCGTTGATGCATGCGCGTAGTGCGTCTCGTTCTTCTTGTGTGGGGGGTTGTCCCCGAGGACGTTGGTTGCCTGTTGCTTGATTGGCTGCGACATATCGTACTGGTCTCCTTGCTGCTGTCGCATTGGGAGGTGGATTCCTTGGGGGTACTGTTGCTCTTTGACCTATCGTGTTAGTACCGATTGACGTTTGCTGCATCTGGAGGCGTAGGACTTCGATGGGATCTTGCCGATTCTCCAGTCGTGCGATGCGTGCATTCTGCGCTTTCTCTGTCTCCTTCCTCTCCTTTGCTCTCTTCGCCTTTTCCTGCAGAGTATCTACGTTGACGTTCTTGATTTCGTCTAGGAATGTAGTCCAGTCTGCTGGTGCTGCCGTCGTCAAGTCTCTAAGGGCTCTTGGGAGTGCTTCGCGGACTGGTTGAATCAATATGGGTACGTTCTCTACTCCCGCGTCCTTTACGAGGGTTTTCAGCTTGTTATGGAACTGGACGTGTGCCCATGTTGCAATTCCTGCTACGGTGACTCGTTCCCCCACGTCTTCCTCTTTGAACCGTATCTCGAGTAGCTCTTTCTGGTACTCTCTCTGGGTTTTCCCCGCGACTACTATTGCTGGCCATTTCGTTAGGAAGGCGGCTTTGGCTAGCGCCCATGTGCTCTTCTCTTGCGTGCCTAGCCCTGCCCACCATACGTCTGCATCTGAGCCTGCGGAGATGAACGTGCTAAACAGCAGGATTTTCATCGGTTCGTCTGTGATATGGTTGATGACTATATATCCTTCGAAACTCCGTATGAAGTTGGTTGAGTTTTCATCATCGCGTCCGTGAAACAAGGGTGGAGGATTGCCCACAGGTCCTGACATTGGAACACTGATCTTTTGTTTCTGCACAGGTACTGTAGCGGGTCTTGTTTTGTGCTTTGCTGGCGTTAGATTTGGCTGAATCGGTGGTGCGCGTGGCGGACTAGGTGGTTGTATTGGCGGAAATGGAAGGTTATCTAATTCTGGTTGGGCGGGCGCTGGTACGCCTCTGTCCCACTGGAATGCTGGGAGCAGAATCGTGTGTGGCTCTGGTGCGTCTGGTAATGAGTCTTCGTCGTCCTCCTTTAAGTAGTCGTTGACTTCCTGCTCCGAGGTATCCCGATACTCCGGCTCTTCCTCGTCTAAGGTAAGCTGTTGCTCGATTACCTCCGGTGTGTCAAGTGGCGACGAGTTTGTTGACGTGAATGTGCTGCTGGAATTATCTGTGTCTGAAGGAGCTCTGGCCACGAACCAGCCGTGGGGTCCTCTCGGTGGCAAAACCTTTCTCTTAGACAGTTTGGCTATAGAACGTTGTTCTTCGTTAGTGTGTTTTATCAGCTTTGAAGTAGAAAGGCTATGCTTTGCAACAACGTGTTCTCCTTGCTTTTCTTGATTCATCTTCTTTGCGCTTGATTGCTCGGAGTTGCCTATTCGTGTATTCCACGAGGCTTCTCGTTTTGCTTCTAGACTCTGGGCTCTGGGCTCTGGGCTCTAGACTCTGGACTCTGTACTCTGTACTCTGGGCTCTAAACTCGAGGGGGAAACCAAGATGAAACTTGGTTGAGGCGAACTCGCTCTGTTCACCAGTTGGAGTGGGCTATGCCCGAGGAATGCTATCGACTGACTGCGACCAGACCTGGCTCTCTAACTGCTTCCGTCCTGCTCTATCAACATGCTCTCGGCTAAACCCGACCCAAACACTGCCAAACCTCCCCTCTCTCCCACCCTCCGCCTAGGGGTCCCCTACTCCAGTGTTCAACAGGCTCAGCCTAAAGCCCAGTGGAACCCCAATGAAATCGACTCCTTCCTCACATATCTTATCTCAGTCAAATCAGTGATGGCAGGCACGAGCTTCAAGGAGGCGACATTCAATGAAGCTGCGAAATATATTGAGAGCTTGAGGACAGTTGGGCCTGTGAAGACTGGGGCTCATTGCAAGAATAAATGGGCAATGGTATGTTATCTTTCATCGATCACTACCATGGCTATACTAATCTTAGCGATGTAGTTAAAGCAGACATACAACGCCATTGAGTCATATCGGCATCATAAATCAGGTTGTCACTGGGACAATGAGCGCGGGGCCAACATTCAGGGGCCCGCCGCTGAAGCTGTCTGGGAGGAGTATGTTAGCAGGAAGGTACGCAGAGATATTGCCTAGGTATCTGTTAGATCTGATGCTTATTTTGTCTTTACAGCCCAACTTCCCCATGAAGAGTTTCAAAAACTGCGGCTGGCCATACCATCCCAAGATGGAGGAAATTCTGCCCCGCCACAGCTCCGCACGAGGTGTTGCTGCCTATAACCCCGCCTCATCATCATCAAACGAACCACCCCCAGCTGCCAGTACTAGCAGCACACCTTACGACACTGACGACAGTATGTCAGATGTCAATCGCGATGGCGATCTCAATGACAGTGGTGTTGGTGCCATGTACCAGCATCATTTTATTCCCCTCATTCCTAGCATGGCCCGGCCAGAGATCAGCTGGGGTGTTCCCCCTTCCCCCAATCCTGCATTTGAAGATTATGGCAGCTCTACAATGGCAGCCCCTCCTGTGTCTTCCCGCGCTTCTACCTCCGCCTTGTCTGCCCCCGCTATGTCTGCCCCTTCTAAGTCTCTCCCCGCTATGTTTGCACCTATGTCTGCACCTATGCCTGCCCCCCCCATGTCTGCACCTATGTCTGCCCCTGCTATGTCTGCACCCATGTCTGCCCCCACTATGTCTGCACCAATGTCTTCAGGCTCGAGCGCTGGCAAGCGCTCGCATGCAGAAATGACTCACGGTCATTCAGCTCCCCCTTCAACCACCTACACTTCGGTCTCACAATTGACGAGGCCGGAATCAGAGAAGAAGCCAAGGCTGTCAACAATGAGTGGCAAGACACGCCCAAGCGCGAGCAAGAAGACTACTGTTCAAGACACTGCCAACACCGCTGTGTTGATGAACCTTCAAGGAACCATCAACCGCCTCTCAGATTCACTCCACACAAATTTTTCCGCTTCTGAAGAGGCTCGTGTGGCTGAAAGTAGGTCGCGCGCGGTTAAGGCCCTGCAGTCAGAACCGGAGCTTTCAAAGGAGGACAAGGTGGTTGCCATCAATATATTCATGAATAACTCAGCGGCATGTGATATGTTCAATGATATTGAGGATCCTGAACTGCGCATGGCATTCTTATATTCTATAATTGCCCGCGCCAAACAAGAAAACCCCATGATGTAGCTCTTACTTCCTCGTGCTTGTACCTTCATTCGTTTGTAGCCCTGCGTCTCGTTTCGTTCATCGTGTTTCATTCTCGCATCAAGTTTTCATTGTACTAGCTATATCACGAATCTACTACGTGCTGTTCTCGTTCTCCTCATCGCCCTCGCGCCCATGATAGAGATCATCTTCGCCCTCGTCTTCCTCACCAAGATCAACATCCAAGATGTGATCAACACCTTCCAAGTCTTGTTCGTGTAAGAACGCCTCGTAGTCCTCCCACATGTGTGTCGCGATACGATCACGGTGTGCATTTGCAGCTTGTACTTGCGGCCCATTCTCATCCGCCGCAACATATCCTTGATGGCTCGGGTTGTCGTTGACAACGTTCGTCGGCGGCAGAGGGTCTTCGGCCGGGTCGTGAATCCGGATGAAGTTGTGAATGGAGCAAAGTGCCGCTGGAATGCGGGCTTGTATGTCCATCTTGTACTCCGGGGATAAGAGGAGAATGCGAAAGCGTCGTTTGAGGACGCCGAAGATTCGTTCGATGACGTTTCGTGCTGAGGAGTGGCGAAGATTAAATAGCTCTTCCTTATTGACAGGTCTGAAAATGAATTAGTTTGATTTAAATATGAAACGAGTGAAACACTTACCTGACATTGGCACGCCCCCATTCAGCCAGGTGGTATCGAACGCCGCGGTATGGAATCAAGAGTTGTTCGCAGGAAGGAAATCCTGCATCTGCGAGAAGGTATTTACCAGCGGGAATTTTTAACCCGCCTTCGAGTGCTTGATCCCAAAGCCGTGCATCAGTCACGGATCCTTCCCAGCCGGTCAATGAGTATGTAAATTGCAAGTCGAATCCACACGCAAAAAGGCAATTCTGTGATACAAATCCTTTGCGGTGTGGGAGAAATCGTAGAAGTCCGCTATAGTGATAGCGTACCGATCCTGCTGGGTGCGAGAATAGTAGTCGACCCAAGGGGATAGCTCTGAGAGCAGTTCCTCAAGTATGAGCGAGGGGAACAGTGAGTAGGGGAGTGATGCGCTGGAGACGGAACAGCTGCTTGCGGGAGAATGCGTAGAGGTGCGAGGATGCGCAGGGGTGCGGAGTATACGGATGCGAAGTCTAGGGAATACCAGGTATGCGAGACAGGGAAGGTACCAGGTATCAGGACGGAAAGACAGGTAAAACGGGTAAGGTACCAGGTATATGCAGGACGCGACGGAACTGTCTTGCGAGTGAACTCAACTAGATCTAGCAATAGCCAACTGTCGATGGTGATGCGAGCATTCGCGCGAGAAGAGAAGGCAAACAGATGATTGCTCAAGCAAGGAAAGACAAGGTAAGACTAAGCTAGTGACTCCGCAACACACAACCAGAGAGGGAATGTCGGAAAGTGCTGGATACGAGTCCGCAACGTAGTATATAACAGAGTCCGTAAGAAACCGGAACTGTATAAGCGAATGCATATGTACGCGAAGTCGGAGGGGGATAATATGTAAGTAGCACTATGCGACCTCGTGCATGGGAACTGATATGTAACTGGCCCTGCGAACGGTTAGGAATGACTAACTAAGGATGAGAACGCACCAGTGAGGACGGACGGATGCAGACAGGACATGGACGGATAGTGCGTTGCGATGCGATGAGTGCGCAGATTCCGCAACCTCGTGTGATGGTCCGCAACGGCCTGCGGAGGGTATGCGTGACTTTGTCCAGTAAGGGGAAATGGTGCCGTACGGGGCTGCAGACAGGGCGTCTCCTACACCTGCGGGAGACTCAAACACTGACCATCCCTGGTCAGCAGCGTGCGTGGAATTTGGACTTTAGCAAGGAACATCCAAGGATGAGTCACGTGACCGGGTATATCGGAACGGTAATGAAAACATTGCGGGTGCCGGTGATCGGGATTGCGGACTTTGGTGCTTCTGTGGACCCAGAACCAGGGTTGCGTGTTAACACGTTGCGTACCCAGTTTTCCTTCCTTATAATCCTCTTCCTTTTCCCATTCTTTCTCGTCCTATTCTTCCTCTACCATGCCTCCTTTCGTATTCATCAACAAGCCACCTGCAGAGGACGAGTCTGTGCGTCTTCGCAGGGAATTTGCGGACCTTGTCGACAAGCTGGGTGCGACGATAATGTCCATTCCGGACGATAGGCCAGAGTTGATGCGGGAGAAGCGAGACTGGAATGCGGAATGGGATACGCTATCTGTGAGTGTCTGCTGTTCTTTTCATTGTGTTGCGCTGACTGGTGCATAGGCTGCGTTCGACGCCTCGTTTGCTGCTGCAGAGAAGCGAGGGTTGCAGCTGTCCTTGTCCGCAGCTGATACCTCCTTGGTGAAAAGTGGCAACCTGACTTATGCGACCCACGAGTGTCAGTTCTCCGAGAAGATGCAGGATGATCAGGAAAAGATGGACGTGGTTTTGGGCGAGGCTGGCGGCGGGGAAGAGGATGCGGATGCGGAGCCTGAGGTTGCAAGCGCTCCAGTGGTGACTTCTGCCAAACGTGCGCGTAAGGTGCCTGGTAAAACGAAGAAGCCTGCAGACGCTGATGCGCCACGCGTGTCGGTGCGTTGATATCCTTGTTTGTTGCGTGTCAGGAATTGTTTGGCTAAGGATGTGGTTGCGCAGAAATCTGGTGCTCGTGCGATCGTTCCAGGTCCTAAGGTTGACCACGTTCTTCCTTGTGGCAATTGCAAGAGGCGTGACCAGCCTTGCAGTGGTTCGCAAGGTCAGCAGTGCGATCCCTGCAAGGTTGCGAGGACCAAATGCGAGTACGCATCCTTCGGGAAGGCATCTACTAAGAAGGCCCCGTCCGCAACTCCAGTTGCTGGTGGATCTCGTCTATCCGCGCCTGGTTCCATTCGTCGTACCGTCTCCTCTCCAGAACGCCAGATACTCGAGGTCTCTGATAGTGAGGTGGTTGCTAGACGTCGTTCAATCGTTACTGGGAAGGGAAAGAAGCTGGCAGTAGAGGACGATGCTGATGATGCGGAGGATCTGGAGGAGTTGCACGAGATGCGCCAGGTGCGTGCGCAGCTCATGCAAGCCTATAGCATGATCTTCGAGGCCACCCTTGCGCTTGACAAGCAGGAGCAGCGCATCCTCAAGAAGCGTGCTGCCCGCAAGTAGATACCTATCTCAACCTATGTTTTCCATCGCATCCTGTTCGTACAATAGAGGTGATCCTGGCGTCCGGTCCAATCCGTATCCATGTCTATGTCTGTCCGGGTCCTCACTGAATGCCTAATTAACAAGAAAAAATGGTAAGTGCGTGAATACGGTGCTACTTCGAATGAGGGTCAAGAATTCAGGAACGTGTCTTGTGCGTGCGGAGTACCGTCCGTCTTTTCTTCGTCGCGCAGCTGCCTTCCTCTGTACCAATCCTGTGCCCTGGTTGCGGTGAGTATATGGTGCGAACTTTATACGAGTCAAATGTGCGTGATGCGATAGCCGCGTGCGAATGAGAAAGGGTATCAGTTGGTTGCGCATCTAGTTCAATCCTGCCTGTCCTTGTACGTACGTAATCGAGTCCGTGTGGGTTGAGTGCGGTGTTTCTGAATTAGTTGCGGGGTGGTTATATGGTAAGAGAGCACCGGACGAAACCCGGGGTAGGAATGCATACTGTATTATGTTGATATATTCTGAGACGAAGCGAGTGTGTGTTGAGTGATGAGGTTGAATGATTGCGGGGGGGGGAACGAGCGTGTGTAACGAGTGTCGAACCAAAGGAATGTGGGAGTTTTATGTGTCTGGGTCCGCATCTTCATCTTCCGGTTCTTCAGTCTCTTCTTCTGCAAGGTCATCCAGATTGGCGTCGCGGATGGTCTGAGCAGGCCTCATCTTGTTTGCATCCGGGGCAGAACTTGACCCAAGATTCCGTGGCGATGCGAATTTCCTTGCGACTATTAGGATCCGTAAGCGTGATGTCTTGTTCTCCGTTGGGAAGGTCTTCGGTACGGCAACTTGTAAGAGTGAAGAATGGTCGTCCGAGGAGTATGTCGAAGTGTGCGGATTCTATTACCTGTACTTGGAACCACATTTCCCCCGTACCAAAATCTAGCGCAAGGTTTTCGATGACACCGAGCGTGCAATCTGTGGAAGTATTGACTGATTCCATGGTTAGCTTGTGATCCGAACGCAAGACTTCCGATCCGAGACTTTTCCATACTCTCCTTGGCATCACGATGCATTCAGCGCCCTGGTCTAGGATGCAAGAAAGAACCCGCCCTCCCTTCAAGGTCGCTTTGATACATCGCAACGCTTCGAAATGTTCAGATACGATGCGCCCGTCATCTGCTCGCGGGAGACAGTGATCATACTTTCGTACGAACGCTTCGATCTCGGAACGCGAGGTTAACTCATTGACTGATACCATACCTTCCATGACTCGCTTCGGGGTGATGAGCTCCCGGAATACCTTGCGGATGTCGGGTGAGACTGCCATGAGCTCGCGTATGGGTACGTTGACATTTGAGTCTAGCATGCGGTCCACGACTCGCTTTTCTGCATGCTTGTCTTCCAACGGGAATCCATATCTAAACTTCGCAGAGGGGTTAGTGTTAGGTGCGGGCGTAGATGATGAAGCAGCAGCGTTTCCCATAGTGGCTTTCGGAACTGTCGCAGGATTAGATGCTGGTCTGGTGGTAGCTTCCTGTACCTGGGGAGATATGATCTCTTCGGTCGGCGCTATTCTGGATGAGGGCCCAGGCTTGGGACGCGTGGATGACTCTACTCCTTCAAAGCGAACATTCTTACCCTTCAGGTCTGATTTGCGTGCCCGGGTGTTAGCATACACCGTACAGGCTGCGATAGCTGCGTCCTCTAACTTCTTGAGCTCCTCATCAGGCTCCGCTTCTTCCGTGGCGCGAGTGAGCGAATATGCTGATGCGTCGATGTCAGTCTCTACTTGTATCCTTGGTTGAGCGCGACAGTATAACCCTGCAATCACGGTCGCATTGGCACCGGTTGCGGGGGTCTGTGATAGGAAGCAGTCGATGCGCTCCTGGTAAGTGCCGCTATCCCGATGTCCTGGGATACCTCTACCATCGGACATCACAAGTCGTCCTCCTTCATCTTCTACACACTTGCCATCGCGAATATACTGGTCGCGTGTCCTACACCATCGTTGGTAGTGGTCAGCTCCTCCGCAGAAATGGCATGGGCCTTGGGCTCTCTGCATCGTATACTCCTGTTTGACTACCACTCCTGGGCTTGGTTGCGGGCGTGGTTGCGGGGACGGAACATATTGCTGTGGTTGAGGTGCGTATGAAGTGCGAGCGGATGGTTGCGCTGGTGCTTGAATCGATACTGCGGATGTTCCTGGTAGCAGAAATACTGCGGCCTCGTAGACTTTGTCGATTGGGTATGGTTCTCCGGGGTGGAGGTTGGTGTGCAGTATACTGAGTCGATGTCTGAGGTGGGCGCCTATGTCTGCATGGAATCCGTCTTGAAAGAGTTGGTCGCGTTCGAGTTCCGACAGCTTCTTGTTCGTGAGTAGGAACTTGGATATCTTGAAGAACTTCCGGTAGTATACCCCGAGTTCCGCTTGCGAATTGATAGGCAGACGGGATTGCTCTGCGGATAACTGTGTAAGGTCAGCGCGGGTGAAGCGTCTATCGCCTTCGCAACCCGGATACAATGCTTTGACAGCTTTGACAAACTTGTCCCAATCATTACCTGTGGCCTCGTCGAGTAGTGCCCAAGTCTCCGATTCTTCTGAGGATGCATATCGCATCGCCGCTTTGATACGCGCGGCACCAACTACCTGGGCCAAATCTGCGAGCTCATTGACATCTTCGATGAATTCCAGGAGCTTGTCTGGAGCGCCTTCGAACTTGGGTGCCTTGTCCGTACCCCTGAGAGGCATCCTGAAAGTGTTAGTCGACATGGTTGCCGTAGGAGCGGAAGGTACTGGGACGATGGTAATAGGTACTACGGGAGGAATAGGGATACGCGGAACAGACGGAATCAGAAGGGATATCGTGGGTAGCTTCTGCGGAGAAGGAGCGAAATGGGGAAGGGATTCTAAGCGATTACGAGGAGATGAAAGAGGTAAGGAGATAACGGGCAGCGTTAAGCGCGGAAGTTCGGGTGTATGAGCACGGGTAGGATTACTAGGTGAGGTAAGGGAGGTAGCGGTAGAGGGAGTGTCTAGTGCGTGGGATGGCTTGTCTGTGGGGAAGTTGAATGATCCGGGGAAAAACGGAAGTAGCTCGTCTACAGTATCTCTCTCTTCTTCTGAAAGCGGAGAGTCCGGGGTGAGACGCAGAGGTTCATCGTCTGAGGATTGAGATTGCGGATGCGATCTCGATGGTCCGGGTTGTGGATGGTCCTCTTCTTCTGGTATTGGCGCGAAGAAGCTTTCTTGGTCGAGGCTAATAGATGCTAGTTTCTGCTTCGCAATGCGGGCCGGTGTTTGTCTCAGCGATCTTCCAACTTTCTCGGCTATAATCCCCTCGCGGTGGGCTCCAGTTGTGGGAGAAATCGTAGAAGTCCGCTATAGTGATAGCGTACTGATCCTGCTGGGTGTGAGAATAGTAGTCGACCCAAGGGGATAGCTCTGAGAGCAGTTCCTCAAGTATGAGCGAGGGGAACAGTGAAGAAGGAAGTGATGCGCTGAAGACAGAACAGCTGTGTACTGCTGAAGGAGATGCGGAGATGAGAATGCTGCGAGATGCAAGCGTATGTGGAAGATGCGAGGTATGCAGATGCGGAGATGCGAGGTATGCGGGTGCGGAGCAAACGAGTGAATATTAGAGGGTTACCAGGTATGCGAACGAGTAGGGTACCAGGTAGCGAAACGGTTAGGTTACCAGGTGTGGAACAGGTAATCGGTAGAGCGAACTAGGTACCAAGGTAAATGCGCAGACGTGCAGAAACCGCCTTGCAAAGGAACTCAACTAGGACTAGCAATAGTCAAACTGTGCAATGGCGATGCGTAGTCGTTCGCGCGGGATGATAAGGCAAACAAGATGATTGCCTCAAGGTTCACGGAATGACAAGGTAAAATCTAAGCTAGTGACTCTGCAACACACAACCAGAGAGAGGGAATGTAGGAAAGTGATGGATACCAGTCCGCAACGTAGTATATAACAGAGTCCGTAAGAAACCGGAACTGTATAAGCGGGCGCATATGTACGCGAAGTCGGAGGGAGATAATATGTAAGTAGCACTATGCGACCTCGTGCATGGGAACTGATATGTAACTGGCCCTGCGAACGGTTAGGAATGACTAACTAAGGATGAGAACGCACCAGTGAGGACGGACGGATGCAGACAGGACATGGACGGATAGTGCGTTGCGATGCGATGAGTGCGCAGATTCCGCAACCTCGTGTGATGGTCCGCAACGGCCTGCGGAGGGTATGCGTGACTTTGTCCAGTAAGGGGAAATGGTGCCGTACGGGGCTGCAGACAGGGCGTCTCCTACACCGACGAAGGTCATATGTTGTATAATTGATGTGAAGCACCTTGTGCCTGTATATCTTGTTGTCGACGATAATAAGCGAGTTGCGCTGTGCAGGTGTGAATGTTTGCTCGCTGTTGTCATCAGAAACAAGCAGCCGAGCGAGAATATGATCTTTGAGGCACGGTAAAAAGTCCTATGTCATAAAGATAAGAAAAAAAAAGTGAGAACAAGCGAGAACGTGCCTTGACTGCGAGGTCCTCACGGTTCTTATGGAGCCAAGCTGTTAGGTCCCAGTGGAGGCGACGTGAATTGGAAATTTGGTACTGGGACTCCGGGGAACACTGCGGTAACACTTCTTGTTCAGCGAAATCGACTGTTGGACGTGAAGTTGTGTCCCTAGTGTCCAGGTGCTCACTAGCCTGTTGTGCGACACCCTGAGCATTTTGTCGAAGTTTGTGTAGAAGTTGTTCACGGCGCTGTTGCTTGGCGATACCACGCGCGAACTTGATTTTATTGGTACGCGCATAAAATCGCTTGACTCGACGGTGTTCCAATTCGCCCTGATGTTTGCTTTAAGTCACAATAACATAAATCATGGAGCAAACTCACCACTTGTGTAGAGAAGTTATCTGTCGTACCAAACAACCAAATGGACTTGACATGATCCCCCAGCGCATGAAGTTTATACGTCGACATGTTAAAAAGGCGTGTTCGAGGGCCG